CGTTTTTGTTTGGAGTAGTCGTAGTAGTACACTTAGTAGTGGTCTGCTCGTTTTTGTTTGGTGTAGTTGTCTTGGAAGTCAGGGTAGAAGTTAATGGGCAGTAAGTAACATAACTGGTTGTATAATCCTCTTCAGTTACTGTAACTAATGTAATACCAGTATGGTAAGTTGAGGTTTGGCAAGCATTGTTAGCACAAGAAGTGATAGTAACTGTGGCCGTATGTACCTCATGATCAGTGATCGTATACGTTAATTCATTTTGAGGTTGAGGGTTACCATTGTTCTTGGAACCTTCAATCGATACAAACAAGCCTGAGAGAAAGAGAAATAAGCCTAATTTCATGACTAGTCTTTATTCCTATAGTTAGACAGCCCCTGTGATGTTATTTCATTATTTGCTTCCCAACAGGCCTGTATTTATAGTCAAAAACACTAGGTATCGAGAAATTGCAACCTATTTTTTCAAACACCTAATTAAGCGAAGAGCCGCACAGAGTTGACCTCATGCATGATAAATTGATTCAATTGTGAAACAACAACGCATTTGGGAATTTTTGGAACAAAATTTGGTAATTTTCTATCACGATCTACATATGGGGGGCGCAATGGGGGTACCACCCTCAAAAATCCGGCTAATCTAACTGAAAAGTTGGTGACAGAAACAATCTTGAATCAAGAGTGAAACACTCTCAGAGTTTTCTGAAGCTATTATGCTATGCTAAAAGGGAGAACGAACTTCCAATGGTCTGACCATATTTTTTCATGACAGCCAGTAGTAGCAGAGATACAGCATTCTCAATATCTGCAATTATCTGTGTCCTCCTAGCTTACACTTATTTTTCTTCTTTGCATTTTTTACTGAGCCTGAGAGCTGGTATTGACATTATGGAATATCTTCTGTGTTGTAGATAATTCCCCCAGTATGCGCAATGCATTACTGACGCACGGTTGCGAGCCCGATTCACTAAAGAGGTTAAACGCAATTTTCCCTACGTCTGGACCTCGTCTGGACCTGTTCAAGACATGTTTTAGTCCTTTGTTTTGCTATATCACGCACCAATTAGGTAAGATCGTGATCTAGGTACGTCTAAGATTCGGGTATTGGCTTGTTTTTGTTTTGGCGAGTATGTGCTATCGTTGAATCAGCAGTAACCGAGAAAACAGCCATTGTCACCATTGCGAGTACGCCAGGGGATGACTTAGCCGATGAATGTCGCGGCTGCAAGTACATTCTTCAAGAATTAGAAGATACTCGTAAAAATAAGTCTGGTTATAGAGTCACTGTTGGACAGACGATTTATTGGCTTCTATGTTCTTGATAATATTGGCCACCTCTGGTCCTCCTAGGTGGAATGTTGTATCAGCAGGAGAAACAAGCTTTAGGTTTATTTATAAAAATTGAACTAAAAAAAGAAAGTTCGCGAATCTCGATGAAGATAAGTTACCAAATAGTACATGCATGGTTAGATGCGCCGTATATACAACATATTGCTGCACAAGATTACACAAATATCCAAATCAGTAAGATTTAAGGCACACAAGAATTTGCTAGCTCTTAAAAGAGAGACCCCTTTTCCTATTTCTAGAATGACGAGGTACTTCGGGAAACGATTGTTACTCTACATACGCGTTGTTCTAACTCGAAACACTCGTACTACATCTGATGCATTGGGTATAAGGCAATTCGCGCACTAAAGAATTAGGCAGTTCCACAGTACTAATTGAAATGAGAAAGAAATCCAATAAGTTGATAGTAGAGTAGTGAAGTGGAGAAGTGATGTAAAGTACTATAGTGGGATCCACCTTGTAGTGAAATAATTCAAATCCAGATCAAATGTACTTAAAGCAAGTAATAACATCTTACCAAAAATAGAACATGATAAATTTCTAGTAATTCTTGCATAAGATGACCAAAATTATTTGCAATTAACAGAAAAATGTGCAAGTGTAAGTTGCTGCAGATAGCAACAAATAAAGAGTGAACGTTCATACCGTTTACAAACAGAAGAAAATAGCAAGCTGGTTGCAAAATAGTTCTATGAAACTAGGCTATAAATTGATCGAAGCAGACATCTAGAATATTTTTTTGAAAAAAATGGAATGCATCAAGTACTTCTCTGCCTCATTGTGATATTTGTAGACTAAAAAGTATCAAAGAACAAGTCACGGAATGCTCTCCTAGAAAAGCGTTGTATCCGTTGAAAGCACTTACTATACCCAAATAGTTCCATAACATGTTACATTTTATAATGTTTATTATTAATATCTAATCATAATCACCAATACGCCACAACTCTAAACCCATAATCTTAAACCTACCAGTAGTACCTTCAGGATTTCCATTGAGAATTTCATTCCCAAATGTATCACATGTACAGCTGACTCCCCTATACAAAGACTTATCTATCCATAAACCATTTTTTCCGTTCGAAGAACCAATGGCTATGAATCCATTGTCTGAATATATTATGTTATCATTTATACCTGTATACATGAATGCCTTGAACCTCGTTGCAGTGTCACCTTCTTTATTTTCTTGCTTTTGTTTTTCTTCTACTGCATCTCCATGTACTGGATGCCCCTCTCGTCCTTGCAGAGAAGAATGTGTTAGTTTTCTCGGATCATACATTTCCACTTTCCAGAGAAAACATTCACCATTTCCATAATACCGCTTATGCTCCATCGGTCTCAAATGCTCATTTAGGAAACAGCCAAACTTGGCATTGGTTTCATCTTTAATAACTAACACATATCCATGATGCCTTTCATGCAGAAAGTTCAGCAAATTGGATGTACCACTTGAGGTCACTACCATTGACAGTACAACACCATCCGCAAAGCCTTTTTCTTCTTTAATTTTTCGTTTCACTTCTCTCTGATGTGCTGGATTACTGTTTTGATACAAAGTTCTTAAAGAAATTCCATGCTGTTCTAGTGAGTACACCAAATGCCAATCGTCAAATAGCTGATGTCTGGCAGGTATCAAATTCCTGATGTTGCCAGCGAGTTCCTTATCAAGTAATTTATGCTTAGTTGACTTTTTGTAGCCCAAGAGCGATACAGGGGCCAATGGAGGCAAAATAGATGAAGCGATTGAGCCTGTCGACGAATTGGAGTTAGACATTGGGGCTGGTGAAGGGGATGACTTTCTTTTCCCTCTCAACCTCTCCAAAATAGTAGAACGTTTAGAGAGTCTAGAGTATGTCTGACTTATGGAATCATTATCGTCTTCATTGGACTTCTTAGTATCCACATCTGGTAACTTTTCAAAAGACATTATTTTTTACAATCCAAAGTAAGGTAGGAAAAAACAAAAATGAGAGATGAAGAATTATTTACGTTCTTATTAAATGTTACTTACTAGTTATACCCACTTTTGTTTTTTCTGATCAATTTGAACTACAAGTTTCAAACCAATAACACTGGCATTTAGAGAGGTGGAGGAGTACATGAAGATGTGGGCCGTTTTTGTGTAATCAAATGTTTTGTGTAAGCTCTCACCTATCAAGAAAGAAAAACAGAACAGGTGCCAGAGTAGAAAGAAGGGAATACATGGGTAGATACCTCTTAATGTAATAGTATGTAATAGTATGTAATTTTATGTAATTATATTTGGTCGTCTTTTATGGCAACACGCTCTTAAATCTAATCAAACCTCCTAGTAAATCAACCCCTACCTTGACACTATCAATAAATTGCACGTTAGGGAACGCTTCTGTTAATTTTTCATCTAAACCTGCCATTCCTGCACACCCCAATAAAACACAGTCGATCTTATCTGCCTTGTATTCGTCAAAAATGCTCTTAACTCTATTGACAATTTTGGCAAATTCCTGGGGGTCGCTTAAGCTTAACACATTAACATCCAAGCCCTTCGTTTTTTGGAACTTTTTGTAGGGAAATGAGTCAGAACCTACAAAATCAGTGATTCCCTTATCTAAGACTGGCTCCCATTCGTTAACACTAGTTAAGATAAACAGCTTGTTAACACTAGCTTGCAGGAGTGCATATAACAACGTAGCTTGCATGATCCCCAAGATTGGCTTGGACGTATGCTTAGCCAAATGATATACTAGTGGATGATCAGAGTAACAGCAGACTAAGAAACCATCGTACTTGTTGATGACATCTTTAGCCAACAAATCCGGGAGTGCCACTTTAGCGGATAATTCAGATAATTCTGGGGTAATCTCTGGTGGGCCATCTGGCGGTGCGGTATAGAAGTCAAATATGGTGTAAGGAGGCGGTTTAAGTATGGCTTCTAGGTTTTTAGTAACCTTTTCTGAAGAATTAGGATTGATAACTAAGATGCTAATGGACATTTCAACGCAAATACACTGCCGTATCTTGGAAAGAAGAAACGCACTATCAGTGTGGACTGCTTGATAGCAAAAGAAAGCGTAAAGGTGAGCATTGTATATGCAGGACACATGAAATCAATATAGCCGTCTATCTTTAAAAGCGAACCTCGAAGCGCTATGAGATGCATTCTTCCTCTCTGGAGCCGCTTAACCCTTGAGGGATGTCTTTTGTAGCAGTAATTGATAAAGACCGCCATAAGTACATATGGTCTAAAGCAATAACTTCTTTAGCGTCTATATCTGAAAGCATTAAATTTATCGTATCCCCCAAATCTCTATCAATTTCTTCAGTAAATACGGCAAAGACATCCAGCGGAGAAGTTATCTTTCTGTCATCGTTTTTTCACGAATTTAGAGCAGACTTCGATGATGAGGATAATATTATAGAGGGGTTTCAAATAGAAAAGGAAACACCTTCCTATTCATTCATCATTAACTCTAAGCATTTACTAATCCTATTCAAAAATTTAGATATTTTCGATCTTGATTATATATGCCTAAAGATTCATTGGATCAATGATGCCGTGGAGCCAAATTTCAGTAGTTTAAAATATAAATTATTAATAGAGATACGAACGAAGAAGTTGATCTTAAAAAAGTTTCAAACGGGATACCAACCTGTTGTTAGTAACAGGATTACTATCTCCGAAGAGTATAACAAGGAATTAAAGAAATCTAATGCAAGTTACAATTTTTTACACTATATTAAAATAGAACAGGCTATTCTCAAGCAATTTCTAGATATGATACCTAGTGCTACAGAAGATTTTAAGATTGAAATCAAGAATGAAAATATCCAATTTAGTGGATTTACCAAGCAGATTATGAAAGACAGAGAGTATTTAAAACAGCCCATGTCAGTTGCAATTTCAGTCTATCTAGAAGAATTGTTGGATACAAATTTGAATATCAATGTAGCGAATCGACCTTCCATCGAAAGCATAATGTTCAGATTGAAAGATTTCAAAAATTTTATAAACTTTATAACTTCATTTAGCAATGGCAATATAAATAATGACAGCAGTGATTCAAGTGATGATTATTTTGAAATTATTTACAAGAGACCAGGTGATCCTGTACTATTTGAATTGAAAAATAACCAGCACTTGACCGTGCAATATATTCAGATTACCAATGGTACTGATATTGAAGGTGCAAACAAAGTTGGAGGAGGAGGAGGAGGAGCACTGAACCCATTAAAGTCGCATGTTCTATATAAGATTGAAAATGCGCCCGAGCAAACCAGAGATGTAAGTAGATCAGCCAAGAGATCAAAGAAAAATACCTTAAGATCTAGTGACGATGTAGGCTCGCAACAATTATTTGTTCCGGAACTTTCGCAACAGCATGGAACAGAACCATCTACACCTGGATTTAGTTACGGAAATGCATTAGAAGATACAGAATATGAAGAGAGTGAGCGAGAAGGCGATCCAGAGGGTAAACAAGAAGTAGAAGATGAACATGAAAATGAGCATGAATATCAAGGTGAACATGACTTGGAATTTGGTCCTACGCAGGGAGCAACTTTGCCAAAATCTATTTTTGACTGATGTTTCAAGGACCCTCTATATCTGTTTCGTACAGTTCACTACGAATTTAAAACACCTACCTGAAACAGTCATAACATATACATAAATATTTTCATTGTTACACATATCATGCATTATAACATTTATTTAATCTTTCTAATCGATCCATTTAATATACAAATGTGTTCTTTTCCAATGAACCCGGTGCAGACTTCTAAAAAATAACCCATCTTTCATTTAACTAGATGCAGCTTCTTCGATCTTCTTTGGAGCATCGAAGTGATGCTTACTCCACCTGAAACCTTGTGCTAACTGAGCCAATTCGTTAACAAAGTGACAGCCAAACAATAAGTAGTTTTGAGGAGTCACAGCCATTGAGTATCTCATAAATACCAATGAGTAAACAATTAAACTTCCTGTCATTGGTCCTGATATTAATTCCGGGTCTTTCTTCAAATCTAACAAAGCGGCGACCGGAATACCAAAATTTGACACTGGTCCCCAGAAATGTGTAGTGCAAACATATCTCAAAGATTGCTTGGAGAATAAGAAACTGAAGAATTTATTAGCCATTACGAAGAATAGTTCGAAATATCTTAAAAGGAAATGCACTTACTAAAGTTCACTTGGACTTTTTTTCTTTTTCCCTGGCTCAAGTTTAGGTATATTTTTGTGTCATGAAAAATCGCTTGAGTGGGGTTTCCTCACCGGTTTAATGTATTCCGGAACGCACCTAATCTTGGTGCAGGCTGCAGCTACCTCAGACGCAGGTGAGTTAAACAGTTGCAAAAATCTATGGAACGGTACAAGCTAATCATGAGCATGTTTGCATGTTTTATTTAATTCTTTTATGTAATGAAAAGCGAAAATATATAGTAGTATAGAAAATAAAAGATTGCGAATAGTGATCGTAACAATAAATTTCCTCTATGAATAGACTCTTCAAACCTTAGGTACCTCTGCGTCTCTTTAAGTTTGTTTCTTTGTTATCAGAATTATGGCTCTGATCCGTATTGGTCACATCACCTTTCTGATCTAAAAATTGGCCAGAACCTTGTTGGAAATATTGTTGTTGTAGGTACTGGTCAGGAGAGAAGATCTGAGGGTCATTAGTGTCAGAAAATTGGGAAAGACCCATCTGGTGTTGTGCAAAAGTTTGAGGGAGATGCTGATTATGGTTATTTCTTGGAAAGTGTTGTGGTTGATTCTGTTGGAGTTCCTGTTGTTGTTGTTGATGCTGAAGTTGTTGTGGGTGATGGTGGTGGTGATGGTGGTGTGGATGTTGATGTTGATGTTGATGCTGGTTTTGGTATTGTGGGAGATTTGTTAAAGGAACCTGCTGATGTGTGGTCTGTGGGGAAGGTGTTGCATTCATATCAATTAATGGTTGAGTTCCATTCACCATCATTGGAGAATAAGAAAAATGCTGGCCCTGCAATGAAGGCTGAGACGTAGGAAATGATCTTTGGTCCACATCGCGATGAATGTCGTCATACATAGGAATCAAACTGGTACTACCTCTATGCTGCGATTTAGCATCTTCTGTAAGTTGAGGAGTGGAGATGTCTGTGTCATTGTAGTACGTTTGAGGAGGATTCATATTAGATACTCCCAGGCTAGATGCAAGCGAAGATGGCACACCTTCAGATGGGGTCCCCATGGAGAACGCACCAGCTTCACCTTCGTTCAGTTCACTAGTGAGCGTCAGTGACTTATTACGAGCAAGTCTTTGCCTTGTGTTCAGCGGCTGCTGGGGCACTGGTATTTTCAAATAATTTTGATTAGCTTCGGGCTCAGTCTTTATTTGTGCCTGCGTTTGAGTCAGACTCTGGGTGTCACTAGAAGATGCATCGTCACTTGGACTGCTCAAGTAATATGGAAAATTATCAGGGTTTCGTAACCAGAACGGGTCATTAATGTTAAACCCGAAATATCCCTGGAAATCAGTATTTGATATTACATCATGAAATTCATTAAGTTCTTTTTCAAACATTTCTCTATCCCTCTCGGCCTTGAGCGCTTGCTTTTCAAAGATTATCTTGATATGTTCCAAGATCTTGGAAACCAATTTCACTGTGTTAGAAGACCATAGCTTTACCTTTTCCTCGCCTTGTCCGAAAGATACCAAATCGCTTAACTTTTTCTCAACAGCGTATAAAAACTCATTATAATTCACTGTTTCTCCAACCAATAGTGGATCTGCTTTCATATCAAAGTTGTTTATGAAATCTTTAAAATTATAATGCAAAAAGGTGAAAATTACTATGATTCCTTGATAAACAAATGAATTCAAAAATGGATAAAACAACCTAAACAATTTGCCTAACTTCAAATCATTATTAGCAAAGTTGGCTTTGGATTCTTGAATTAAGATCGTAAAATTGTTACGGAAGTTCGTTATAAAGATAAGAATATAATCCAAAAAATTTAAGATTGAATATCTTAACATATTTGAAATGATCTTGGCTTCCAGAAGGTTCGTGAATTTGTTGACAAATGGTTCAAAAAGTTTAGCTCTATTGATATAGAGTATAATCAAATCTGTTACAACATTTGCCCTGTCACCTTGGCGAGGAAATTCAAATTCAAACTCATCATCAGATTTAGCCTTTTCGTCAATAGAAGGGCTCAGAAGATACCATTCCAATAGTCTTATTTCCACATCAAATTTATTGTTTAAGGTGATCAAATCCTCCATTCTAAAATCAAGCATGAAGTTTTCAATCAACATCATATTTGACAATCGTAAACACTCACTTAAGCCAATTTTCAACAAGACATGAGAAATCCTTTCCGAAATATCTTCATCAGATAATACTGTATCAGATATGCCCTTAACTACCGTTGAATTCACTTGAATCAGGATAGGGTTCGGTCTACCTAAGATGGAGCATATTTGCCCACAAATGTTTTTCAAGGCAAACCAAACTTTAAACCGATCAATATCCTCCAGTTGAACGTCCGGGTTAGTTAGTGAGTTAGCTGCAGATGACTTCGCCATTATTACAGTAGACTCAGTAGTAGACACGCTTGTAGTGACTTTTCCTTGGTTATTTTCAATCGTAGAATTCGGGCCTTGGCGAATCTGATTTCCAATAATTCCAAAGCTGACCTTCTTCATTGCATGTAATCCGATAGCATAAGCAATAGAGCAAGTATGAAACATCATAGACCAACTCTCTTCATATCGTTGCTCAATCAAATACCATTCAGTACATAAAATGTACGATTGAATCGTTAGAATCGACTCATTTATCAAGTTATGTCTTAATCTTTCAAAATGGAAATAGAGGACACTTTTGGAGAGATGACTTCTCGATTTATTAAACTGATTCAATTTACGGCCGTCCAACAAGCCTAGTTCCTGGTACTGATTTGGAGATAACCTTTGTACCAGCAATAGTAATACCATATACAATAACAATAGATCGTCATCTCTCTCCCATTCATTGTCCTTAATATCTTTATAATCAGTAAGAAAGTCAATAATTTTAGCCTTACTTATGAACGATCTATAATGCGTATTTTGCTCGAAAAAGATATTCACTAGGTCAAGGGTAACTTGATGATTTTTCTCTGGAGATGACCCTATGAGCTTCGGTAAATCCTTTTTACTCAATGACTTCTCTATTAACTCAGCATTTTTGGCGGAAATACCAGCTGCGGCAAGGCTCTTAAGTTTCTGGTGTTGCAGTTTTTCATCTGTTGGGGTATTTGAGTTCTTATTTCTTCGTATAATATCAGCTACCTTTTCGTTAGTATCTTTAATTTCGTTGCCTACAAGTGCTCCATCGTCATTGAGTTTGAGACTTTCACTTGACTTTAGCTCTTCAATCATGTACGTAGAAGATTGGGGACCATAATACTTTTCACCCAACTCTGAGGTTTCACCTGAGATGCTTATTCCCGAAGGTTCGCCTTGTCCATCAGCGTTTCCGCTTCCGTTCCCGCTTCCCTTCCCTGTTACTTTTCGTTTATCATCAGATTCGGTCTTGGGTTTCAGTTTTGAGGCCAATTCATTCAACTCCTTATTCCTTTTCCTTAACCTAGCATTTTCATCTAACACTTTTGAGTGGAGCGACCTTAAACTTAACAATTCATCAAGCATGTCATCTGGAGATTCGCCAGTATTGGGATCATCCGAGTAGCGCCTACTGTTGTCTTGGTGAGTGTTAATCGGGTAGCTTTCGTTAGTTCTCTCAGTATATATAGCAGCATTTCTATAGGTTGAAGGAAATTCGCAAACGAGATTTCTTCTCGTACATTGGTTACATGGCTTGATTCTATTACATTTGACCTTAAGTCTGCGGCATGCTAGACAAGATATGGGGAAAACTTCGGTCATCTGGAGCACGGAGCACTAGATCTTGCTCTTTTTTGTTCTTCTTTATCCTCTCTGAAAATTATCCTTCTGGCTATCAATATAATCTATTCCTGTTTCTGTATTAATATGCATAACAAGGACTTTATATTTAACCGAACATAAAACAAACTAGCGCAGGGTTCTTTTATACTTTAATATAATCCTATCTTAATTTATATGTTTAGAATACTTCTACTGTTTCTTGCACTGTTTCTTGAGACTGAAAAAAGTTTAAGAGAAGAGTAACTCAAAAAATACAAACAGAATCCCGGGAAGGAATTTCCACGTTTTTTCTACTCTTATTTTCTACACTAGAAAAGAGTATGGTTGTGAAAAATGATTCGTATGATATCGAGGATATATCTGCAGTAGTAGTCTAAATAAAAAAAAAAAAAAAAAAAAATCACCGAAGCAGCATAACCAATACCTCATGTCAATGTAAACTCTTAACCATTCGCCCCCCAATTTGGCTGTTGGGTTAATCTAATGACCCAATTGAGCCTCAGCGATCGACACATCGATGATCTAAACGTACTAGGCCGTGGTTGCCCAATGTTTCATAGCATGCCCGTTATGTGCAACGGAGTTCCGCTGTGAGGGTATCCTGCCTGTAGTAAGCGCTCTGCATCCTTTGATGGTCTTTGAAAATAATATTCTTTCTTTTTTTTTTTTTTTTTCCATTTTATTTTTTTTGTTCCTTATTTTGAGCATACAGCAGCGGTTATAATGGTGCGGCACTTTCTTATATACGATAATTGGTCTGATTGATATGCCCTAGATAGCCAGATATATAGATCATCGAAGATGCTTTTTGTTGCTATGAAAACACCCCTCACCAAATCAGATTCAACCAGATTAGCGCGTGCTAATTTTCAACGCCCTGGGTTTGATTTCTTTGCAGCGCAATGCCAATCTCCCATATATTGAGGCTCATTTCTTAATTCTTAATTTACCGTTGTGTTTTACCCACAATATAGTCTCGCTTTTTTGTATCTTACCCCTTTTGCTTTTCAGTTTTTGCTTTGTATTATATCCCACTTCATTTTGTAGCCATTTTTCTAGTTAAGGACTGCTCACATTCGAGCTCAAGTACCACAATGCTACAATGGCAGTGCCCACTACCTGTACTTGCATTTCCTATGTAGGAATGGAACCGGAATTACGTATAATCTGCCGCATTGCTTAGCTAGCCTTTTTACCACTTCACCACTAGAATATTCTTATATCCGACCGGCTTCTAATGCACGAGAGATGCTGCTGCACTGACAAGTTGAGATGCTGCTGCACTGACAAGTTGAGATGCTGCTGCACTGGCAAGTTGAGATATATTTGTATATTTAACACCGTACGTAGATAAATGAATATAGATAGATATATATATAACTGTTAAGAATTGAAAGTCATTCAAATGTCATTTAAATAAGATTTAAGTTGACTTTCGTAAGTTTAGACTGGTTTAGTCAGAGTAAGTGCCTTTAATGCAAGCGATGTGTAACATGGAATCAAAAGGTTGTCGTTCATGTCACTTGAGCCTTCCAATAAAGATCCAATAATACAGGTAATGAAAATACTTTCCCAATCGAATTGCACTGCTAAGAAGTATTCCAATCCAAAGAACGAAACTAGGGTAATAACAAAAAATGCTAAAGTTCCTTGTATACTTTTGTAGCTTCCAGTCCATTTCAAAGTACCGAAACTTTTACCGATTATAGAAGCCGTGGAGTCACCAATACCCAAGTAGACTATTCCCAAGTAACTGAAAACAGTGATTGCTCCGTGTTCGTAGAAATCAAGAACAATTGGAATGGTAATCCCTAACAACAAAAATATGTATGAACAATTCAATGGACCTTTAAGATCCTTAGAGTCTTGAAATACAATCAATTGATTATACAATGCTTCACCGATAAAAGTCAACCTGTTGTACCTGACTAACTCAACAAGAAGCAAAACAATGAATGACCCAAACAACGCAATTAAAGTAAATATTGGTTGATTAATCAATGGTTGAGAAACCAACAAAATAAACAAGATAACCGAGTGCCAAATCTTTCTTCTTGAGTTAAGCAGCAATTTATAAGACAGAATGAATATGACAGAGATCGAAAATACTAAAATAGACAGCCATATTTTGATTAAATGCAATCTTTCTTCAGACTTCGTGATGTAATCATGTAACCAGAAGATAGGCAGTTGACCTAAAATAGGATCCAATTGATAGTTACTGAGCAAGACGAAAAGGGCACCGAACATGGCAATTAGGAGCAGACAAATGATTGAACGACTGGAAAGGAACGCATTATCAGTAACTAGGTCAATGTTTTGATAATACTTGCAGAATGGCCAAGTAACCGCTCCAGAAACTATCAATGCAATGAAAAGCTTCTGCAAGATGATTAATGGAATATAGATATTCTCCTCGGGTAATTTACTTGAAACGACTGGGAAGTTGTTGACCAATAGTTTAACAGCTAGAAGTGTTAACAAATGTATTTCAGATTTTTGTAAAGATTCACCTGTTCCAATCCGATGTTTTGAGTCTTCAATTTTTAGTAATTCTTCCTTGTCGTCTTCCTTTTCTAAGATTTCTGGAACTTCATGTGCCGTGCCTTCATTTCCTGAGCTTACGAAGGTGAGTATGTGGTTTATCACCACGTAACAAGCGATACTTTGAAGGACTTTAAATGGGACAACAGATTCATCGGTGTAGACGTAGTAATACATAAAAGTCAATACTACTCTTGCCAAAAGTGGTAACTGGTCAATAGTAAAATAGTTTAAAGATAAGTTCAAGAGCATGTCTTGTGGCCAAGATAATAACGTCAACCCAGTAGGAAGAACAATCGAGTAAAGGTGATTGAATTCTGGCAATGATGGAGCTGGGTTTTCGAAATTCCGCAGATGACTCTTCAGCGCAGAGTAATGAGCCAAGATCAAAGCAAGAGTAACCCCGAGGAAGTTGAACCCGATCACTTGATAATTCTCTAAAAGCAATTCTAAATGGTTCATGTATATCAAATTAGCAGTATATAATACAATAAGCCACTGTACGAATGCACGGGGTGTCATGTTATCATTGAGGAAGTCCTGGATTGTGTATATCACGTAGAGGGGGAAAATGTAATTGGAAGGATCATCGTTTTCTTCCGCAGCTTCACCCTGTTCTGCTGCATCTGTAACTGCAGTGGAACCTACATCGTCTGCATCGACTGATGTGGGTGCTTGGTCGGAACTGTTAAGAAAGATAGACGCAGTTGATCTACTTCCGGCATCAGCCAGTTTGAGTTCTTTCAGAGCTCTGGAACGAGTGGCACGGGACATTCTTTTTCAAAAATATTTATAGTGGTACAGTTAATAAATATAATGCGGTCCGTATGAGAAGTCCGAAGGCAGAGTCTCTATATATAATATCCCTTAATAATGTCTTTGGAGTGGATTAGATGAATGGAGCTAACATGTGATTCATTGTCCAATTTTCAGATGCCAGTGACACCGGAGTTGACGACCTGCAGAATCTCCCGCTAGTTGACCGACGTGCAGGATCTCCTTGATGGCGCATCCGCAGATTGTGAAGATTGTGAGACATAAAAATGCCTAATTGCAAAAAAGGCTAGATACAATATGTCGGTCTATTATTACTATACATGGAGGTAGTGGAAAAAACGTAAGTTGCGACGTACACAAAGAAATAAGTTGCTCAATCTAGCTAGGTTTACTGCATAGATGGCTATCTTGCTATCTTATACCTTCATGAGGGACATTAAATCCTGCATGATTAGGTAATTAGATTTGTGTGAATGGTTGCATAATTCTGCAACAGCAAGCAATTCTAATACCAATTGTCATTTGAGCGACTATATAAGGGAGGTAGAAGCTCTACAGGCATAGAACTTCTGTTAGTTTAATTCTTTACTTCAAGATCATTCATTTCCATATAAATCAAATTGAATACATATCCTTACTACTATTATAATGGTTAACGTTCTCATTGCAATTACTTCATACAACGAAGCTTTCTACCCTGATGGCGCAAAGACCGGTCTTTTCTTAACCGAGGCATTGCACCCATTCGAAGCGTTCAGAGCTGTTGGTTACGAAGTCGTATTTGCCTCCGAAACAGGTGAGTGGGGATTTGATGAGCATTCACTCGTTGAACCATTCTTAACTGGAGACGACTGGACGGTTTACAATGATAAACACTCTGAATTTATGCAAAGCTTAAAGAATGTGAAGAAGGCTTCAGATTTAGATTCTAAGGAATTTGATATCTTCTTTGCTGCTGGTGGTCACGGCACAGTATTCGATTACCCAAAAGCTAAGAACTTACAAAGTCTTGCTGCAGATATTTATGCTAATGGTGGGCTTGTCTCTGCCGTATGTCACGGTCCAGCTATCTTCGATGGGTTACTCGATAAGTCCACCGGTAAGCCATTGATCCAAGGTAAGAGGGTTACAGGATTCACAGATGAAGGTGAGACCGCGTTAGGTCTCGACTCCGTCATGGCTGCAAAAGGTGTTAAAACTATAAAGGCTGTTGCAGATGAATCTGGTGCCACCTACGTTGCCCCAGCTGGTCCATGGGATGATTTTACCGTTAACGATCAAAGAGTGATTACCGGTGTCAACCCACAATCCGCTGCATCTGTTGGAACATTAGTTATTAAGACCTTTGCCAACAACTTGTAAAGAATACCGAAGGCAACCTGACAATACTTATGAAAATGTATGTAGTCCTTCAGTGTGCCACACAACAAAACAATGAAAGAAATTGAAAAAGCGCAACCTACTATGCTTTGGGGTATGTAGACCGAATCAAGAATAGTTAAAGAAAGTGGGGAATAAGAAGTACAATAATACCAATAATAAGAATAATAAGAATAAGAACAAGAACAAGAATAGGAATAAGCATAACACATCCTACATTCCCTCACCACTACCTTTAATTGTACTACTCTATCACAAGCATTCATATGACTGCGACCGCTTTGTGGTATTCACTGATCTCTTACTTTCTCTTGGTTCTCGTTCGAGTACGCATCACCTTAGTCAATTATAATTTCTACGCTCTTTCTCCTACACTGTCTAACTCCAGTGCGAACTGCCCTCATTATTACACTCTGAATGTTCCAAGTTTTGATTCTCTTCCCTATGGCCCTTGGGATCGTTTTCATTTTTCCCAACTAAATTTCCAAGTACACCACAAGAAATTTACCCAAATTTCTCGTACTGACCAAAAAAAGCGAAAAGCGAGAGGAGAGAAATTTTATGGATATTACACCACGTATTTCTGTTATCTCTTCGTTGTTGAACGTTTCCCTTTCGTAAATTGATCCCTGGCAGAATGTTCAAGAGTCTTAAGTTCTTTGTGAGGTCCGTAATATACGGCTCGCTCATCACCGGATGTGCTCTCTACGGTGTCGTCGCTTCCATTATCTTACGTATAATAGGCAAGAAAGAATACGCACAATACACCGTGGCTAAGGCCTTCTACAGCACGTTTTCTACAGCAACAGGTATTAAAATCAAGTTGGTCAATGAGGAAATATTGACTCAGTTGCCCGCTGTGATTATCAGTAACCACCAATCTGCCCTTGATATTTTGATCTTGGCTAAAGTCTTCCAACCTGGCTACACGGTAACTGCTAAGAAGGTTCTTCAATACTTCCCCTTCCTTGGGTGGTTCATGTTGGCGTCGGGAACGTTTTTCCTTGACCGTGCTAAGGGTGAAAAGGCAAGAAAGGTGTTGGAGAGAGCATTGGCTGGTTTGAAGAAGGAAAAGAGAGGCCTCTTCATGTTTCCTGAGGGAACCAGGTCTGGTTTCACCACCTTGGAACTCTTACCTTTCAAGAAAGGAGCCTTCCACCTTGCCAAACAAGCTGGAATCCCTGTCATCCCTGTTGTAGTCAGTAACACCTCAACTATTTTCAATGCTAAGAAAAAGGTGTTCGAATCTGGTTTAATCACCATTGAAGTATTGGACCCTATGCCCACTACTGGTTTGGAGACCAATGAAGATGTAACCAGGTTTTCTGAAGAAGTACACAAGAAAATGAGTGATGTGGTCAAGAGATTGGGATACTCTGTTCCATCGAACCAAGCCAATTCAGAACTTCAATCTCAAGACGCCGAGATAAATGCAGAAGACGCAACCGATATCAACACCGATAGTGAGGCTGAAGTCGAAGTTGTCACTGAAGTTGTTTCCGAAGTTACCCCATTAAAATCAAAAGCTACATAGAGAAATGTTTATATAAATGTTAATAATTGTTAAATGTGTAGAAGATCTAAATTAATTATTTTTACTTAATTCGTATTTCGTTAGTCTATTATGACAGCCTTCTTCTTCTTCTTCTTAGAAGTTTTCTTCACAGCGATGACATCAGATTCAGGAGATCCTGACTTTTCACTTTCTTGTGCAAGGGTCACTGGAAGGACTGAGTCTAGCTGAGAATCTCCATCTTTTACCTTGAGCTTTTTAGAAGTCTTCTTCTTGCTGTCATCGTCTTTTGTGCTCTTCTTCACCTTCTTCTTCTTAGGCTTGATCGAGCTATTTTCAAGCTTACTCCTCAATTCGTTTAAATCAATATCATAATCATAACTGGAGCTTGCAACGTCATTTTTACCTTGTAACTCGTCAGACAAGGGAGTGTTCAAATCGAAGTTATCTAAATTTGAAGAATCAATTCTGAGCGTATTCTTTTTCTTCTTCTTTGGAGCAATGTCCAGACTCTGAATTTTTTTTTGAGTAGATGCTTCATTATCACCCGCAACTTTCTCTTCCGACAATATGACTACCCTTTCCTTCTTCAATTTTGAAGGCTTGGACTTGATTTTACGCTTAGACGACTTAGAAGCATCGTTAGTATCTTCGCCCGTAGCCGAATTAATAGAAAGGATGTCACTTGGCGTAGTTCCGGATGGAGTGACATCTCCCGATACTACTTTAGCCCTTGAAGATTTGCCCTTCTTACTACTGCTACTAGTAATATAATAAGGGTCATATTTCTGTCTTTCTAATCTTTCCTTTCTCTTCAATTCTTCATCAGAAGATGAACCTAGCTTAATTAAAGGCTCTTCGTCATTATCATCTCCGTAGACATTTTCATCCCCTTCAAAGATAGAACTGTCTGTATCTGACTCTTCAAGATCACTCAATTGATCAAACATTGGTGGGTTCAAACGCTGGCTGAGATCAAGACCAGCAGGTATTGGAATATTTCTTTGAGAATCTGATGAGATAGGATTAAGGTCATAACTTTTGAAAAATGAAGGTAATATGTGTGTAAGAAGGATAGGTAATTTTTCGGCTTCTTGGAAAGGATTAGGTTCGTTAAAACTGCTGATTTCTGGGTCTTGTGGAACTTCCCTTTCCCCCTTCTTCTCTTGAGTGACCTCTCCTTTCTCTTCATCCTCCTCATCCTCTTCACTTTCCTCTTCACTTTCTTCTTCACTTTCTTCCTCTTCGCTGTCTTCGTCGCTCTCTTCCTCAGTCTCGTCTTCACTATTAGGTTCATTTTCTTCTTTGCTTTTCAACTTTTCTTGATATTCTTTTACTTCATTTTCTTCAAATCTCTTTACTTCTCTCAAATCGTCACCAATTAAGGCTTCAAGGCAAAGTTTTAAAAATTCTAGCCAAGATAGTGCTCTTTCTTGAACTTCATAATGCAGGTGATTTTCCAAACAACCCAAGAACAAAATTAACTTGTGTAAATAAAACGATAAATAAACAAATTCGTCATGGTTTATTGTTCCACCATGTGAGTAATGCTTCGTATAATATGTAAAAATTCCATTATAGAGTTTAACTAATGCTTGGATTAATACAATCAAAACATCTGATTGTTCTAGATGAACTAATTTCGAAGATATAGGAAAGAGTAAATCCGAGCTGTTATGCAATCTTATGTCGATATAGTTGTTCACTAAAGTATCAAACATTTTGACCTTCATTTCTAGTCCCTTAACGTCATCATCTTGATCATCTTCATATTCTGCTTCATCATCTTCATCAGTAATAGTCTTTAAATCATCGATATACTCTCCCATAATCCAATAGAAGTCCTTCAAGATTATTGGACAGTTGTCAACAATGTCCACATCCTGAATCATTTCATAAACAACAGTAGTGAGAATGCTAGTCCTTATAGATGGAACTCTTGCTGCAAGCGTTTTAAATTCTTGTCCGATTGCCTTAGAAATAATATTGGCAGTAGCTTTGGATATTTCAGGGTTGGAGGCGCTTGGAAGTGGAATTAATGTTAGATTAATCATATCCTTCAAAACCGCAACATACCATCTGAAACTAGGAATGTTTTGATAATCATCTTGAGATGCAATAGATAAAATTTTCAAAGTGATATCTAATTTCAAAGATTCAGGTATAATCTCTGATGGAGTAGAGGTTTGAGGCAACAATTGCTCCAACAACACTCTAATTACTTCTGCAATATTATTTTCATTAACCAAATAATGAAAAACTTCCAATGCCTTCGACTTAATAATGATATCTCTATCAGTAATACAGTTCTTGATCATCTGCGACACACCCTTCACCTTGTGGATAAGGCTTGGAAAGATTTTAATGATATTAACCAATGCAATCAATCCTACAAAGATCAAGTTGGAATCTGGCTTGTCGAAGTAGAAAGTCATAATGTGTTGCATACACAAAGTAGCTGTTTCTTTATCCTTTTTGGAATCCGATGACAACATGTTCCCGCTGACAATACAGTTTATACATTCGTAGATCAACGATGAAGCCTTCGTAGAATTCATCAACTCTATAATGGTAGGCAAGATTTTCTTCTTCATTCTAGGTTCCACCTTAGACAAACTCTGAAATAACTTCAATATACGAATTATAAGCCAATTGTTCTTGGTTTCTTCCAAGATAGTGAAGAATTTTGGTACGTAGTTAATGAAAATAGAGGGAGACTTCTTCGAGATCTCGCATATAACGTTGATGGTTGCACTCACTACAGAGACGTCCACATCATCCAACTTGTCCAAGATTCTATTGAAGTTTACTCTGAGTGATTCTGGATACTGCAAAAAGATCTTATACATTGCCAAGACGGCCTTCTTACGGATGTAGGGCTTTGAATGCGTTAACTTCATGCAAACGTCGTCCACTATGTCCTTGGAAAGATTGAGAGTGACAATGGTCGCAATTCCACTCAAAGCCAATCCTATTTCAAAGTGATTATGCAGATTTAAGTCTTTCTTGAACTGATTAGTGGCGAGAATCAACAAATCTTGTTCATTTTTGAACGATTGTATTGCCGCCAAGTACCCAATACGTTTCTGTTGGAACTTGGACGACGACATCACTTCCAAGATCTGAAAGTTGCACCAAGTCATATCAAATCCGTACATTTCCAAGTACGTGAGCTTTAGCACAGCCATGGCTTTCGTTTCCATGTCAGTGGTACTCAATTCGGTTCTACATTCTTGGATGGCCAGGTCTAAAAATGTGGATAAGCTATCCGGGGAGATCTTCAGGTGAGAACGAATTCCCTTGATAAGATCGCCCAAAGACTTCTCGAACAGAATTCCAAACGGTTTGAGCCGGGCCAATACCTCGGAATTCTGGAGCCTAAATGACATGATTCACCAATTCTCACTTCCTTTTACAAAGTCTGGGTTCAACTTGATTCTTTACTAGGTCACTTAAGCGTTGAGACTTTCGAGCTTGGTTATTTTTTGACACCTCCGATTTTTTTTTTTTTTTTTTTTTTTTTGGCTATGATTTTTTTTGTTCCATGCCTAGGGTAGCTTTGTGTCACATATGGATGGTACATTACAATCAGTCTTAAAGAGAGGACGTTAAGAGTTAGCCACCGATCATAGCTGTTGTAGTAAAGATGAGCTTAGAGGAGGCATCTGAAGATGCCAGTAATAGTGTAAATGTTCAAAATAACGAAATAGAGAGGCAGAATGCCGAGGATATTGACCGTTCTTCTGTGGCTTCCTCTTCCTCTGATGAATACTTTTTAAGTGACGATGAAGACTTGAGTGCTGGGTTGACAGACGGACATGAGCGGCTAATTGGATACTCTTCCACTATAGGAGACCACTCTTCTTATCTCTCGCAGACATTTTCAAATGCCATGGACTCCGTGCAATTAGATAAGTCTTTGGTCACTCAAGCTCAACTAAGCGGACAGTTGAATAACTACAACCAAAAACTCATTGACAAGAGGAATGAGGTTTTGACGAAATTGCAGGACTTGCAGAATTTATACAAGAGCCATTTTGACCCAGGTGAGAAGAGAATATCCAAATTGGAACAATTGCAAACAGATATACATATGATTGAGTCTAAAATAGAAAAGCTTAAGTACGGTACCCATGGATTAGATACTGGGATCATGTCGCTTTTCAAAAACCAGAAATCTGGGGTAATTCAAAAATTCCCGATAGAGTACAACCAAGCACGAGATAAAGTTATTGAGAGACAAATTGAGGAATGAAGACGAAGAGAATATAATTCAATAGTAAAGAGAAAGAAAATCCGGTTGCTGCAAAGGTGTAATTCCCTCTGGTTCTACATTAAAGTAAGCTCATAGGTTACTAAATCAATCATATTTGACATTCTTTACTTTTTTAACTTTTTTGCTCTAGTGATAAAATCATGGGTTAATTTTCCTTCATAAACTAGACCTCATTGGAGTAGAAGATTCCTAACCCATCCATCCAAGCACCGGTGTACCCATACACCCCAACGACCGTAAAGTTACTTGGTGCTTTCAAAGTACTGACTCCACCACCACCTCCTCCATAAATAGGAGATTTAGTACCTCTGTTGGTTTCAAACTGAATGGCGTCAATCCACCAACCGCATCTGACATTGAATTTGGTAATATACTCACCAGGAGGCACATTAAAATCAGAATAACGATTTGTTTCATGGCCAACTGAGCTGGTAAGCTCTTGGCCATCAAATTGAGTGGGTGCAGTCCCTTGGTTGCTACTTTGAGTAATAGTTTTGAAGAACTTATGCACATAGTTTCTTTCCGGAAGAGGAGGAGGTTTTTGAGCTTGTTGTTCTTGACTAGTAGAATTTGAATAGAAAAATTTAAGTCCAAATAAAGAATTTTCCGAAAAGACTCTAATCTTATGAATTCCCTTAATATTAAAGCCAGCTATTTGGATTGGCTCATTATTCTCGTTTCTACCAAGAAGACTACTCTTATAAGCAGTAATTTGTCCTCTATTTAAACCAAAATCACTTCTGAACCTAGAATCTTTCGATTTTGAATTACAAAATTCCCTAAAGTTATTGGTTTCCCAGTCTCCTGCGATTGACAATACTTTCAACTTGAAGTCAGGCTTGGCATCCCTGTACCCTGACTTGAAGTTTTGATAATAAGAGTCGTAGTCCATAAAAAGTTCCCTTTGTAACCCTTCACCACCTAATGTCCTGGGTAAGTAGGTTATAGAATGTCTAGCCAAATCATCGATAATGAATTCAATCATGTAAATACCAGCGTCTGACTCCATAATTACGCCTTCATCGGTGCGAAGTGGTACAGGGGACGAGCTCTTTCCATCATATGTAGAGTCTGCAATCTTGGTGGATTTTTGGATTTTTTGGAATGTTGAGTCGCTTTTGTCATCTGGTAACCCAAACGAATCATGGTATAAGAATCTAATAATATCTAATCTATTCCAATGGCAGACTTTTCCTACCGGCCATTGGCCACTTCTACCGTCAATAATTTGGCCCCTGGAATGAGTTCTTAAACATTCTAATTCCCTAGTCATAAAAGATCTATTGAACCAAATGTAATCACGCAACATGACTCCATTAACCTGATGAGGACAACCTAACAAGTGCCCGATTTCGTGCATGAATGCACCCATAGTTATGTTCATGCATTCCCAACTGGTTCCACACTCGTTACAATCATTGGCAACTTCTCTATCCGACAAATGAGTTTGGTCCAAGAAGTTTGCAGATATTTGTGCAAAAGTCGATGGCCAAGAATGCAATCCATGAGAGCCAAAGATAGCCAACTTAATGTCGTCTGTTCCACCACCAAGAGCAGCATGGGTCAAGATCAATCTTTTGGAAACATCCCATGTAGAGTCCAAGTATAATACAGCACATTGAATTGCAGTTTTCAGGCGTCTAAAATGGTCATGTGGGAAAATATCTGGGGAGTTAGAAATCAAATCAAGAGCATGGGAGAATAGTCCACCATTGTCAGAAGCATCTGGATTCTGCTGGGCTAAATTGGGATCTCTCAATTGCGCCACGGTCTTTGGTGATCTTAAAACATGGATTTTAACTTCATTATGAGGAGTTGGAGAGTTGACATTATATCCAAATATACCTTGTCCGTGTACAGGTTCCTCTTCAAATTGCCAAGTTCTGTTACCGAGTCTATTATCCCTCATGTCATCTTGAGTAAATGCTTGCATCATTCTGCCTGCTACTTTTAACTTTTGTATAGCAGTATCAAGATTTGCAACTTCACCTCTTTGCAACTTATATCTAGGCATATCATACGAGCCATTGGAATCCTTACCGATTATGACACACAAATGAACTAGTTTATTCTCCGGCAATGGGAATTGGCGCAATGTCAAAGACCCAGTATCTACACAATTGGTTGCATTTTCCGGAAATCCAAATGGATTCAAATACGCATTAGCAAAGACCTTCACCTCCAATTTATTTGGTACACCAGCAGATAAATGAATTAGAGCCTTGAAATGTCCATTGCTATTCACTTCAAAATTTTGCGGGGGAAACACCTTGTTCTCACTGTTAATGAATTGGATTACTCCTCTATCAATGCCAGTAGAAGTCCTACCTGAGAGGATAATAGTAGGCGAAGATGATATCTCGCCATCTTGATAATTGAAGGTCAACATCTCTAAGCTGTAAACTCTTAATTTTAGTCCTTTCTATACAATATTTCACAATACTTCTCCTCAATTAACTCTACTGGATACTCTAAGCAATCTGCAATCTGTCAACTACGTGTGGAAGCTCTGCGATTTTATTTTTTATGTGCGACGCATGGCGCCTCGTTTGGAAAATTAAACCGATTCGATGACCTAAAAGGGCACAGTGGATGAGGGAGGAACCACACGAGATAGGCATAGATTTCAGGTTGACACACGAGCGGAAATAAGAATACTCAGTTCAGACGTGAAAAGTTTAAGCTTATATTCATGGCGAGATCAGAAGCTTCAATTGCCGCTGCGAATCACTGGGGGAATAAGAGCGAGGAAAATGTTGCAGACTCAAATATTGCGGAGCCAGATACTGACTATAGTGATAACGAGGTAATTGAGATAAAATCTGAAGATGAAGATGGGGTTCAAGCTGCTACTTTACTGGAAGGTGAAGAGAGTAAAGGACAAGTATCAGAAGGAAAGGAAGCAATGAAAAATGTGTCTGATAAACCAAGTCCTTTCCACTTGATGGAGACCCCCAGTTTGAAAATTCCAAAAGATGGCCTTTCTTTGGAGCAGTTAATATCAGACAAAACACTTTCTTCCACTTTCCAATTCAACTTCACTATCCAAGTTCCTTTCTTTTTGCACCATATTGCGAAAGAAGCGAGTCCAGAAATCACCTTTATTACAGGCACCGAGAACTTACTAGATGATCCCAAATTGATTGAGGATAAGAAGTTGATATCGAAGTACAAGATAAGTAGCTTGGTGGCCCATGTCCATGATATGTTTGGATCGCATCATACTAAGTTAATGGTAAACTTTTTCGAAAATGACTCAAAGGCTGAAATAATTATCTCGTCTGCTAATATTACCATACTCGATTATGGTGCATTGACTCAGATGTGTTGGAGATCTGGTAAACTAAGTAAAGGAAAGACCAAGTCTGGGAGCCAAGGAGAAATCTTCCAACGAGATTTGATCCGATACCTTAGGAAGTACAGGCTAGGTCCAGTAAATGAAATGGCAAAGAAATTGAATGAATTTGACTTTTCACTGGTGGAGGTTGAACTATTTGCGTCTGCTCCTGGAACTTATGATATGTCGTTTGTCACCGATGATTCCGAGGTCTACGGATATGGCAAGCTATATCAAATATTGAAGAGAAATAAAATTACTATGTCAAGAGACTTACCACCAGGGGCGGTATACAATATCCTAGGTCAAGTATCGTCTATTGCGTCACCATGGAAATCAGCAAAGGGAGATACTGCATCTGTATTAACTCATATAATATGCCCATTACTATTCCACTCTAAAGGAACGTTTGTGCCGCTTATACCGGGCTCACAGCCGTCCAGAGCGAGCCAGATGTTCTACAAGTATAAGCCACTTATATTGTATCCAACGGCTAGGGATCTCTCGAGAAGTGAAATCGGGTGGAGCGCAGGTCAGGCCACTCATTTCAACTATACCGGGTCCGCTCCAACCAGGGCACAATACAAACAGAACATTAAGCCCTATCTCTACGGTTGGGACTCGGACATACGACTGGGAGCCCCCGCTCATGTTAAAATGTACTTATGTGATAACGCAGATAACTGGAAAACACTAAAATGGGCTATGATGTGTAGCCACAACCTCTCCAAGCAGGCTTGGGGATACCCCGTACCGGGCACAGACAAAACAAAAAGAGGAGTATATAGGGTGGCTAGCTATGAATTGGGGGTATTCGTTTGCAGTACAAAAGAGAAAACCTTGAAACCAGTCAAAACAACTTCCGGTGCTAGAACAGATGCCGATGTCTTGGTACCCTTCAATTTACCTCCCAGCCGGTACCAGCCTGAAGATCAGCCTTGGAGTTATAGAGAGAGTTTCAAAGGATTAAAGGATATATACGGAAGAGAATACATAGGAGTAGACTAAGATAATTCAAGCGAAATTTTTAAGGTATACACGACTGTTCTAAAGAATCAGAACAAAAGTAGACTTCAAACTATTAGCGGCCCCTTGCTCTAACACTAGACTGGACAACACTCTATTCAGTAGGCCTTCTCCACAATCTGTACTACAAGTTTATATGCAGTACCATCAACACCATCACCGAAAATGTAAATACTAAAAATTTACGCGTCGCGTGAATCGCTTTTAAGATTTCTTGAAGAAGAGCTTAGCAGCATTTAAACGTCAAGACATCTACTCCAAGATGCATATTAAAAGGATCATTATTCAGGGATTCAAGACCTACAAGAATACTACAGTGATTGACTTGCTTTCGCCAAACCATAATGTCGTTGTGGGGAGGAATGGATCAGGTAAATCGAACTTCTTCGCAGCCATTCGGTTTGTGTTGTCAGACGCTTACACACACATGACCAGAGAGGAGAGACAAGGTCTCATCCACGAAGGGTCTGGAACTACTGTTATGTCTGCATATGTAGAGATCATATTTGACAACACTGAAAGAAGATTTCCTGTTGCCAAGGACGAAGTGGCTATCAGAAGAACCATTGGGTTGAAGAAGGATGACTACAGTTTGGACAGTAAATCTGCCAGCAGGTCTGATGTAATGAATTTATTAGAAAGTGCCGGATTTTCAAGATCCAATCCGTACTATATTGTTCCTCAGGGTAGGATCACTGCGTTGACCAACTCGAAGGATACTGAAAGATTGTCACTTTTGAAAGAAGTAAGTGGGGCCAAGGTGTTTGAAACCAAGTTGAAAGACTCCTTAAAAGAGATGAATAATTCCAATATGAAAAGAGAACGCATAGATGAAACTCTAAAGTCAATCGAAGAGAGGTTGAGCGACTTACAAATCGAATCTAGTGACCTCAAGGAATTCCAAACCTATGAAAAATCTAAGAAGGTGTACGAATTCAACTTGTTTGATAGGGAGCTTAATGAGCTTAATGCTCAATTGGAAGAGATAAATGCAAACTATGAGCAACTTTTACTTGAATCTAATACTGACTTGGAAGATTTGAATAAAAGAGAAAAACTTGGCAAGCAATTGCTGGACTCAATAAATGAAATGCAAAGGTCATTGAAATTGGCCCTCTTAGATAGGGAACAAAGTGAAGGAGACTATAAAGAAATATTATCAGCCAAAACTGACTTGGAGATCAAATTGAATGAATTGAAGTTCCAACTAGACCAAACCAAGGAACAAAGTTCTAAATATGATGTTAATTTACAACATTATCAAGAGTTAATCACGAAAAGGGAAGAAGATATTGCCATATATAAGCCCGAATTAGAAAATCTATTATTGAAGGAGTCCCAGATGAAACTGAAACTTCATGAATTACAGACCAGACAAAGATCTTTGTATTCTAAGCAAAATAGGTTTTCTAAGTTTAAATCCAAAAATGAAAGGGATAAGTGGTTGAAGGCTCAAGTTAAAGAGAGAAAAAATGAATTGAAGTTAAAACAAGAGACTAGTCAGGATATTCAAAATCAATTGACAGAGAAGAGTCAAGAGTTAGAAAGAAAAGACAAGCAAATTTTAGAGTTAAACAATTTTGTCATAGGTGATGAATTTCAAAATTCCGTTGAAGTATTACAAACTTCGATAAACAAATTAAGAACTGAAATAACTGAAATAACCGATCACAAGAAGAAATTGTGGCGTGATGAAATACGTTTCCGTAGTATTCAGGATTCCCTTACTAATGACTTAAACAACGCTAATCATTTAGTTAACCAGACAATGGATAGAAACCAAGCCTCAGGACTTGAAGCAGTCAAGAAAATTTCTGAAAGACTTAATTTACAAGATTCAGTATATGGACCACTAGCAGAATTGTTCACTGTAAACGACAAGTATAAGACTGCAGTGGAGGTTGTTGCCGGTAATTCACTATTTCATATAGTGGTTGATACCGATAAGACTGCTTCAATTATTATGGATGAATTAATCAGAACTCAAATGGGTAGAGTGACTTTGATCCCTTTGAATAGGATAAATCCCCCTTCAATGGTAGAAGTCAGCGATGACGAAAGTGGATGCTTCCCATTAATCAAAAAATTGAAGTATAAGGATGAGAAAATTGCTCCTGCTTTAAGACAAGTTTTCAGGAAAACTTTATTGGTAATCGATTTAGAGAAAGGTACAGAATTAGCCAAAAGGTACAATGTTAGCTGTATAACGTTGGACGGAGATAGAGCTGATAACAGAGGTGTGTTGACTGGAGGTTATAGAGATTACAAGAAGTCAAGTTCAAGAATTGACGCTCTTAAAACCTTAGCAAAAAAGAAGTTGGAGTTCGAAGAAAATGAAAAATTGTTAAACGAATGCGTCCAAGAAATAGAAAAGGTCAATCCTCAATTGATTTCACTTAATAACGAGCTTCAACAGAAGATAAGTGAGCAGGATGATAAAATTTCATCGTTGGAACCTATTAAAGCAGAAATCTCCAAATTGTCAGATATCAAATTCAATCTTATGCAAGAAATCGATACCTTGAATAACAGTTTGGCCTCTATTCAAACTCAAGAAGAAGCGATAAGAATTAATTTGCAACAGCATGAACAGGAATTAGTAAGTGAATTTGTTCAAACTTTAAGTCCAACCGAACTAGAAGAACTTGCAAGCTTGAGTAGCGAAATTATTGGTGCTGAAACCGAACTAGACGAAGTAGTGACAGAGTTAGCGGATTTAGAAGCCAAAGTATCCACATACCAATCTGAGTTGGTTAATAACTATTATCCATATGTGGCTAAGTTGAAGAGAGACCATGATAATGGAGATATGAGTAATATCATTAAATTACAGTTCGAAATTCAAACTTTGGAAAATAATCTTGCAAATGTTCAAGTTGAACTTGATGCTGCAGTGTCAAATAATAAGTCTACATTGGAAACTTGTAAGAAATTGGAGAAAGAAGTTGAAATAAATGAAGAATTATTGAAGAAAGCAAAGAAACAGCAACAACAAATAGTGAAAAAGTTGGAAAAATTCCAAGAATCCAGTGAGAAAGAGCTTTCAAAGAAGTCGGTTTTATTAGGCCGTAGAGAAGAAATTCAAAGAAAAATACGAGACCTTGGAGTGTTACCTGAAGAAGCTTTTCAGCAAGAGAAGTATGACAAATTCAATTCGGAAGAACTTTTAAAGAAGCTTAACAAAGTAAATGAAAAATTGGTGAAGTACTCTCACATAAACAGAAAGGCAATGGAACAATATAACACGTTTACCAAGCAGAGAGATGATTTAGTTGAGAGATTGGAAGATTTGGAAAAGTCCAGGGAATCCATCGAATCATTAATAGTTGACTTAGAATCTCAGAAAGATGAAGCTATCACTAAAAGCTTCCAAGAAGTCGGAGATAGCTTCACCAAGATATTTGAGAAGTTGGTGCCCGCAGGAACAGGTAGATTGATAATGCAGAAGGCTCCTGCAAGTGAAAGTGAAAGTGGAACTGTAACATCTACACAAACTCCAAAACCTCAGGAGATAGAGAACTACACGGGGGTGTCCATATCAGTCTCATTCAATTCTAAGAGTGACGAGCAACAAAAGATTGAGCAACTTTCAGGAGGGCAGAAATCCTTATGTGCCATTGCTTTAATCTTAGCTATCCAAAATTGCGATCCTGCTCCATTCTATTTGTTTGATGAAATCGATGCAAACTTAGATACCCAGTATAGAATTGCCGTGGCTGCAATGATTCACTCATTGTCTTCCAAGGCACAGTTTATTTGTACCACATTTAGACCTGAAATGTTACAAGTTGCAGATAAATTTTACGGAGTCATATTTAATAACAAGGTCAGTAGTGTATCAGAAATTAACCAAGAAGAAGCGATGTCGTTTATTGAAGGTCAAAGAGTGAACTAGGTGCCAATTTGGAACCAAAGCATTACAAAAATATTCCATTTCGCAGCCATTTAGAACTATATCTAGCTAAAATATATGACGTAATTATACGATGTGCAACATTTTTTGGTGATCCAAAAACTTCACTCTGTTTCAAGTGCAATTTCAAAACCAAATGTAAGAATCAACAACACCCTACGAAATACCTGTGTAACGAACTTAACGGTGTATTGCCGTTTAACGTCGCCGTACCTTGTCGTTTAGTAATGGAATCATTTCGAATGGCTCCACTAGTCGTGCGTTTCCTGCATAAACACCAAACTGCGCCTACGACATAAATAGGAGAACGGTAATCAGAAGAGAAGAAGAAGCCACCCGTTACGGTGCCGTCAACTCTATTGCCCTCAAAGATGAGTAAGTTGTTATCTCGCGATGACGTTGCAGAATTGATCTCTAATGGTAGGGCAGTTGTCATTTATAAAGATTTGGTTCTTGACTTGACGTCATGGCTTTCTAAACATCCTGGTGGAGATACCGCTGTACACCACATGGTAGGTCGTGATGCGACAGATGAAATGAACGCATACCATAGTATTGAGTCCATTTCTTCGTTCAAAAATTGGAAGGTGGGACGCATAGACTATATGTGGGAGAACATGTTACCTCCTATCCAAGGAGGGAAGTACGAAAAGGACTTTGGTGTTACGTCTATGGAAGATGTCACCAAGATTGTACCTTCGGTAGAGGTTCCCAATAAGGGAATAGGATATCCAATTGGACAAAATGTCAAGCCCGTAGTTCCACTGAACGTTATTCCTACTGAAGCAAACAAGGATGAATATTTCCCAGTTGAGTCTCTCGAATCAAAGGCCAAGAAGTCAAGTGCTATTGTTGATCCGCAGCTCTTGATGAATGATTATGATAATGCACTTAGTCAGGCTGCTCTCGGTGACATCCCGCTGCTTGATTACGCTACGCAGCAACTCCTTAGGGACGAATATGTGAAGCTTCATGATGCTATAATTGACAGTGGGTTATACCAGTTCAGTGCCTGGAACTATGGTAGAGAACTAATCAAGATCAGTTCTCTTTTCCTCTACTCCTTTTCCTTTTTCAAATTGAACTACATCTTTTTGAGTGCTTTGTTTATGGGAATGGCATGGCAGCAAATGACCTTCATCGCACATGATTCTGGACATGTTTCATTGACTCACAACTACCAATTAGATAACATATTTGGAATGATAATTGCTGATTGGTTTGGGGGTTTGAGTTTGGGCTGGTGGAAGCGTAACCATAATGTACACCATCTTATAACAAACGATCCAGTTCATGATCCAGATATCCAGCATTTACCATTCTTCGCTGTAAGCGTGAGATTATTCGAGAATGTTTATTCCACGTACTACAAGGTTGTGTTGCCCTTTGACAAGGTGGCCGAATGGATGATCCCCATTCAAAACTATACATACTACCCGATTTTATGCTTTGGTAGATTCAATTTATATGCATTGTCATGGATGCATTTGTTGAGGGGATTGGGCCCACGTCATGGTAAGGCTGCATGGTTCAGATACTTTGAATTGGCTGGATTGTCGTTCTTTTTCTGGTGGTTCTTTTACTTACTTGTGTACAAGTCGATCGATAATAACTGGGACAGATTTGTCTTTGTCATGGTGAGTCATGTCGCCACGATGCTTGTGCATGTTCAGATCACGTTGAGTCACTTTGCTATGTCAACTTCTGACTTGGGGTTGAGTGAATCTTTCCCCCTGAGACAAGTCAGAACTACAATGGATGTCGACTGCCCAGAATGGTTAGATTTCTTGCATGGAGGTTTACAGTTCCAGGCTATCCACCACTTGTTCCCTAGATTGCCCAGACACAATTTGAGAAAAGCACAACCTCTAGTGATAGAATTCTGCGAGAAGGTTGGATTGAAGTATTCAATCTATGGATTTGGAAAAGGGAATGAGATTGTTATTGGGAAACTTGCTGATATAGGGAAGCAGTGTAGCATAATGTTAGAAGCTACGAAGAAGCTTCAGGATCATTAATTATTTGGACGTATAAACCTATATCTATAAGCATTGAATATAAATACATTAACATACATATTATCGAAAAGCTATATAGCAATATATGAAATTTTTATGCAAGTACTAGAAGCGTTTATAGCTTCACGCTGTGGTCTACCAATTTCTTCTTATCCAAGTATTCCAAGAACTGTAAGATCAGTTCATTATCATTCTCATAATGGTCCTTTTGAACCAACATTTTAAACAAGGTTCCGGAATTGGGATTCGTGTTATAAAATTCGCTCTTGAACCTTTGAGGTATGTTGACTTGGATATCATTGATGGTCTTGACTACGCATGCATTTGAAGTCGGTAACAGACCCAGGTTCACTTTCGTTCTATTACCAGTGACTGCTCTGTCAAAAGTAGAAGAAGAGCTCTCAGATTGCTCATGAACGTTCTTACACTTTGCTCCAAATCTGCATTTCTTATTCTGCTGGTAGAAATGACAAATCCTCTTCTGCCTTTTCTTGTCTTGAAGGAGTGAGTTAGTGCCGTTGTTATCTCTAGCACGTTTGTTGTTTGGATCTCCAGATGTATGCTGCTGCTGGTTGTGCAACTTATCCTTTTGAGCTTTTTCCTTTTCTTCTATATTCTTCCTGGTCGGCCACCTTTTCTTTCTCTCTTCGATCCATTTCTGAATGTCTTCCTCTGTGTCAAGCGTAATCGATGTACCGGCGATGCATATTTTCTCCTTCTCCGTAACTACATGTGTATCTAATTCTTCCAGAATTACCGTTTGGTCTACAGTGGCTTCAGTACTTGCTAGATTGGTATTATCAGCGGCATTGGTCAGTTCATCATCGTTAGTGTGGTGGTGTACTACATGGTCATCACTTGTACGTGTAACGTTATGTGCAGGTCGAGAATTTAGTACCTCTGGTTTTGGTGGAGGGTTTACCGGAATGGTATTAGGTAAGTGAGTAGGTAGGTCTGCTAGCGAGAGTAGACTCCCGAAAGGCTGTAATGGAACGTCGAGATTACTTTTGTTACTATTATTCATGGACTTGTTGCTTAGGGAACTAGTCAGCATGAGTACATTTTGGCGATGACCTCGATAAGCACTAATGTTGTATACAGGCCTGATTTTGTGGTACTAGAACGAGACTTGATTCGGGTGTGCATGTGGATAGCAGAATGTGGCTGCAGGCGCCGCTTGACCAAGCTACACCCAATAGATGTTACTATCTTGGGGCAATAGGATTATGAAACAAAAGTAGTTAAGACACAGTACCGAGCAAGAACATGATGTCCATTCTCTCGTATTTTCTACATGAATGGAATGTCTACTCCAAACTACCCCAGGATCTATACCCTAGGCTTCGCTTAGTTATTCTCAGTGCTTATGCAGATACGCTCAGCGTTCCGAATTGGTCAAAAGTGGTCGCTGAGCTCATGCAGACTACACTGATGTTTCCCTATTGGTCTTAACTGCCCACTTTCAAGCAGGATATTTTCTACTTCGAAGATACACTCTAATTTGAGTACGGGAAAAGACGCTTGGCACACCTTTTTGTTTTCATTGAAGTGAAAAGAGCATGCTAACTAAGCCTATTCGTAACTTGAAATTTGAAATGCCAATTTTCGCAATGGCCAGTACAGAACTGATATCGAATAGTAGCGACAGAGACGTTTGAATGGTGATATAAAAGAAGAAAGAATTATAGTTAGTGTGAAGTAATTAAGTTCCTCACTTCATTCTCAGATAATATTGTTGTAGTTAAGTTACTGATGGACTGGCTCCAGATTGATTACTTTTCGTTCATTAGGATCGTTGGGTCAGTAATATTTCATGCGTCATGCACCAGTATGCCTCAGAAACAGACCAATATTTTACACATATTTTAGTATACTATATGAGAGAGTGAAGATTCACACTCACCATGAAGCAAATTCTTGAATGAAGCATATCACGAACTAATAATGCAAAAAGGAACGTGCAAGTTATCCATATTTCTTATTTTTGCAATTCTAATTGCAATCTAAAAAATCAGTGTGACTTACTTAGTTCGAAAATATGCAATACATGCTATTCCCTGAGCACCATAAGTAAAGCTTGCCTAATTGTTGCAAATCAATTTGGAGGAAAGAACCTTCGAAAGCATCGTAAAAATTAGAGGTGCATTTAAGCTGGAATGAATAAGCTAGTTTTTAGGATTGAAATACCAAACAAGATTTAAGCTAGTTTGCCGAATCTTAATGGAAAGTCATTTTTATCTATTTTTTTTTCTCGGTACATCAAGGCATATTCACCAAGTTTCAGTTATGAAAGTAGATATACTTCAAAAACATCTGAGAATTGAACAGAGTTAGAATGTATTCATTAAATCTACAAATTGACGCACATTCTACCTTATAAAGAGAGCTCAGTAGGAGCTGAAGTCACCATGTTGACTTGCAAATAAAAAATTATTAACTTCAACTTTCCTACTGAATTGCAGCATCTTGCATAACTGTCCTGCGTTTATCGGGTATTTCGTATCCACACTTGGACTTCCCAAAAAAAAAAAAAAAAAAAAAATAAGACACATCTTAAATACGAAAGTAGGGGGTGAGATAAGATACTATGAACTTTGTAAAACCACTACTAATGGCTAGATAGGTTGTACTCACTCGAAGCAAATCGATGTTTATGACCTATAAATGTATAATTGCTTAAGACTGAGGCTATTATTATTAATTCTTTGTAACTTTAAAAATATTCTCCGCATCAACGATTAATTCTTTGTATTTTTTAATAATAAAAAGTACTGGGTACGCTTAGCTAAACTCTATTCTTGTCACTAAATTTTGAAATTCACCGGATTCACTACCGAATTATCATCAATTCACTATCAACTATCAGTCTTAACTGAAGTGGTTTTCAATTCTAGCCATGGTTTATGGTTGTGGTAACTTTAATTGGCTTTACAACTTACTCTATTTCTGCGTTCAATTGGAGTGAAACAAGATTCTTATTCGAAAGGTGCATAACCATTGCAGGCTTTTATTTTTTTTTCAAAAGCTTAAAGTTAATCTTTTTTATTTTTTTTTGGGGCAACTCAGAAATAGAATTGTCATTGCTTTCCACTGAAGAAAAGACAGCTTACAGTTTATTGCCAGCTAAATATCAGCTCTGTCACTCAGACGGCAAATTTGAATGTTCTGGATAGGTCGAGACTCAGTATTATGAAGAGAAAAGGTGTGCTACTGATATCGGATATAGTTTCTGCAGCAGAAGAAAATCCGAAGGAGGAAACTGAACAACAGGCAAGCCCAGTTTCCTCTAAGGAAGCACCGAAACACCGAGCGGAGTTAGATCTGTCTCAATTGAGTTCTCGGTCTACCTCTCATTCTCAGTCTCAGGAAAGATCCCATAACCTGTCCCATGAAGGCTATAATATGCTTGTCCAACCTCCTAACGTACAGGAGACACATATGCTGCCTGAAACAATTCGTAATAACCAGGATCCCCGATACATTCGGGCCAATCCCCCTTTAATACTAACAATGAGTTCTCCAAGTAGTAATAATTTGATATACCCTCAGTCTGCTATTAATGTCACTGGCACAATGTTGTTACCTGTCAATTCGTATAACCATGTAGCCTTGCCAATATATAGACCAAACTTTATGCAACAGAATCTGCATCAACAACAGCATCAGCAAGTACAGTACCAAGGGCAACTTCAACTTCACACTAGTAGTCTGCAGTTCAATGGCCAGCAGCAGCAGTTATTACAGCAGCATAGGTCGGAACAACGCCAGCATCAACCTCAGATCGAACACCGACATTATCAATTTGACCGTCGTCAGCAACAACAAGAGAGTCAGCCACAACTACAACTACAGCAACCACAACAACAGATGGACCAACAAATGCAACACTTGCAGCAACAACAATTGCAGCAAGTGCAACACGAGGCTCTGCCATTGCATCGCCTGCAAGCTTTAAATCAGCATCTGCAGCGACTACAATTATTAGAACACCGACTGCAAGAGCAACATCGATTACAGCAAGAGCAGCTTCACCATCACGAAACTCTTCATCTACAACACCAACAGCAAGTGTACTCTCATAAAGAGAAAGATATAGCCTACCTTACTTCACAAAGTCACAAGGTTGATAACCCAACCCATGAAATCCACCAAAATAAACGAAAGAATTCTCTGTCCACAAGGGCTAACTCTGAAATCGGCCAAGGGGGTAGTACACCGAAACAAAAGGACTTTGAGCATCAGTTAAGGCTTGAAGGAACTGCTCCCAAACATCGAAATAGTTGTACACGGTGTAGAAAGCTAAAGAAGAAATGTGATAAGCAGGAATTTCAGTGTCAGAATTGTAGAAAGTTTTCATTATCGTGTGTTTACCTCCCAAGAAAACAAAGGAAGCGAGGAGAAAGAAGAAGAAGGAAACAACAGAATAGTCTGGGTCTAGAGGGAGACATTTCTGGCGGTAAAAAGAAGAGTAAGCTCGAATCCAATAATGAGGTTCGATGAAAAGCGTGAAACAAAAGGCAAATTACCAAATAGACAGGGAAAACATAGACCATTTAGAATTATTTAACGGGAGTTCCTTTGGAGAATGCTGGTATGCATCATGTTGCCTTTTCGGTCCTAGAACAATATAGATCAGCATAAATATTTGGTAAGTCTGAAATATGATCGTCTTCTATGTTGGAGCATTACAGAGGGGAGGAAAGTTGGAAACAAGGACGCTAACCTAGAAAAGTGTCCTTGAAGCAGATGTAAATAAATGCAGCTAGAGAGGCTGTAGAAAGAAAACGAATAAATACTGGCCATTGTGACAATTGGCAAGCGGGATTTGAATAAAAGTTATAAATTTGAAGATGTATGGTCTCCCAGCAGAGACATACAAAGAGAGGAGGAAAGCTTGAGAAAGTAAAGCTGATTTAAAAAAAACCGAGAAACGGATGTAAATATATGCAACTAGAGACACTGCTGAAAATATAATAGATATTGGCCACTTTGACATTAATTGATTCCATCTCAAATGTAAGTTGAAGACATTATACTAATGCTACGATTGTGAATGTAGCCATCTTCACTTGCACCATAAGCGTTTGCACCTAAAATATTTTAGATCCCGTGACTTCAAAATGGCTGTGCTAACGATCAACACTTTGGCATGAAGGCGTCACAATTCAGTCTAACACCGTCCAAGCATAGGTACAATATGCCTTCTTCTATACTTTGAGCAGGCTACAGATTGAAATTTAGACTTCTCTATCTCTTCTCGCAGCACACATGATATTTTAACCTGAAAATTTTAACCCGTGAAAGAGCTGACGATTCACGGTATGATTGTAGAGCCGACGAAAAGTTACCATTTTTGGCATTGCCCTCTTGCCTGTGAAACGGCGCTGAGAAAATTTCATGATTTTGATATCGGCAATGTTACTGCGGACAGAAATGACAGAAAGAAATATAAAAATAGAAAAGTCATTGCATTTTCCCTACAATTAGTAACAATGGTGAGATCCTTCCTTGGCAAGGCTTGTATCTAGGCGAGACCTGTAGAGGTGGCAACTCTTAAGAATGTAATGATACTGATATTATGGCCGACTTGACAAAAAATCAAAAATAAGCTTTACAACTGGTCACGTGTCACGTGTCAATGTCAGTTTTGATTAACCTTAATCGGCTATTTGTTTTTCATTTTTTAATGAAGTAATCTTTTATTCTTCACATTCTTCTTGTATTCGTATTCTTTAAATCATCTAAATCAATATGGTAAGTGAATTTTGTGAAGGAATTGTCCTAGTATAAACCATCTCTGATAGTCAAGGGTCCAAGTTTATACGGAAAATATGGGTTTCACTTGACCTTATGTAGAAAGACGATGACGTACTAACATTTTTGTAGTCTTACTATCAACAAGGCCCTCCTCCTCCACAACAAGGTGGATACTATCAACAAGGTCCTCCACCTCCACAAGGATACTATCAACAACAGCAACCAATGTATGTCCAACAACAACCACAACGTGGTGGTGGTGGTGGATGTTGTTCATCATTCTGTGGTTGTTGTGCTGCAATAATCTGTTGTTGTTGCGCTGAAGAGTGCTTAGAAGGTTGCTTTTAATAAAACCTAAAATTGTGATATTACGAATAATTTTTTATCAATAGATTCTTTCACAATATCGGTCAGATCGTGAATAATATATTTCCTTGATAGAAATGATCAATAGATGTAGCTTTTTGTTTTTTACCCGTGTAGTTACCCAGTGTGGGACACCTAGGCACTTGAAAAGAAAGTACTACTTTACTAGGCTATTTTTCCGAGGAATTTATTGGAGCAAAAATGAATAGTGCTCCACATGGGCCGCATTATAATTTTAGGCGTTGACGGAGACACACGCGCAAATGTTAGGGTCCTCTAGCTATTAAACGAACTTAATGGTGTCTTTCATAAAATACTGTAATGTTTATTCTCGGTATATTTCCATTTATCTCCATCAAATTTCTTTCTTTGCGTGCTCGTGCCTGGTAGCGAAATGTTTCGCATAGAAAACCTCCACACTTGGTGGAAAGCGCATGAATAATTTTGATCACTTACATAATTTTGATTACATACAGTGGATTGCATTATGCATTGCGTTTGATGTGTGGCAGAATGAGTTGCAGACTTTTCAAAATTGTGCCTGTTATAAAGCTTACTATTATTCGAGTTTTCACTAGTTTATTTCTTCAGTTATATATTCATTCATCAATTGGCTATTTATTTTTTTATATATATTTCGTGTTGAACAAAAAACAAAGTAACTTGTGCGTTTCTTAACGAGCAGTGAAACCACCGGAAGCAAAGATGGTTTGACCAGTAATCCATCCACCTTCGGTTGCTAAAAATCTGACAATTGGCACAATATCCTCCACCTTGGTTAATCTGTCGTGTAAGGCAACGGTCTTATAGTATTCAATGTCACCATTGGCTTCTTGTGGGTACAAGAAGGGGGTGTCCATTGGACCTGGAGCTACACTGTTAACAGAGATGCCTTTATCTTGAAATTCCTTAGAGGCAGCTTTGGTGTAGAATTCAACACCAGCCTTGGATCCCTGGTAAATACTGTAGAATGGAGTGTAAGCAGCTAATAAGGAAGTGACAATTGAGATGATCTTACCGTTTTTGTTAAGATTCTTACCAGCTTCTTTAATGAAGTAAAAAGCGGTTTTATTGTTGATCTGATCCATGGATTCAAATTCTTCTTCGGTGATCTCAACAATTGGCTTCTTGATAACCTTACCAATATTGTTAATAGCAATATCAACACCACCAAACGCCTTGTTGGCAGCAGCAAACAAGTCTTCCAATTCCTTGTTGGTGTTTAATGGGCCTTGGTAAAGTTCAACCTTGACTCCAAACTTCTTAGTCAATTCCGCAGCAAATTCTTCTGATTTAGCCTTGTCACTTCCAGAATGGTAATGAAGGAACAAGTTAGCACCAAATCTAGCAAGTTCACTTGCTGTATTAGCGCCTAAATTCTTGGTTCCTCCGGTGATTAAGGCAACCTTATCTTTGATTTCTGCTTCTTTTGAGTAAAAGGAAAATGACATTGTATGTATGGGTTAGTTGGCTTATTAATTGAAAAATTAACTATGCTGAAAATGAATAAACTCAACGCAGAAACGATAAATTGGACCCCCTTTTATATCCTCTGACGCACTCCCATAATTCTTGGAACGAAACGTTCTAGGGTATGGGCCAAAACCCACAGTTTCATGCAAGAATTATGTAATCACCGTTGAAAATTGCAGTTCCGTCCGACTAAACACCTTTGCGGAACTTAAAAAAGTTCCGTATTAGGTTTTTTGAATATCTCCGAATATTTCCGCCTCGCTGCAGAAACCTTCTTCATGTATGGAAGTAACGCGGTAGAAGAAGTAGTGAAAGCTAAACTTTAAGATGGAAGTAACGCGGTAGAAGAAGTAGTGAAAGCTAAACTTTAAGTTCCTTAGGCCGTACTCATTTGAGATACCATTCTAAAGACGGAAATAGGGAGAATCTGATTCGAAGAAGATTGCAGGACTGGGGTATTCGGAACCAAGCAGCCACCGTCATTTAGCCCAACTACCAGTAATTGAATGGATCCATGCAGGTTCATACCAGGAACACATACATCCTTCTTTTCTCATATCTTGAGCTTTCATTGATTGAGCATATTCTGAGTCTCTCTAAGGTCGCTCACTCTCTTTCACCGATTTGCTCCAGGTGTGTACTCCCCGTCCAATTCCCATTCACTCTTCCCTGTTCACTCTTGCCTGCTCACTCTTGCCTGCTCACTCTTGCCTGCTCACTCTTCCATCTGCAAACTACTTCAAATCGACATTTACCAAAGAAATCTACAACCATATTTATATTAATTTGTGTATCTGTAGACTATATAACTTATTTCTTGTTCTTCTTGTTTGAAGTTGAATTCTTTGGCAATTCCTTAACAAATGGAATGAATTCTGGCTCACCTGGAATGTATCTTCTTAAGACTTCTGGAATCTTCAAACCATCTTCAGTTTGGTAATTTTCCAAGATACAACATAAAGCTCTTTGAGTAGCTGATAAGGTAGAGTTCAAACAATGAACGTACTTCTTATCTTGTTGGTTTTGTTGCTTAATACCACATCTGATTTCCAAGTTTCTTGATTGGTAATCAGTACAGTTTGAACATGAGACCAATTCTTTGTATTCCTTTTGGAATGGGAACCAGGCTTCCAAATCATACTTCTTGGCAGCAGCATTATTCAATTCTCCTGAAACGATACCAACCACTCTGTAAGGTAAACCTAATGATTGGTAGAATTCTTCTGATAAACCAATCATTCTGTCGAATTCTTCCCAGGACTTTTCCGGTTCAGTTAAACAAAATTGTTCAATCTTTTCGAAAGCATGAACTCTAAAGATACCCCAAGCATCTTTACCGTGAGAACCAGCTTCTCTTCTGAAACATGATGAGTAACCGGCGTATCTTACTGGTAATTGCTCGGTTGGTGATTCGAACCATTCTCCGGCATGGTAGGCAGAAATTGGCTGTTCAGAGGTGGCAATTAAATACTTCTCATCTTCACCGTCAATTACCTTATACAATTCTTCATCGAATTGAGATAATTGGGCAGTCTTAGCCATGACTTCTTTGTTCATCATTACTGGAGCTTGCAATGGAGTGTAACCATTCTTGGCTAAAAAGCTCAAACCATAGTTAATAAGGGCCTGGTTCAAGAAAACACCGTAGTTTCTCAAAAAGTACCCACGGTGTCCAACAATTCTAACACCTCTTTCTGGGTCATATCCATCCAATCTTAATAAGATTTCGTGGTGTGACAATGTAGCTGGTGCATTGGTAGCTGCTGCAACCTGTTCCACGGTCTTGTATTCTTCCGGTTTCCAGGTTCTAACAATCTCGTTGTTATCTTCATCATTAGAAACAACAACTGACTCGTGAACAATGTTACCAACTTGATTAACCTTGAATCTTAAGTCATTGTCAGCTTTTTGTTCCTTTTCGGTCAATTCCTTCTTTTCCTTGGCGAGTTCGTCTTTTTTGGCCAATAACTCACTAGCATCCTCTTTGAGTTTAAATTTCTGTCCAATCTCCTTTTGAATAGCATTTTGCTGCTTGTTCAAGGTATCCAATTCAAATCTAATCTTAGTCCAAGATTTGTAGTCTTCGATAATTTCGTCAACTAATTCAACTGAATCTCCTCTTTTTTTTTGGGACTCCTTAATTTTCTCAGGTTCACCACCCTTTTCAGCAAGAAACGCGTTAATATCTAACATCTTTAGTATGTTTGTACGGTGAAGCAGTGGTTGGAGTGTCGTGATGACTCCCGATTTTTTTTTTTTTTCAACAACAGCGTCGCAAATTTCGATGGAACGAGTAATGGTGTTGTTTTGTATGCAGGACCATATCCAAAACCAGAAGAAAGCGAAAGTCTGCAGGGCAGTGGGTTGAAGTTACTCTTTACTTATAGCAATATATCCATGCAATCGTTACTTTTAGATCGGCTTACTCGAAAGATCACTCCCTTGGAGTTCTGTACTACTATCTCAGAATCATTCTACACCAACTTCCAGCAAACCGTGGGGAACGATGTATTCCCACCGAACTGCCATCATAATGCTGCAGTGAATTCGTTATCAGTGGAGAGTGAGAATAGATACGTACTCAGTGGCTGCGCAGATTCGTCAATAAAATTATGGGACACTTACCAAAGTGAGTCTACATCCACAGTAGACGGTCCGGACTTGTATGACGACGAAAACGCAGATGATATGGCAGATTACGATAACCCTAAATCAGTGATTAGTAACATTGCAACAATTCCTAGAAAATCTGCTCACGAGTTTGGAGTATCCTGCATCCAGTGGTGGCCCTATGACTCTGGCATGTTTGTATCTTCCTCCTTTGACCACACTGTTAAGGTCTGGGCTACCGAAGAGTTGGAGATAGTTCACTCGTTCGATATGGAGAACCGGGTGTACTCGATAGATATTTGTGGAAGTAAGGTTAACACCCACACTTCTAATGCTTTGGTGGCAGTAGCTAGTGACCAACCATTTATACGGCTCCTAGACTTGCGAACTTCCTCTTCCGCCCATTCGCTCTCTGGTCATAAGGGAAAAACTTTGGTAGTCAAGTGGCACAGTCAGAATCCAAATTTATTGGCTTCAGGGGGATTTGACGGAGAAGTAAAAATTTGGGACATACGACGTAGTCAGAGCTGCTTATGTAGATTAGATATGTTGAAGACCAATATAGCCGGTGAATCTAACAAAGGAAGCTCTCAGCTGTTTGATGATAACCTCAAGAAAGCTTCCGTCAAGGCACACCTGGGGCCGGTGAATGGGTTGGTTTGGGATCCGCAAGGACATACTTTGTACTCTACCGGCAATGACGATAAGATTCGGGTTTGGGACTTCATCTCCTCTTCAGCTCCTCCTATCAACAAATTAGTGAACTTTGGGCCACTAACTAGAAACAAGTACCCGCAGACTATCCCCATATTGCTTTCTCCACCAAAGGAAACTGAACTACAGTATTTAATCTTCCCGTCTGATAATGATGACATTTTCATTTTCAGAACAATCGATGGCAAATTGGTGTCTAGGCTAATTCGTAGGGGTGATAAGAGAAACGGTAGAACTTCAGCAATGGCATACATGAGTAGCGAAATGGGCACATATCTTTGCGGAACAATGGACGGCGAAATCATAAAGTGGTCTCCCAAATTAGAAGTTTAAAAGTGTAAAAATGCTTGGACTTGAAAATTTTTGAAGTAACGACCGCATCCTTCGTCACTAATGGAAGACTTCGTCCAGGCTCGATCTTGGTTTAAGTATACTCATCATTTAATTTATCTAGCATATTTTTTTTTTCGCAGCCATTTCAGTGAGCCATGGTTCTCGATGGATATTCATTTCTTTGGGTGTAGTAACGTTCATGTAAGCAACGCCCAGGCTGTTTTATAAAAAAAATTATAAGCATATATCTCATTACATGCCTCATTGTATACCACATTGAAAGCTGCTCGAAGGAGACCGCCCATGTCGCTATATATCTACAATACATTCATTTCCTGTTTCGTACTATTTTGCAACCATTCCATCTCCCTACACGTGATAATCGCAGACTCGTAATTTTTTTTTTTTTTCCTGCTTTTTCATTTCCCATAGCTGCCTGCCCTGTTCATCACTAGCATCTCTGTTCTTCTTCGTCATCGATAGGTAACAAACCCCCAATTCCAGTATTTTGCTGATTTAGGATGTTGAAACTTCAAGTTGTCTTCATATCGCAGCGTCAACAATGGCTGCTCCAGCTGAAATTAGCAAGTTTGCTGCTGCTGCTGGTGAATAACAATCTGACGATGCTCTTGCAAAGACCCGTCTCTGCGAGAAAGTTTCTTCACTTGACGGCGCCATCTAAGTCGCTTATGGAAGTCTGTGAAGAGGTGATACGGCGCTATTCCAGACTATACCCTGACGATGAGGAACTTGAGATCTTGAAACTTCAAGACCAAGATCTGTGTGACCTTGACCCGGACTACATTGTAGGTGAAATTTTCTCCTCTGGTCAAATTATGCAAGTCATTGTGAATAATGACTTTGAAGAAATTCTGAATACCTTAATTTTGGACCCACAGCTGGTTAGTAGTTCGGCTATTGTCAAATCTGGCCAATTCAATCAAACGCATGGAGGCACTCCTTCTGTTTCTAGACTTCAGGAGCAATCGCAGAGTACCCCAATCGGTCCACCGGCACCCATATTGACAAGGAAACGTCCATCTACTACGGCTGACTTCTTTGATACGTTCGACTCAAATATACCTAGGAAATCCAGAAGAACTATCTGGGAGGCAGCAATTAATTCTGCCAATTCTTCATTGAATAATACCGAAAATGTGAATCGGGACGCGAACGGCACTGGCGCTGCTACTACTGCATCCACGTCTCTCCCATTGCTTGAAGTTAAAAGGAAGAGACCATCTGTGGCCTCAAAGAAATACACTCAGCTGCAACCCAAGATCCCCTCAAACACTTCGTTGAGCTACCCCACGCAGTCCTCTCCATTGCATGACAATTTTGAGGAGACTAACATCTCCTTGCCTCCTCCAGAAGACTCCCTGTTGTTACTGGAGAAGGATGTTATTCCTCAAAAGAAAGTCCTTCAACCATCTGTATCCCTTGAGGAACCTATTACCTCCGAAGCCAGAAGAGTAACTTCAGGGATGTTAGCCGTGCCAATCCAAACTCAAATGGAAATTGATCAGATTAGGAAGGAACTTCCTCAATCCACTCCTTCTGCCACTAGACGTCTTGAACTATCTGACTTATCCGATAGTATCTCTGAAGATGAGGTAGAAGAGGATGAGCATGACATAATTGAAGAAGAGCAGGACGAAAATATAGATCCTGAGCTTGAAGAAACAATAAGCTCATCACCAAGAAAGAAACGAGTCGTTCAGACTAACCCTGAGGAGCATCTGATTTCTGCTGCAATTTCTAATGCAGAAGGAGTCGAAACATTGACTAAGGAAGAAATTATGGGCCTTTTCAAGAACGGTATGCGAATCCCAGCTCAGATAAGGAAAAAGTTGGGTAAAAAGGACACCATTGTTGGAAGTAAGCAACACTTAAAATCACTTGAAATTGACATGAATGACCAAGGAAAGATATTGAATTCCAGAAAAGAAAGCTCTACTGAAGGTGAAAGTGGAAGAAGTAAAAGAATCGCAGCTCAAAAAGCTGTCCAGAAGATAGGAGAAGTTACGAGTAAGCCTATAAGAAAGCGTGGGTCTTCGCCTGCAGTAAAAGGCAAAGAGCTTTCTAATGGCTCTGTTGTTAATGATAGTGGTACATCAATCAGTGAAACTGTTGAGCAAACTGGTAAGGCTGAATCTCAAAAGACAAACATATTAGATTCCGCACCAATAGCTACCCCTACCCCTCTCAATAAAATTGAGTTGCACCCAAAAGTTCAAGATTCATTAATTGCACCACTGCATGGGGATGATTCCTCTGTAGGAAACACAGGTGTCGCTGCCTCAAATGCGTCTGAAAGCTCCATTCCAAGTTCTAAGAAGTCGAAGTTAAATAGAATATTTGACAAGATGAAAAGTTTCGACAATAGACTCAATTCCCAAATCGATTCATCTCATATATCAAATGAGGGATCTGAACAAGAGAATATACAATTGAAACTAGTCAATGGAGAGAAACCTGCGAAGGACGGAAAATTACTTGATGTTCTTGACAAGGCAAGATTAGAACTTCAGAAAAAGCAAGCAAATTCTAATGGGACTAAATTAAATCAACCACAGGAAGAAACTTCAACTAGAAGGAAATTATCAACGTCCAGAATAACAACTAATACTGTTACCCCACCTCAAAGTCAAAATAAATCCCAGACTACGCAAATTCCAAACTTACCTCTTAGTCAAATACCTAGATCTGCCTCTTTTAATAAGTCTACGAATACGCTGCAGGAATCGAATTCTGAAACGCCTCTTAATAACGGAGGTAAGGTAATGAGTGCACTTGAGAGAGCTAAGTGGGAGTTGAAGAAGAAGCAATTAAATTCGAGGTCCTCGAATCCTAGTTCTCCTCATATGTTGAATTCCCAGGCAAATGGGGGTTCGGCTATTGAATCAGATTCTTCTGAAACTTCCATTACCGCACTGCAAGTAGAGAAGCAAAGAACTGAAAATGAAAGAATGAAAAAGAGAGCAGAGCAACTTCGATTAGCTAAATCTAATCTAGAGAAAGCAAGACGTGCAAGTGCAAGCAGCTCCAACAAGACTTCAGGAAATGCTTTGGAAAAGGAAATTCCAGTGCCAAAGGATCCAAAATCTAGTGTATCAGCTCAACAACCTGATGATGCATTAATCAAAGGTTCTGAAATTGAAATTATTTCTCAACTGAACCCATTTCCAAAAGTAAAATCCTCAGAGAAAATAGTTCCACTCATACCTCCCACTAAGCTGACTCCTTCTGAGGTTATTGCTACTATAAAAAATACGCAAATAAGTCCCATTACCATCAACTCTGCAGTGGCTCCACCCGGTACGAAAGTAACTTCAGGAAAAACAACCTCTGCAACTTCCAAAAAAGTTCCTAATGTTAAGGAACTGAAGGTAGCAGATTCGGTAGCAAGCTCTACTCCAAAATCACAACCCACCACAACTGTATCTAAAAAGTCCTTCGAAGATTCTTCGTCGGCAGATGATTCCAGCTCGGACGAAGATTCTGATTCTGATGACGATTCAGATAGCGGTGACTCAGATGTAGAAAATGTAAAAAAGAAGCAACCAAGAGTTGTTGCCGTTCCTACTGCGGCTCCTAGAAAATCCCCTGCTCCATCTAGATTACCTTCTAGCAGCCAAAAAGCAAGACCATCCGTAGAAAACATTGCCAAGATAACCTCGGGCAAGTTGAATGACGTTCAAGCAGCTCCTTCGGATATTGGAACTAGAAAAGCTAATTTACTGGAACCTAATACATTAGAAGAACCACCATCTAAGATAATAAGAATGCCAACATTAACTTCATTAAGTGACTTGGCATTAAGAGGACTTCCAGATGTGAAAGATTCCACCAGTAATAAAAATCTTGAACGTTTGGACAGAGCTGCAGCTCCAAAACTTTCGAAAACAGATGAAGTAGCATCGGACTCCGACTCCAGTTCGAGTTCAAGTTCTTCTTCCGATTCTGATTCTGACTCTGACTCTGATTCCGACTCATCTGCTTCTGATTCTGATTCTGATTCCAATGGTAAGTCGAAATTCATTAACGTGAAGAAATTTAAGAAAGACAAGCCAAAGAAAAGAGGAGGTTTCTTTGATATGATGAAGGACGTAAGAAAAACTTAGTCATATAAGACTCATAATTTAACCAAAATATATAGCATGCATTAATATAGAATATCAAAAAAAAAAAAAAAAAAAAAAAGATTACACAACAGTAGAAAGTATGTGATAATCTTAAATCTCCCCATCTAACTCTATATGTGCAAAAGATGATCAATTACCTCCATATATTTCTACCAATGACATCTACAGACCAAGCCCTGTAATTGTATGATAAATTGTACTTCCTCTTCCTCTTGGTGATAAGCGTGTGCACATCCGATATCAGAAGTAATACATTTTCATAAATCAGCAGAATGAATGAATGTGCAACTTCTGGCTGCTCTAGGAATAAGGCACCAATATACTGCTCAAAATAATCTGCCAAAAATTCCTGTTCATACCTCTTACTATCATCATCCTCAAAGTCATCCTCTTCCCATCTGTCCATATTTGGAACGTAGGACGTGGTCAATAAATTATGAACACCAGTATCGACTAAGCCCTCATGTAACTTGTAAGCAATAGTCAACTTTGAAAGCAATGTATTGGTAGAGAGTATGATACGAAGCTGGTTATATGTTCTCGTTCCGAATGTATCATCACCACTGGGATTGAGAGGAGGAACCCCTCTAAACTTATACAATAGGTTAGATGATTCTCTAGCAAGGTAGAGGTCACCAAGACCATCCAAGAAGGAAAGCTCGTACTTGAGTGTATCCTTGGTGGAAGGGCTGTTGAGGTCAATGTTCAAATCAAGCAATTTCTTTGCAAAAGTGTGCTCTGGTTCGATCAATGCCCTGTAAAGCTCCTTATGTATGAGTGCCTTGACCAAATTCTCTCTATTGTGAAGTTTTGGTAAAGGGGGTAACTCTATATGGTAGTCCTTAGTCTCATGAAGTGTTATAAACCTTGTAGTACTAGTATCGTAAAGTTTATCATAATTTATGGGCACCTCCATGTAGTACTCCTTGGTTGCGTTCAAGATAGACGCTGAATCGGATTCCTGCTTCGACTCACTACCGTTATGAAGGTATGGTGCATTTTTAGATTTAATATATATATCAATTATTTGATCTGTCATCTCATCTGTACGAACCTTTGGCTGTGACATAACCATGTATCCAAGTGTAATATAGAGCCATCTGAAATCAGGAATATTATACTTAGTATAAATCGACTCTTCTACACCATCAACATTGGAACCAAAATATGCCAACTCCCTCAACTGGTCTGCAATTGACTCACTATTGTTTATGCCGCGCACGTTGTTTGGTGTCTTACTTAGGGAACTAGCACTTCCTAACTCCCTCTTAAGGAATGTGCTCAAGTCGAAGACAATATTCTTGATAAGAGGTCCGCCACCAAAGTCTATTAGATGTGTCAACTTCTGGTAGAGTTTGAGACGAATTAGATCCGATCCAATCATGTAAAGGTGATGCCTGACCCAAGCAGTACTTAAAAGATCCTCTAATGGAGTTGATGAGGGTATTATTACATCAGTTGGGGCAGCAGCTCTATACTCATTTGTAGTTCTAGGAACCTCTCGGAACCTTATCTTCGATGTAGATAAGTTTCTCATTGTATTTCTTAACAACATTTCGAACCAGGCTATCTTCAATTGAAATGTGGGGGAAGGTTAATTTATAAACCTACAGAATTAGATATAGGTAGTAGGTAAACAAGAGGATTTTTGAAAACGTGACTAATTCCAAGATGACTGAACATACAGTAACCCAATACTCTAATTTAGAATGTTTTAGAATGTTTTGGGGACATGATCTATCTAATCGAGGTGCGTCATATCTTAAACATGTACAGGAAAAGTATGGGGCACGTTCTTATCGCACCTATTTGGCATCCCTACAGTAGCGGGCCAAAATGTGTTATAAATTTAGCATCACTAAAGTGGGTCAAGATCAATGAGGAAATTCCGCTTGTAGTTTGTTGATCTTTACATTTTGATTTTAAAGTAATAACAAATTGTTTAGATAGTTTTTATTAAGTTTTTAGATCTAGAATATTTTTTGGCAAGATCGTGCAACCTCTGTCGCCTCCCCACACACACACACGGTTATTAAATCTGATGTTCGTACATACTACTCCTCATCTATGACACATAATGTATGACACACTATCTATGACACATCGCAATGTAAATAACTATCTATCAAACCTATTCAACTATCACCTATACCACTTTGGACGGCTTCAAAATTGCTTAGATGATTACTGAATTTTCCAGTCAGAAATCGCCTGTGTAGCGTAATGGTTAACGCGTTTGACTTCTAATCAAAAGATTCCGGGTTCGACTCCCGGCATGGGTTCTTCTACAATGCGGTCTTAGCTCAGTTGGGAGAGCGTCAGACTGAAGTTTAAACATCAGTCACAGTTAATCTGAAGGTCCTGTGTTCGATCCACAGAGATCGCATTACTTTTTTGATGCTTTGGCCCACTCTTAATGGGATGCCAGCGAAGCTTGGTAACTTTTTACATGGTAAATTTTAAATAGTCGTTCATTCTTATACTCATTAATTTAATTCCTTCTATACTATGAATTTTCTTTCATAAACCGTCTTAACTCTAAGAAACTACCCTCTAAAAATGCCTGGAGTCTTTTCTCATCAACTACAATCTTGAAATTAGTTAGATATAAAAACCCAACTTCAATTTTGAAAAGATCTCTCTGAGAAACACCTCCAACAGTTGAAAAAGCCTTTTGCTTCTGGTACAAATCTTCTAATTTCTTTGTCAGGCATCTGATCAGACCTAAGATAAACCTATAGACATTCAACTCTGTCAATTGTACTACGTTAAGTAAAATGCAAAGCTTATATATCATCACAGCTGAGTGAATGTATACCAGCACCGATATAGAAGGTGAATACGTTTGCAATCTAATTAAAAACTCTTCTATTGACAAACTTGGCTTCTTAGCCAATCCAAAACTTTTCAATATGTGCAAGTTTTGCAGCTTTATCTTCTTAGAATTGTTGTAACGCAATTCGTTTTCTAGCTCTTCTTTGAACGATATTTTTTGCTCTAAAGAATCTTCAATATTGGAATTTTTAATTAACTCTTCAATAGCAACATATGGGCCCTCAGGAACAGGTTCGTTGGGGTAAATTTCCAGATCTTCAAGGGAATCCGGAGTAGTTTCCTTTAACAACGGTATCTCAGCAAAATTGTCATTCAATCTAGCAAATTTGAGCGGCAGAGAGTCCGGCAGTGTGTCAGAACGCTGAGGAGGCGTAGACATGCTAGTTATTTTGGACGAAATTCCTCCAATGCCACCAAAATTGTAGTCATCTTTGTTCAGAGAAATTTCTTCACTGCTGCAGTTACTACCACTGCCGAGTTCACTGCTTTCATCATTACTACAATCACTATCTCTACGTTCTACTTCTTCTATACTAGTGTCTATATCATACTTCTCGAAAGTCTCCCTTCTATACTTTCTGAATAACTCTTCATTGCTTTGAAGTTTTATGATATCTTCCAAATTGGTCTTGAAGATGCACATTGCATGGTACACATGCAACTTGTTGATGTTTTTAATATTATTTTCTAGATCAAAAACTAATTCTTCTATTCCCACATCCTGTAAAGATGTAGGTTCATCCACAAAGGTCTCATTCGTTGGTTTCAAATGTACCTCGAAATCTGCCGACATCTGACCCCGCTATATATTTAGCAATTGATTTCTTCTTTAGTGAGGGACAAAGTTAAACTAAAACAAATAAGCCTTGTAACTTTACAAACTAATACCTATCAAATCAAATCTATATATCTATACTTAGCTTAGTCTCGCCTTCAAATCTCCACAGAAATACGCTAAGAGAAAAGAATGGGGTATCTATAAATATTTTTGCTTTTCTTGACTTGATGACGACCTTTGATTTCGTTTAGCACTGTTTTCTTTCTTTTTTTTTTCTGTGCGTTTCGTCCTGTCTACCAGGCGGATAAACTAGTGTGTTTGGTCACGAGCTGCAGCAAACGATGCTGCAGCTCCAAATGCAACAATAGTTTCCCCAGCGCCGTACTGAAGCGCAAGATGTGTAAGGCGAACAAGTGGTATGGGAGATGCATAGGCTCAAGAAAGAGAGGAGAGTAGTTACGAGAGTAATTACGAGAGTAGTTACTGTCAGTGGTAGTCTAACCCTTATGGGTTGAAGGAGGAACTGGCAGAGAAGACTTACTTGTAGTCTTTATTCGCTTCAACAAACTATGTCAAATGTGTAATAGACTAAATAGTATAAATAGTAGTTTATATTTTTTTGTTTTTATGTACATATTATATATATATACCTATGCTATCTTCTTGCTTTCTTTCCAAATGCTTGGCTGTTACCTTCGCTAGATCCCAAAGTACGTTTCTTTCCTTCTTTCGCAAAGAAATTGTTTCTTCTCTCCTTCTCCTTCTCCTTTCTTAATTCTTCCTTCTTTGCTATAGTCTTTAACTTCTCCTTAAACTTTTCATCCTTCTTGCTTCTTCTCTTAGTATCCTTCTCCTTTCTTATAGTAGCCAACTTTTGCATCAAGTCACGAGCCTTCTTTTCTTCGCCACCAACTACCACTGCTCTCTTAGTGGTGTAGGTCTTCTTCTTTTGAGGTTTCATAGCATGAATTTGAGATTTGAATGGTAAGTCCTTTTGAACTGACTTTGGCACTTTCAATGGGTTAAACCTCCTCTCAACCCTTTCAATCTTCTTATAGGCAGAGTCTGCATTCTGTGGAGTAACCAATCCTTGTTCATATCTAACCAAACCGGTTAATCTCATACCCTTCCATTCTGCATGATCTCCTAACAATAATGAGGTCACTGGGTTGTAAAATTGTTTTACCTTAACTGGATACCAAGTTCTTAAGAAGATAGTATCGGACATTAAAATTTTGTCCTCAAAGGTAGCTCTAAAGTGACCATCTGGTTTGGACAATGCTCTCTTAATTTCACCTCTGATACCAGAAACTGTTTTAATGGATGCCCCTTCAAACTTAGCGACTTCTAAAGAGTTACTAAACATGTCCTTAATAAAGGCAGTGTTTCTGAAAATCTTCGTTGGGTGACCAACTAATTTCAACTTCTTAACAATTTCGACTGAAGAGTTTAAATCTTCAACGACACCAGTGGCAGCTACTCTGAAGGAGCCTGTGGTGGATGAATTGGCAACTATGTTGAAGCCAACAAATGTAGTATTGGGAGCAACTAATGGACCATAAAATGAAGCAAAACAATATGCGTGCTCAGGAGTATATTTAAGCATTCTATTACGTGTTCTAGAATCTGATGTGGTATAAATTGGTAAAGTTTGGAACCTTCTCCATCCTAATGATAAGATTAATGGATCTTGAGACTTCAAAATCTTCTTGTGCCATCTGTGTCTTCTGATTCTTACGTTCATTATTCCGAATCTTGACTCGGTAGGTAATAAACCTCCTAATACTAATGGGAATTCTGGTTGGAAGTTATTCATAAATTCGCAAGGAATATTATTAAATACAATCTTAACGTAAGAACCTGCAGTATAACCTTCAATCTTCAATCTGGTTGCTTCGTCCATTTCCTCAAATTCAGCTTTGTTGATTTCCAATTGTTTGGCCATTTTATTCTTCTGAAATTCATACCAGGTATCAGCTTCAGTATCTCCTTCTGGATCATCTACTCCAAATTCTCTGTCTTCTTCATCTTCAAATTGAACCTTTAATTTTGCTTTCTTTTCTGCATTTAATCTTCTCTCATCTTCAACTGAGAGGTCTTCATTGGCTTCAGCAAGTTCATCCTTTTGTTCTTCCTCTTCAAAATCCGCAAAATCATCTCCGTCACCTTCATCTTCACTGACATCTTCATCTATTTCAACAATCTTTCTACTCTCAGATTTGCCATTTTTGCTTTCTTGCTCGCTTTCCAAATCTTCGAAGTCCCCATATAAGTCTTCTTCATCTTTTTCTTCATCATTTACTTCGTTCTTAGAATCATCATTTAATTTTGGAGCTGACAAGAATTTATTCTTCAATAAAGCAAATCCATCATCGTCTTCTTCACCGCTGAACTTCAATCTAAGTTCATCCACACTTGGGAAAGACGGAATGAATTGATCCAAGTCTTCTGATGAACCTCTGGTATCTCTTTTCTTGAAAAATGCTTCGTCATCGTCATCTTCAATGTTTTCCTCGTCACTCTCTTCCTCCTCCTCAACACCTTGTTTCGTCCATTTCAGGATAACTTCACTTGGTGAAACATTGTCTAAATACAACAATTTATTGATATTCCATTTTCTTTGTATTGAGCCTCTAAGCTTCGATGCAGATGAACGGAAATCGTCTTCATCGGAAGATAATGAGGAGTCTTCTTCAAATTCTAATTCATCTTCCTTGTATTTGTCACTGTTATTATTGAAATCGATTTCAACTAATTTTGGTTCACCATCGGAATCATATTCAACGTCAGAATTGGCATCATCAAACTCGTCATCTTCTTGAACAGATTTACCGTATATTCTTGGGTTTCTCATACTCTTTCTTCCAGTGTTTATCTGTTCTACTTCTTCTTCTTCTTCTTCTTCATCTTCGCTTTCACTTTCGTATTGTTCGTCGTCTTCACCCTTATTCAACTCTTTTGAAGAAGAAAACAATTTCAATCCAGGGCCGTCTTCAAATCTTTCCTTCATTGTCTGCTGAACATCTTGTAAATCGGTCATCAACTTTTCACCTTCTCCTTTTTCCTCTCCTTTAACGAAGTCCCCATCGTTGCCCATGTCAATATATACAGCATCTTTATCTACAAGAACTCCACCTACATCGGACATAGGAGCGTAAATGATTTTCTGTCTATCCTCCAATCTCTTCCTTCTTCTTGGCGTGGCTTTTGCTAAAGTTTCACCAGCTTCTGCTGCAGCCTTTGCTCTTTCTCTTTCCAAATCATCTAGTTTTTGTTCATAATATGGAGTTGGGCATGGATCAGGTAACTTTTCTACGGCATGCACTGTGTAGTCACCGACACCAGCAATGTGGATTTGAGCATTTTGAGAGGGTAATGGAGTACCGTGCAAGTACCCATACATGGCTACCTTCCTGTCACACTTTGGGTTATCAGCAATATCCTGAGGATGAGTTAAGTCCGTTACTCTATCAGCCAAAAGATATGGATGTTCGTTACGCCATTTCAATGGTCTGAATTTCATGACAGATATGAACCTACTCAAATTTAAAATTTCTCTATCTGGGTATCTACCGTTGATAACACCCGATAAGTAGAATAATTTGGCACCCTGGTACACTTCGGTCCAGAATCTATGCTTCAATCTCTTCTTCGATGTTCTTAAGGTTGATTGGGATTTGAATAAATCCAAATGTGTGGAGACACCAAGCACTCTGGGCATACCTTGATGTTGAGCAATGTTTAAGAATTCCATGGTTTCCATTTCTAATCCGAAATTACCGTCAATCAAGAGCAAGACTAAGTCTGCAATCTTGGCTGCATCAATCATGGAGTTTAAATCATTTCCCACTTCAATAAATGTTAATCTTCTTCTTTTTCCACTAACCAAAGTAATTGGACCTTTCACTTCGGTTAAAGATGTCTTGGCTAATCTTCTAACTAAAGATTTGATTAAAGTGGTCTTACCTGTACCTGGAGGTCCCACCACGGCCACTATAACTGGAGGAGGATCATCATCTGGTGTCCTATCCACCATTGGTACATGCAATTTCCTCTCATTGACTTCTTGAGATCTTCTGGCTTGACGCTCTAACTTCTTTGGTGCATTAAATGCAAACGCCTTTGCATTCGTTCCATTCTGATGCAATTTTTTCTTAGCAGGGGTCTTGCTGGACCCCCCACCTCTATGAGTCTTATTTGACTGCTGATTTTTATCCATTTTATGCTCCGTTATGCAAGATCTACTTGGATATATGAACAGCAGAGATGAGCTTACCTTTTAACTTGTACTTTTTGTGGTCAATATTTTTTTTTTTCAGGTGCATCGCAAAAGCATCTCTACTCATCTGGTCCGGATTGGGAATGACATTCCTGTATATAGTGCGTATTTGAGAACAAAGTTGCAACACAAAATGGTTGCAAAATATTTCTCAATGGCAGGACCTGTGATATTAAGTTATGCTGGAGACGAGTTAGTTGTAGGTTTTTTAGGATGATAAATTTGATATGCATCATAATGAACTTCGTTAAGTTATTATAAAGTGAGGCAATCAAGTGTGCGGTAGAAAGACAATATCGGATAAATTTTTTCACTCCTCTTCCTCATATTGATTATATCTTTGGTTCGATTTATCCCACGTATTCTCAAAATGCGCATATTATTATATTTGATTGCTCAAGCATGTTTGCTACAAACCGTCTACTCCAGTTGGTTCATGGAGGAAGCAAAAAAATGCAACCCGTGGGAGCCTAGAAACTCTGGCTTACTCCCCTTCAGTGGGTTTAAAATATATAGAGAATTCAAGTTTGAGGGTTACTCCCTTATCCCGATGCATTATCTCACTCTCGTGCATTGTGACCACGGAAAAGTTGACTACGAAACATTGTCTGTGATGCCTTCAACTAACATGGAATGGGAGAGGCCCTTTTGTATGCTTAAACCCACGCTTGGTAAATCATTGCCCTTGTCTCCCAAAGATACACCCAGAAGAGATCTTTCCGGTTTGAAAGACCTCTTTCGCCAGAAATTAGACTCTAAGCTAGAAAGTATAACCAATGGAAAATACATCCAATACACCGGAAGTAGAATGGCACAGCATCAAGAAGACATAAAGGAGTCCAATTTCAGAGATGTGTTAGAGTGGGAAGCCAAAAGCTTGGTTTGTTATAAAATGGCTCGAAAGAAGAAGTATGCAAAGAAAGATTTTGATTTTTATGTGCCTGATACCTTTATCGGTGGATTGTTTGAATGCCCGATAAGTGCTGCTGACAGGAAGAGAATTATAAGTGGTTTGACGGTCGAACAAATGATGCAGCCCTTGGATGCACATTTCAAGTGTGATCCGTCAACTGCAAGGCCAATTGTACCACTAATCGCAGATGCTGCAATAAACCAGTGGGTTGAGTATAGCTGGAGTCCAATTACTCCACTATTGAGACAAACGATACCTTATTTAACTACAGCCTCTCCTCTAGACTTAAGATTTGCAGCTACCTCAACCCCAGATATGCATGCAGATTCCTGGGCAAGCCAACTTCAAGTTAATGAGAATTATGACTTTTCTCCCCTTGATCTTCACTATGCTTCAAAAGCAATAGCAATGTCAGCAAATTTTATCAACAAGCTCTTCATAGTTGACGTGACCAAGATACCATTTGATTTTGGCCTCACAAGGAGTCACAAACTGGAAGATCCCTCAGCTCAGAAGAAGAACTTGCTTGCTAGGATTGAAAAGTTCGATTTCAATCAGAAGCTAATTTCGTTGCTTGCGTTAGTGAAATATGATAAGGTTCAGCTTGCACACATACAGAAGCTATGGGACGAGATTAAAGATTGATAACTTACAGAGATTCTATTTATGTGAAATAATTTTTAGTATTCGCTATACAGTGACATTAAGTTTCTAATATAGAAGAAACACTCTGACCGAGGCAGCTTGGGTTAATATACAAAACGTACAGAAAAAATGGGGTATTTATAAAGTAATATAAGATGGATTGGGTGACTTGTCTGTAATCTATCACCGCTCTCTATATTCTTTTCAGTTTACTAAGTAAACAATAAATGTTCGGACGAGTGGTTATCGGGGATAGTCTATACTAAACAAATCCTCTCTGGTTGGTTGGCTCATCAGTTGGGTTTGTGGAATATGCTGAAAATGCACTGTTAGAAGGGTTTCTGTAGTGCTGGTTAATAGGAGTTCTACTATTCTCTTTTGGAATAGAAAGAATATTTGGGTTTACACTATCTCTATCTTCATCTATATTTTGATCAATGTTCCCACTATTGTCATTGAAATGCAAATCATCCGATAACGAATCACTTATTCTTGTAGCGCCATTATTTTTCGATTTTGTTGAAAGGCCCCTAGTGAGTTTTTTCAATTTTGTACCAAATGACTCTCCTGCTTCCTTTTCATCCTGATTTACTACGACATCTTCCCTCTGTCTTCTTTCCTTTTCATTAGCCAATGAGTCAAAGCTTGATTCTTGATCTTGAACCGAATTTGGCGGTAATTTTCCGTCAGATTTTTCGACAGATGGGCTCAATGGATTATCGTCATTTTGTGAGCCAAATTCATTCAATTTGTACATTTGAAATTCCCAATCATTTTGATGATCTTGAGCTGCAGCTCCTAAAGCAAATAATTCATTTGTTTGCTCTGTGTTTACCTTAGCTCCATCCTTCTTTCTAACTGATGCCTTTCTCTGGAATGAAGTTCTATCATCCTTTGCAGGAGCAAATCTAGCGTCAGGGTTCTTAGAAATAAGTGATAATGTAATCAAGACAATAATCATGACCAATAAAATTAAAGAAAAGGCAGCATTTAAGATGAAAAAAATCCACCCCATTATGGATGAAACTTGAGCAGGTTGTCCGAAAAGATCTGAAAAAAACATGAAGAAAAATGAATTGAGTGTGTTAACAATTGAAATACAATAGTTCACAATATTAGTTGGTTTGTTCAAGAAAGGTTTTTGCCAGAACAAACTTGCGGTATAGGCTAGATCAAGTACAAATACAACAACTGAGGAAGCCTTACCCGAATATTGGCACAATCCAATGAACATGCCCTTAACTAATCCATAACCTAAGATCACCACTCCAAACCAGTACTTTTCTGCATGGAACATTGTGTAAATGAACCCGTATTTGTTTAATATCAGTTGATCTCCGTATAAAATTGCAGCGGGATTCTTGAATTTTTGCACTGATATTTTACCATATGTCAAAACTCTCCATAAACTGTAAACCATCATACCCAATGCCAACAACAAAAATAACACTCCCAAGACAATCACTGCAGGAGAATCATTTTGCGTGAATTCCCAAAGGGATAAAATAACCAACTGGGTAAATCCAATGTAAACATATCTTAAAACAGAACCCTTAATGATACTTGCGAATGAAATTCTGAAGTTACTAGCAAAATTAGGTTGAATCTTCTTAAACCTGATTAGTAATATAATAATTTGCTTGATGAAGAAGATAATGGCAATCAAGACATAGCCAAATATAATAAAGAAAGTGAAGCCAGTAACAACAATGGAAGTTGGCTCAATTCCAGAGTTGTATCCAATTCTTTTAATACCTCTCAAGATAATCAAATTAGCATTGGAGCTTAATGAGAAACTCAAACTTCTCTTCTTAATTACTTCAACCGATTGAGAAACAATGGAAGGTAAAAAGGAAGAGTAGGAACCGTCTTCTGGGTTGATAAACGGATTCAAAAGCTTTGCCTTCAGATGTAAACCTTCCAAGTAGTTGTAAGCTCTCTGCACCAAGATTTGCTTAGTAGTACCACCAAAATACAAAGCAGGAGTTCCTCCTGTAGATTGAACGTACCACCTAAAGATCTTCTGCATAAAGTTCACCTTGATTAGCCCCATAGACCACGATAAATTTTCAGACCATGCACTAGCAATGGGTGGGACCCTGTCTACAGATTGTAAACTGACAACAACGACAGCTTGGAAGTACAAGAACAAGGAAACAGCATTAGCCGAGATGTGTGAGGCTGCATTAGAGTTACCAAAGGTGGAAAGAGCTGCAGCAATAAGCAAACCTAATCCAGCAATAATAGCTGTAGCCCATTTAGCACCAGTTTGACTCACAGTCTTACCATTACTGAAACTGGCCTGCAAACAGGAGTAGAGTTTGCCAGAGTCTCTATCGACGATTAAAACCTTGGCTACAGCGTCAATATCGGGCACTGTATAGGCAATGCCAGGGATATCACGGATTATACTGGAACTGATGTATTCTATACTGTCAACTTGGATGCTACCTGGGTAGACCGGACAGAACTGCTTCCAACCCAAGGTACACAAGTTAACGTCCTTCTCGATGATAAGGAACCCATAGGCATACACCTCCACTTTAGCGATGATGTAGGCACTGATTTCCGTGGTCAAATCCAAAGAATATGTCAACGACCCGTTATCAGGATCGAAGGTAACATCGAAAGACGTTGGTGAGATTTCTGAGTTGTCCATACAAGTCACCAAGGAGGTCGCTGAAAGAAGTCTACCATCAACCACGCCAGCGAAGAGTGTGGCTAGCACCAATATTATGGTGGATAACATACTATGAAACATGACTGAAACTGTGAGGAACGGGACGAGGGGGTGTTCTATCTATATGTCAGCAGCTTGCTAGTTGTTGTTGTTGTTGTTAAATACTTATCCTGCTAAGTCTAAGTAAAGATTTCTTATATCTGAAATGATTTTTTTTAGGTATGGGCTATTTTAAGCACGGTAAATCAGAGAAGCGGAAATGAAAAATCTAAAAAAAAAAACAACAAATTGTGAGGGAAGGTCTCCGCTTGATTTTGATCTGGATTGGCTTTGCAAGTCTCTCTGATGTAATATGTACTATAGCACGGAATGCTGTCAGCGAAGGACTAGGACACAGAGTGGTTCCAACAGATATGAAACAGAAATAATGAACTTCTGTTAAACGGTAAGAAAAGAAGATGAAGAAGAACCAAGACACAAACACCGCTGAAGCTGAGGATGAAGATTGACCGTAACAAGGGAGAAAGAGCATAGGATCTTTTTTATTTTTTATCTTTTATTTTTTTTTTTTCTTTTTCTTTTATTTTTTTTGCTTATTTTTTTCCCATCATTTTGTTGTTACCTTGCAACGGTGAGGACCGGCACACAGTGGAAAAAGAAAAGAGAGCAAGAGTATGTAATAAAGAATAAGCTTCAAAGGCTCAGCACTATGATGCAACCAATGTAGACGCTTTAAGTTCCCCAGTTGGAAGAGAACACGGACTGTTTCCAGAAGGAATTTGCATAGATTGGAAAAAGAGGATTCAGTTTTGATACAAGTAATAGGGTGTGTAGGTTAGGTGGTGCATTCATTACAGAACTTCACAGACTTCACCCCACGCGTGTACTGAGAATCGAATGTCCTGTATATGACACTGCTGCTTATGCCCCCATCTGCAATGCTCCAATTTTAGTGGCATAGCCTGGTACAGCGCAGCGGGCGAGCTATTCCCCCGTTTCTGGTGGGTGAGCTTTCATCCTCCTTGACACTGGCTATTTAATATTTCTCTATCCGCTTATTTACGTTGATTTTCATATCGTAATTGCGCTTTTATTGTGTTCCTTCACCACCGATTCGGCTCTTCTTACTTACGAGTCTTGATGCTTCTCTCATCACAACAAAATCGCATGTCATTTCGCGTCGAAGATCGCGCCCCGGACGCGGCTTTGCGATGTATAAATCTGGTGCAGCACTCGGTGGACTCGAGGCATTACTTGGTTCTGCATGGGTATACTATGTTCTAATTCGTCTCTCGCATACTGCAATACACCGATACATTCTCGTACTGGACTCAAGCCTCTTTGTTTACTCTCATGTGGTATTAGGAGAGGAGATTATCATTTTAGCCTAAAGCGCTAAAATTACTTCGAGTGCACTATAGAGAGGAACCGCTATGCATCGCAGCGTATTGCAATAAAGCTACACCTTTTTTTTTATTTTCAAAATAATTTATTACCTGCTAAAAAATATAACTGAATGTGAACTACATATGGACTCCACAACTCGTATTACCTGTTGGAAAAAAACCTGATTACGAACTGCACATGGACTCCACAGCTCGTACTACCTGCTAAAAAGAAACCTAATACCAAGAACAATACCACTCCACAACTCGTAACATACTACAAATGATACTCTACAACTCGTGCTTGATCAACCTTCAACAAGAGATCATCTCCCCAAACAACCTTAATCACATCCCAGAACTCTGAAGCATAGTAAAGCTTAATTCCTAATTTCTTGTAGATGTAATCCTCTGGGTCTTTTCTTTTGTAATCCTTTTTATTAAGGTCATTGTCAATCAACAAATCATTAAGTTGAGAATCATCGTTTATACCATGGCAATACTCTTTGATAACATCTTTTCTGTTTTCCCGAGGTAAGATAACCTTCTTCATTTTGGAAAAGTGTGCTCCCAAGAGCTTTTCCTTGACTCCCCCAATTGGTAAGACCGAACCTCTTAACGTTATCTCTCCTGTCATCGCAATATCCGATGAGACGGGCTTCTCGATTATCAATGATAAGAACAGTAACGCCATCGTAATACCTGCACTTGGCCCATCTTTCAGGATTGCACCACTTGGAACATGCAAATGGATTTCAAAGTTATTTAATTTTTCAATCGCTTGTGTTTCCTCTGAAAAATGGTCCTCTAAGTTTAAGAGATTACGGTATAACACCAGTTTAACAAAAGTTAAGCCAATTTTGGCGCTCTCCATCAAGACTTCACCTAACCTTCCCGTCATGTTTAAAGAGGATTGGTTTTTGTCGTTATGAAATCCAATCAGTTCAAATATCAAAACTGAACCAGAACCATCTGTATTGTAAGACAATCCATTGACAACTCCATATTTGGCTGATTGGAAAGGTTCTTCTAATTCCTTCGAGAAGGAAGAATATGGGATTCCCAAATATTTAGGCAATGAAGAAGCAAGAACAACTGGGTTATACTCATCGGGAGATTCAGTTGATTTATCGAGTGTTTTAGCATATTCAACTGCTTTATGTCTGCAAATTGTTCCCAATTTCCTCTCAAAGTTTCTTACCCCAGCTTCTCTGGTATAGTCCACAATGATCTTTTCCATTACATTCTCCTCAATTTTAATAAAGTCGGCAGAGGGGAATCCATTTCTCTTGATTTGTCTAGGTAAAAGATACTTTTGTCCGATGATGCTCTTTTCATTATAATCATATGCACCCACTTCGATCATTTCCAATCTGTCTAACAATGGCCTTGACAAATTATATGGCTCATTGGCTGTGCAAATGAAAATCACTTGAGACAAATCAACCGCAAACCCAAGATAGTGATCATTGAATGAAGAATTTTGTTCGGGATCTAAAACTTCCAATAAAGCAGCTGCTGGATCACCATGAACCTTGTTAGCACCATCGGCACCACCGGCCACTTTATCGATCTCATCTAACAAAATAACAGGATTCATAGATCTTGCTTTTCTCAACGATTGAACAATAACTCCAGGCATTGCACCAACGTAAGTTCTTCTGTGACCTCTAATCTCTGCTTCATCTCTTACTCCACCTAATGCAATTCTTTGGAATTTACGGCCCAAAGATTTGGCAATCGATTTTGCTAACGATGTCTTACCAGTTCCTGGTGGACCTGCAAGTAAAATAATAGGAGCCTTACCATTTCTAGAGGAGATCAATTGAATTGAAGCCATATTTTCGGCATTCTTACGAATCTTGGCCAACTCCTCTTGCCTTATTTGTTCTTTAGTCTTTTGATTTTGTTCTCTTGCATTAGCATGAGCCATTTTGGTTTCATCACTATTGGCAATAACAATTCTTTCATCAACAGGTCCGTTTTTGTTGACAGAGCCAGGTTTGTTACTATGTTGAGTAATAACATTATTAACATCTTGTCCCTTTAACGCATTTTTTACTTTTTCTTCCCTCTCTTTATCAATCTGAGATTCAGCATTGATACCCAATAACTTCAAAACGACAAGGTATTGAATCAACCTATTCTTTACATGCTCTAAACCATAATGATCAGTATCCAATTGCTTCTTTGCAGCAATAACATCGATGTCTTTATTGTTTAAGAACTTGGTAACGTAAACGTCCCATGGCAAATCAATGACAATTTCTAAGTAATTCCTAATCACATGAAAATCAGAATTCCCTGGTTGTGCAGACTTGATTCTTTTAAAATCTTTGATGATAAGTCTTTTAGCATCATCTGAAATCCCAACCAAATGTGGGAGTTTATTTTTCATAAATTCCTTGATTAAACGTAAGTCATCGTCAGAATCATCCATATCATCATCATCGAAATCTTTACTTCCATTTACAGATGATCCCCTAGATTCTCCTACAGGAACGTTTGGTCTACGAACCAATTGTCTATTCGCAGGAGAGTTACTCAAATTGGTGTTATTTGAGGTACCATTTGATTTACCGTTGCTCTTCATATTAGACATTCCTTCTAATACCAATCTAATGGACTTCAATTGATTTGCTACGACGTTTGCTCTTTGCGTGTTTGTAGCTTCCTTATAAAACCAGTGGTTGATAAGTTCACCGTTTTCTTTTAGCGATTCAAAGACGCCATTCAACACATTGATCATTCTTATTATCTCATCAATTCTTGCCATGGGAGAAATCTTCAGTAACAAATTTAATTTCTGATGGTTAGGGAATGGCATTATAGCACATGTCAAATCAACTATTCTCAAAAAAGAATGGGAGTCAATAGCCTTCTCTAGACTTTCAAATGCGGAATAAATAGTATTTAATGAAGAATAAGCTTTGGAGAAATCCTTGGAGCCTGCCAATTGTAAGTATAACGAATTAGCCAACGGATTCAAAGTAAACAAGTCTCCTACATCTTTGGAAGTGGAAGTGCCTGACTTTGCCTTCTTGGAAAGATTTGTTGCCGTATTCAAAGCTTGGCGGTACTTGATTATGAACTCATCAATGGAGTTGAACAATTCAGTAGCCTTGTGGTTCAAATGAAGGAAGTGGTTATTAACCTTGGCAATGTCGAAATCCCAATTAATCTCAATCAAAGTCTCGTTGGGTCCACTTGATTTATAGCCTTGGATCTTAGCACCTCGAGTAAGTGCTTGGAAAGTCAACCTAATGGACGAAGTATCATCAGTTATTCCCACGATACGGACAATAGTCGTGATTTGCTCTCTTAATGTGGTAGACAGGTCAGAGCTAGGCTCCAAGTCCGATATCTTATCCAAGTTTGGGCTAATGGCTAAGACGAGCCAATCGAACTCGGAACCAGCCAAGGTAGCATCGGAAGAGTCTGAGTCATACTGCGAATCAGATTCCTTGTATGATTCCTTTTCGGTGCTCTTGAGTTTGGACTCAAACTCCACAAATCTCTGGATGCCCTCAAAGGCTTCATCGGATATCATTCCAGGGTTAGACGCATCTTCATCGTCGCCACTGGCTAAGCGCACCTTGGGGTTCTTCTTTTGATCGAGATCGTTGGCAAACTCATACTCGCTTAACAAGTTTCTTACAAGTTTGAACTCGGTCGTCTGGTTGCGGAACCTTGACAACAAGGTGGCCGCCCTGAACCTTGAAAAAGTCACATTGTATATGATTCCTGGGAGCAAGACCAAATTTGAGTCTAGTTTGTATGTGGGCAACACAATCAGTTGACCAGTTGCAGTAGATTTCCCCATAGTAAATTTGTTTATTTTTTTTATGCGCTGGAAAAGAAATCAACTAGAGAGCAGAAACAAAATGCCACTACTTAAATAAATAATATAACCTAGGGGGTATCAGGTGTTGGAAAGAGTGAGTTAAGTAAAGGGAGGATTTTAGTCAGACCAGTACCGAAATGCACATACTACGGCGCGCGCGTGATTAGCTGTCAGCAGTAAGCACGAACAGCAGGAAAAGATTTTGTGGGGATGGTTCTACCGAGGAATAAGGATAGCCACAGGTAGATGGCTAATTTCAGAGTGACTATTCGTTTCAGCGTTGAGGAGGGCACTGGGAGTGGTTCGACGGATTCGTAGAGGAGTAAATGGGAGGCATATGTTCCTCTTTCGGTACTTGATGGACTGCGTTACTCTCTCTTGTAATCCTGATTGCCTCGGGAGTGAGTTCCTGATAAGGAAAAGCGTTGCGATTTCACATGAAGCGTGCGGCCCACTCAGTGCGAAATGCAGCACTGTACGTGAGCCATCGCTGTTCAGTGGTGAGCCGTCAGCTTACTGATAGCTTACTCTTAGCTTGGTATAAGGAAAAAACGGTAGCTAGTTTCATCACTGAGAAACTGTTTTTCCGTCTTGAACTTGGGTAATGGGCTCGTCTACACTAAAGCTGTGCTCTATTTACAATGTATTAATGGCCTATGTAAGATTATTTTTCTTTTCTTTTTCATTTTTTTTTTTTTTTCATTCTTGATTTTTCACTTCACTCCGTTGCGCTTCTTTGCTTTACCTATAGCACATCCTTAAGACTGACTTGCCCAGTTCCTCTCTTTAATGGTTGTGGCTGGTTCTCACTCTTCTTCCATCCTATAACAAAGATCACACTAAACGTGGCAGGCAATGTGATTTCGCCGTCAGGTCCTTGTTCTCCATGTAATGCTTTATAGATTTCGTTCGCAGCAATTAAAACGTCCTTTGGCAAGTAGCTGGGCCTGGATAATACCGAGTTTTGCTCCCCCATATACTGTAAGTCTTCGCATATAGAAACTATGTCGGGGTACCCACCCACGACAATGTCTTCGGAGTCGATTGTAAGCATGCTGAAACCGGCACGGTTAAGTAAACTGCCTACATCATTCAAATGCACTAATGGGGACACTCTGGGGGACATTCCACCCATTCTCTCCTGCTCTGCTAGTTGTAAAGATGTTCGAAGTTCATAGAGTGTATCACCACCAACAATGGTTCCCAAAAATACTCCGTCAGGCTTCAATACCCTGTTGATATTGGCCAAAGTCTGAGGTAAGTCGTTGATCCAGTGTAACGAGAGGTTGGATATAACGGCATCGTACTGGTTAGATTCTTGCAATGCCTCTTCGTGCAGGAACGCTTCTTCGTCAGCTTCGTATCTCTTCACCACCCCAGGGAAGGATTCTAAGTAAGGCTCGTCAATATCACGATTAAGCATCTCCTTACTCGAGTCTACCATCACCAATTCCTTGATTTTATTTCTGACCATCACTTTGTCTTTGTTTAACTGGTCCACCATGAACTTGTCTTCCTCTGTGCACACCCCAGCTGGAGGGTATTCGGAGGATTCACATAGATTCTTCAAGAAGTTTCCAGCGTTAGAGCCAAAGTCCAACGTCTTCGTAAAGTCTCTGGTAATAAATGCAAGTCTTTCGATGGTCCTTATTGCGACTTCATCTCTGATATATTCGACCTTTCTGGATTTGTCTGGAGATAGTATGGGAGTCCTGGATCTTTGGATCTTCTTGGAATGCCTGTCAAAGACTTTGAATTGGGAATTTGTAGCGAGGGACCTGACCGCAAGAATATCCCTAGAGCTGCGGTATACTGGACGACTCCTGGCGATAGAAATAGCCATTTTGTTCATGCTGATGACGTACAAGCGACTGATGATTGGAGCTGAAGAGTTTATCGAAGTACTCACTGAAAAATTCATACTGCATCCCATCTTGGGGTCCTGTATATAACACACGATGATGATGTAATGACAGTAAAGAGAAAGAGCCAGTAACTTCAGCATTTGCAGGCCCAAAAGTCGACTTTTTGATTTTGAATACTACTATTTGGAGGCTGAGACACATCTAGCTACAGTTCTCTCTCTCTCAAGTTCCATATGTGGTGTGGTTTATTTAAGGTGTACTCCCTCTCTTTTCTGCTGCTCTCTCACTTTTTCGCTTATGATTCGCAGCCTATATAATTTTTCACTGCTAGGCAGCGTTGTAGCTTATCTTTGTCTTGGTTCCTTTCGTTTATCTTGGTTGTTTGGAGTCTATATGTTGCGTGCTCGAATACCGAGTCTCTTGCGCTCACTTTCCTCGATAGCGCCCTCTTCAACGATTAAGCACAGCTTCGAATCGGTTGAGAGAGAGCTCCAGAGCCCCACCCCAAATTGGAACATTGTTGAGGATTTCCTCTCGAAGAAACTTGCCAAAGAATCGCTAGAGGACTTTCGAATAGTGGAAAATAAGGTAAAAGAAAGATCATCTGGTGGAACTCCTCCAAGTATCTACCAATTGCTCATCAGGGCCTGCTACAAAGAGAAGAGGGTCGGCGATGCGGTAGACTTATACATAAAGGTAGCCTCAATGAACTCTGTAGTCTCAGGAGCTTCTGCTCCCGCTCCTGCTCCTGCTTCCTCATCTTCTTCGGTGGAGAAAGTCGTACACATAGATAAATTCAACCACGAGAGGATAATAAACTACCTTTTGAAGGCAATATCACATTCTAATGACTTCATAGACCTCTTCAAATTGAAAGTGCTATGGGAAAACTTCATATACATAAACACCAAAGCTCCCAATACCGAGCTCTTATACTTTGCATCTTTCATAAACATACTACTAAACACTGGCCAAATAGAAATGGCCCTAGATAAATTCAAACTCTCGTATAATTCCTTGCTGATGGACGATAGCCACTCCAATGATTCTATTTTGAAGGTTTTCCCCACGATACGAATATTAGATCAGCTATCTGCTGATGGGAATTTCGACGAAATGTACAACATACTTCAAATGATACTTGGAGAGGAAGGAAACTATGAGGTAGTTCCCTTGGACCATTGGTTCGTCTATTTGAGCAATGGTCTATCCAAGAATCATTACAACTTGGTGAAGTTGATATATGACACAGTCATAATGGGGGGATACGAAGAAGGAGAGATAACCACGGAAAGCGCTCTTTTCTCCCCTTCGCATGAATTAATGTCCACGGACAAGTTCTTGATCATGAATTCTTTGACTGACGAGTTGACACTACAGATCCTTCATACCTTTTCTCTGAATGGCGATGTTCCCCTGACACTATCGCTCATAGAATCACATTTCATACACAAGAAGTTGAAGGGTGAGAGGGCACTTACAAGGGAGTTGTGCGTTTGTATAGTCAAAGCATATTGCTTTAGTGACGAATTACAAGAGAATTGGCCCGAGGTTACACTTGATAACCAAGTAACGCCTTCTCCAATTGACCACAGTGTAGAAAGAGTCTTGGATGTATTGGATGAGTTCATTAGAAAGCTCGAAAAGGAAGAAAAGGGAAAGATCAGTTATAAAGATATAAGTGACTGCATGAGTTTCAAGTTCAAGAACTTTAAAATTCTCGACTCTAAAATTGAAGCTAAGAGGACAGGAATAGCCAAATCGAGTAAAGAGACGGATTTTGTAGATAACGAGAAGCTATCGAATCCAAACATTGAGTCTTCAGCACAGGGAAACGTACTTGCAAACTTGGATACTTTGACACTCTTCGTGCTCAATCACATTCAGCACCTTCAAGATAAGAGAGCATCGATTAGTACTATAAAGCTTTTTGTTAACTGTCTCCTCAACCACGTGAACTTGTATCAGAATTTGTCAGGAGTAGTGAGAGTTTTAACTACCTTGCACAAGCAGAACAGCAGGCTATTAGATGAGTGGTTAGATTCTGATCTGATAGACATTATACTCAACGCAACTTCCAAGAGTTCTGCTGGTAAGTACATCTCATATGAACTATTTAAGCACTTACGAAAGAGACAAACACTAATTTCCTCACAACAATATGTTTGGTTGACGAATTCTATACTAAGGGACGACTTCCATGAATGCTTGCAGTTTTATTTATTCAACTATTTGAAAGATTGCGGTGTGGTAGACAACAAGATGCTACTCCTCTTACGACAATTACCCCCAGCTGCTGTCAATATGAATGATAAAACGAAATCCTTGGTAGGCTTTATGGAAACAAATGCAAACCGTCCTGTAGAAGCAGATGTTGTCAATGACTTCTGGAGAGTGAATGAACTAAAAGAGACATTCCCAGAGCACATCTCTGGAAAGGCTGTGCCAGAACTCGGCAGGAAATATCACAAGTATATTGATGTGAGAGATGTTGAGTACGTAAAGTATATATTTGGATAAAAAAAATAAAAAGAAAGAAAACAGAAGGGGACTATAATTCACCAAGGACCTTATTTATTTCTTCAGCATTGATTTCAATCTTTGTAGCTCTTTCTCTGCTAAGAACGTTCCAGCGAGCTTTTCTAATTTCCAAAAGACTCTTTTCAGGATCATTATCATCGAAGATATCATTACTATTGAGCTTCTTTCTAGACAATACTCCCGACATTGAGTCGTTGGGGCCACCTATCGAATAGTTAGACAGTATGGAGCCATTGTAGGAAGATCCTAATAAAGTAGAGTCTACAGCCATACGAAGAATGTTGTCTGCGTGGCATGCCAATTGATCATAGGAGCTTTCCTTCTCGTTATAGTCAGGTGTGCATTCCAAGAGTGGACCAGCACCGGAGGAAGTCTTAACAGGAGTTGAAGCTAGAGGCTCCACAGCGTAATTGAGCTCACTCATGGATGCCAAGTCAGTCCTTAACACTCTTTTGAGGCTTGGCTTCTTTTGAATGCTCATAGACGACGGAGTGGTAGTCAACTTAATCAAAGAGGGCTTCTTCGACATTGGTTGTTTCACAGATGCAACGAAGTTCGAGCTCGAGCTCGAAGCCATGGGTACTGGAGAAGAAAACAAGTTTCTGGTGTTGCTAATGGGTATATTTGAACCGTATGTTTCGTCTTTGCCAAAATTGGCGGTGTTTGGTTGTCTGGACCTCTTCAAGCCTCGAGAGGGCGTGCTAGCAGTGGCCAAAGAAGCCGATATGGAAGGCTTTTTCTTGACCACTGGGACAGCTGTGTTCTGCTCGAACTTCAATTCTAAGATGTAGCTATTGATAAGTCTCCTACTAGTACTCAATATCTCTTGCATCGGGTCGTACAAATTCACGGTGTTTTGGTTGACCTGGTACGCCTTGGTGATTGGCTTACTGGAGTACACTGGAGCAGAGGGTTTAGGTTCATTTTTGATCTTTAACGATTGGGTGAGCATCACCTCTCTAGACACATTCTCGGAGCGCTTGTACATGAGGTCTGGAGTGAATGTGTGCTGCTGTGGAACTGTAGTGAACGTAGCCATGGTTAGGGTGCAAACTCTGAAGTCGTCTATATGATTAAGACCTGCACTCTAGGAAAACCTTTCAAGCGTAACAAATTCTCTGAATTTTAGGTCCCTTTTCCAAATTGAAAGAATAGACCCTCTCTTTTAACCTTTTTCCCCCCCCCTTCACTATTTCTGTTGCATGAAATGAATATATTTATGCCAAATGAAGGAACTTAATGGCCAGTGTTTACATACTTCCTATTTAGTGGGATGTATATGTAATATTGTATGCAGTACGCAGATTCTCTTGTGCAAGCCTTGTCACGTTCTAGCTGGAGCATACATTCATACAGGAAAAGGAAGAGGTAGATGTAAGTGGTATCTAATGTATTGGATATTATGTACAGAAAAAAATGATACATATATATGTATGTACACATATGGATATATGCAATGCTCGAATTTAAATGAATTGTAGGGAAGCCGTTCGGTCGACTTTCATGAGGTGGTTATATGGGACCCTCTTGTTAAAGGTGTAGCCCAGTATGCAGGATTGTGATTTCTATTTTGAAGAATAAAAAAATATTCTCATCTTTTTCATTTGGTGCGATGTCATTGGTCTATAGGAACACGTGATCGATTTTTCAGTGAGCTAGCCCGTACTAGCTTCATCCTATCTAAAGTGGTCGGTGGGGTCAGGGCAAAGCCGTGGCTACTAGCTGTGATAATAAGGGGTATTGGTTGCTGTACTTGATCTAAGTCTCCTTTTGGATCTTCTTTAACCTTTCGTCTCTCACAGAATCATTTCCGTGCACATTGTCTATTGGACAAGGCAAGAGCGAATTGGCGCCCACTAACAAGAAGCAAATGGCGAAGGTAGATGTGAATAGAGAATTCGTCAATCTATTTCTTTGAGTAGCTCTAATTGACATAAACATTGTACTTATGGTCTTGAATGTGAATAGATATGATCACTGAATGATATAAGGAAAAATAAATATAACCTACTATGAGTATATTGAATCGAATGTTTTCAATTACTATAAAAATTTGACTTGTTTTTCTCATTGAAATTTTTGTTTGCTTATACTGTCTTTACGCTGATCACGTGATGCCTGGTGAGATAGCCAATAAGATTGATGGTTAATGTAGAACACCAAATAGGGATCTTAATGGGTTGATAAATTTTCTCCTTTGGCTGTTCAGCGTAATAGCACTCTCTGAACATTTAACATACATGAGAATAGGTTAAATAAAAGGTGTTCAGTGGGGTGTGCTTTTGGTCTGTGAATGCTACCATGGTGGAATTATATGCACGCCCTGAATTCCTCAACTTCACCAGAAGCTTGAAAAAAGACTGGATATGAACTACTTATACGCAGGACACGACCATCTACTAGCACCAACTAAAACTGAAACTGTTACTACTAGTACTACAGGGGACCCCTTTAAAGCAGTGATTCGTTGTATTATTGAATCTATATATATTATACGAGATAAATTATGTACATGGAAAAGTTTTATTGAAATTTTTAAGGCATATTTTGATGCTTGACTTTTCAAATATTGTTCCTTCTTTAGCTTGGATGAGGGTGTCATTATTGTTTCAGGTGTAGACATTATGAGAGAGTTAAATGCATTATTTATTGGGTGTTAGGATTGGCCTTTACAAGTACAAAGCCTGGGTTTGGTCTTCTTTCTTCTTTTAATTGCTCCTTTGTCTTTGGTTCGTCAACTAATTCGATTTCTACTAACTCTTTTACCTTGGCCAATCTGTGAGCGGTGGATGGTGAAACCTTTTGGTAGGATATGTCAAATCTCTTCTTTAAGCCTAAAATTTCAATATTTCTACGGACTGTTGGTGGCATACCAATAACCGACCTCTTTTGCAAGATCTTATAATACATCTGCTTAGCAGCTGCGGACGACATTATGTATAGTTAGGTGTTGTAATCTGAGGTTCTCTTGACCTTGACTGAAAATTTTTGGTTTGTGAATGAAAAATAAAATAAAAATTAAAAAAAAAAAACTGTAGCTAAATTTATACGCAGTACCAAATCAATACGATATGGATATGACTCTCTAGCTACGTATCTTCGTACTCTAGTTGTAGAGAGCATTCTTTCTTACTATGGTATGGATCAATTTCTAGAAGAACTGCTTTTGAAAAAGAATTCCTTCTTACATCTGCAGATAAACGAACGAATTGAGCTTCTTGTGAGTGATGTTGGTGAGGAATTGGTGCTGGCCCAAAAAGTGCACTTGGTGAGACTTAATCGCATACAAGCTGAAGTGGTTCGTATCCAGTTGCTCATACAAGAATTTGAGCCAAATCCTAAGCTTTTGGATAAATATCTATCTGTATATATAACTAAATTGTCTAATTTGTATTTAGAAATAAAGAATCAAGCTAGTCTGAAGACTGATTTCAGAATTGAAGATATTATATACTCTCTATCTAAAATACGAGGGTTCAAGAATATTACAAATTATTTCTCAAGTGAAGTGTATTTGTTCCCGAAGCTCTTAAAATTGAAGGAATCTTTTGAGTTACATGATAATGAGCAATTCTTGATCTTGCTTTGGCTCTCCAATCTAGTTTTGGTACCATTTGAATTAGATAAAATTCAAAACGGATTGCTGGAAAGATTGTATGATGTTGCTCTCCGCAGCTTAGGGAGCAATTCAAATGGCTCCAAGATACAAGTTGTCTCACTGATTTTGCTATCCAGACTAGTGACAAGAGCAGATCAGGGAAACTTATTAGATGGCTATTTTTACAAGACGATAAAGATTACATGGAAGTCGGATCTGTCCGGTAGTGACAAACTCGGACACTTAATTACTTTAAACAAGATCATGAAGCGAAGCTCCACATTCGATAAATATTTTGAAATAGTCGAGGACATTTTGGCTGCAGACTACGATATATTGGCCGTGAAGGATAATAAAGCTAACTTTACCAATATGAATATCTTGTACATAATTAAGCTATCAGATAGATTGTGTAGCAAGTACTATTTAGAAAACATGAAGTACGAAATGGTTGCTAACACAATAAATAGCTTATTCAGAAGAGTCTTGCTAGCACCCGTGCTACAGAATAAGTTTGACGTAAATCTTCGATATGCTTTTGCTAGAGCACTAAGTAATATCTGCTATTCACTTGACAAGTATGCTATGAACTACCAGGATCAATTAGTGCATTTCGTGCTTGAAGAATTCGATATACCGAACTTGCAAATGGCCAAAATGTTATTTCAGCACGATTTATTTATCAGTCCTGACTATATATCTATATCAAAGTACCACACGTTGCTTCTTACTATGGGACATCTCCTGTTGAGGAAATGTTTACCGACCCGATTCATTCCTACATTGTTGAGCATTGTACACAAGACTTTGTTTTTCAGTCAAAGGAGGCTAACCGTAACAGTTGGTACTGCAATAAGAGACTCCAGCTGCTTCATATTATGGGCTATTTGCAGAAGCGTACAGCTTGAAACTTTTGCCCAAATTCTTGCTAAGTCGACAATAGACACCATTCTTCTCGATATCATCAACGTCTGTATTTTCGATCAAGATTTAGTAATTAGGAGATGTGGAATTGCTGTTCTACAGGAATACATTGGTAGGTTCGGAAATAGTATATTTGATTTGGAAGAAATTGAGGACAAAGGGAAGTTCATTATTAATTTTATTCAGTTATTTGATAATCATTCGATAGGTTCATCTAGTAGTTCGTACTCAATAGTACCGAGATTAGTAGAAATGGGATTTCACCCATGTTTGTTCATACCCACCTTAATTTCCAATATTTGCGATGCACATAACACGTTTGAAAATAAGAAATTGAATGCATTTACTTTGGTAGGATTAATGTCAACTTCCGCTGGAAGTGTTGATGAATCTTTGCCTATTGGCTTGCAACAAATAAACCCTGAAAAAAGTTCGTTGCATAGCGTTACTGCAGAATTGACTTCACTGGTATTGTATGACGAAACTGGTCCATTATATGCGTTGAGTAAGTTAATCCAACTACAGGGCGAAAATGATTTGTCTTTTGTTTCCGAGCTAAAGAATTACTTAGAAAGTATTCACTTTGATTCTAGTGAAAAGGGTGAAGAATTTTTGAGCTTCATGACTTCTCTTCGCCGACTTCAGAGTTTCCCAATTCTGGAAATATTGGAATTGAAGATCAACGAAGTAGTTAAAAGCTCTCACAGCATTGGAGTTACAAAACAATGTCAGGAATACTTCTCCTTAGCTCCCCAAGGATTCCACGGAATCGATAACGTTATTGCCTTGATTAAGAAGAACAATCTCAATTCCGCTAACAGTGTGGGCTACTTCAGGTACATCCCACCTGCAATGGTAAACGAACTTATAGAAATAGTCAAAGATACGAACTTGATTCAAGTGGAAACTCGAGCAGCGGTACAAAGTAGCTTGAGTTACTACTACAAGAGTCAAAATAATAGAGACTTGGTAGATTTGGATTCGGTTTTACAGCTGTTGGATGACTATACGACAACCACACAGGGTGATGTTGGATCTAAACTAAGAAGTAGTACAATTCTATTATTAGTGGAAAACTCTGACTTATATGAAGCTCAATTCATTGAAGATGAAGTGATCCCTCGTATTATTCGAATATCCTGTGAACCATTGACTAAACTAAGACTTCAGTCGAGACATTTACTAAATAAGCTTCAAGATTCTAATGAGATCAGTGAAAAGTTAGATGTCGAAGAGTATTATATCTTCATCTTGAAGAACTACCATACCACAATTAGAAAGGATTATAAAGTATCATTTTGGTCTGGATACGTTTTTAGTACTGGCGGTGCATCTAATAGATCTACCATCAATGCTTCGGTAAATGCATTGATGAAGTATTTTCAAGATTATCCATCAGAGGAAGCAGAGATTCTAACAATTCTACTTAATTTATTGGTCCCACCGGCTCAAGGCTGGAAACTAGCTTCTCCAAGACTAACCAAGAGATATCTGGCAACCTTGAATTTAATCTCAATTCTTCTAGAATCAAACAGTATACAACTGCGAGAAATAGACTTTCTTGAGAAGATCTTTGTCCGGTCTTACAATCTCCATATCAACACTGGTAATATGGATAGGATACTACAGGTAATTAGTATATTCCAAAACCTTGGTATACAAGGAACTCCTGTATCTAGCAAGGCTACGAAGAGATTAAGCTGGTTAGCCTGTAGACATCCGGTTCCTCTAGTACGGTTAACAGCTGGTGAATCTTTGTATGAAATTGCAACAGATAAGCAGGACTTCTCTCTTTGCCATGAGTTGGAAGGAATACAGTGGGAGGAGGAACCATCAAAGACTAATCTTAAATTAGAAGAGATTTACAAAAGATTTGGACTCGCATCTTAGGCATCTTAGAGGTCATCACTACAATAATATAAAAAGTAAAGTATACACCTACATCGTCACAAATAATAGAAAATTTGATATAGCCCCGGTTATTTATTGAATTACTATGTACCTACCTAGTATTCCTTTTTTTGAAAGCAAAGGATCATCCTTGATTGAACTTGAAATTTTTCCATTTTTCCTTTTTCCCATATATTTTTCCTTTTTCCTTTTTCCTAGAATTGAATAACGTTCACATGCGCTCATACTAGTTTCTTCGTTGAAGAAGCTTAAGCATTGTTGAACAATTGGTGCACTTTTTTTGTGTAATTTTCTCAGTTTATAATTTAGAAAAGTGTGGGGTGCGCCGCGGGTCGGCGTAAATTTGAACTTTCTCCTCTGCGAAGAAGTAGAAAATTATTTTTGAGCTTCAGTACTCAACAGCTTCCCCAGATTAGTGATTCACCAGTTTAATTCTTCGTAATCTTGTAAAATGTAGCTATTGAAAAGGGTTACTTACAATCCGACGATCAAGTTGTCGGAAGATTGGTGGAAGGAATCTTGTCTTGGACGAGAAAGATGCTTGTTCTCGTATTCTTCTTCCTCGACTTCCACTGCGGCTGGTTGAGGTTCTTCCTCACTAGGAGAAACAGGTGCGAAGAACTCAGGCTTTTCTTCAGCTGGAGTCATGGCAGAGCTGTGGAAGTTTTCTGATAAATGGAAAGGCATGTTTAAAATAATAATACTAATTGATTTGTATTGTACGGAAAGAGAAAAAAAAAAATGAAAAATGGACCTTCAAAATGGTTGGGAGACAAGTGAAATTTATAGCTAATCCTGGAGGCGCAAATGTGATGGCGGAGAGTTTACGTAGGGAATTTCGGCTTTGTGATTAGAAATTGGACCGAGTTGTGTTTTTTTTTTTTTTTTTTTTTTCTTTTTCAATTCGTTCTTCCTTTTTCTGGAACTTATTCTGGCTGTGTTCCAAAGTTGAGCCACACTAATACTTAGTGTTATGTCTGGTAAAAGAAATGAAAATAGGTACAGTGCCTACAGTCTTTGGCCGAATAAGGTAAGACTGGAATCACAAAATAAAAAATCTGCTAGAAGTCCGCTGAAAGTCTGCTGGGACGATGGAAAATAGGGCCTCCTATACCTTGTTGTCTCTTCTACTTGGACATTTTTTCTCTTGCCTTATCTCGCAGTGAACTACTCCATCACACTGGGCCAAAAAAAAAAAAAATCGCGAATGTCAAGTTTTCAAAACATGGCTATCTAAAGAGGCAAGAATTTATAGGAATGCAACAGAGAGTAAAGCGATGACATCATCAACTAGGCTATGAATACCAGCACAGAATGTATATTTGCCCTTTTTTTTTTACTTTTTTTTCTTTTTTATTTTCTAATCACCACGTTGAGAGAGATTGCTACGTGAGTAAAATGAATACAATATTTCTCCTATGTCTTGCCGATAAGCACCCTGTTCCACCTGAAAGTGTGATAAAAATATGACACTAGAAAATAAATGCGGAGAATTTTCTCCGACGAAAAACATGTGGGGAACATGTTCCAAAGATAAGATATTAAGGTTTATGTCACTATTTTCAGAAACTTAAACCTAATCAGCGAGATGGATCCAGATTGTTACCATGCAGCTATTGTCTTTGTTTAGATTCAGTGGATAAATTACGTTTCACACACATACTATTAGGAGAATTTACTATGCATCATAGGCACCGGCACCAAAGATTCTCAGATTGTTAGACTTCTTTTTATTCTATTGATACATAAATATATTTACAAAACCCTCCCTCTCTCTTTTCGATCATATTTTAAATCTTGCACTGCTTAGCAACTCAACCCAACTCACCAATCACTTTCTTTCTTCTTCGATATTCCAATTCGAATGGAAAACGGGTGAGTTTTCTCCTTTTTGATTCTTCAAACTCATCAAATCGTTTATCGCAAGTCTCTCCTTTTTAATCAATTCTAAATCTTCCGCACTGGGTGGACTTCCATTACCACCACTGTATTCCTTTAATTTACTGATAATCGGATAGGAACCGGCCCCGCTTGAGGGTGTGCCTATTCCAGTACTTCCTAAGGTGTGTACGGGGTAATTATCTTCCCCTAGTAAGAAATCGAATTTGCTAAGTGAGGAAACTTTGGATAAATTACCACTGCTTGTGTAGTTCGGGGGAGATGGACCACCCGAATAAAGGTGAAGTGGTGATTGTTGTAACATTAACGCACTCATGCCAGAATTCCCCCCTAGACTCATTCTAGCCGGAATAGGATTAACAGCAGTATTTTCCTTCTTGTTATTAGTATTATAAGTACTACTATTACTGTTAGTATTAGTAACCTTTTTCTTGAACTTCCCACTCATATGCTTCACCTTTGATAAATTGTATATACTGTTAATTTTGTATTTCAAAAACTTCAATATTTTTAAGTATTTCAAATCCTCGTCCATCTCTTCATCATCCCAATCTATTTGAGAGATTTCATTTTCTTCATCTTCCATTTCATCTTCACTTCCATTGTCATCACTATCGTCAGTTCCACTTCTTCTAGGTTCTTTTAATATTTCATCCTTCAATTCGTCATTGATTAACCTACCAAATAACTTAGCCTCTTTAGACAGAGAGTTTGATAATAAACTGGAAGAACCCTGGTTTGTTGTTTTCATGCTAAACTTAGATTTCTCTTTTTTAATGTCAGGATTGTAATTTATGAAAATTTTAATAAATAGGTCAACACTATTATTCAATATGTTCCTAGTGTCCCTTGAAACTCTTTCTTCTCCCTTCTTGAAGATTTTCAACGAGCTTATCAAGAGATATAACATTTGTAATATGATGGATTTCTTCAAATTGATAATTGTCATTGAAAGCCCATTTAAAATATGGTTAAATGGAGATTTGGGTAATTCAGAAACGAGACGCTTAGAATTGATACTTGATGGCTGAGAAGAAGCTTTACCACCACCGCCACCTGGTCCACCATGATGCAATGGCTGCGAGACTCTTCTCCTCTTAACCAGGAAATCGTTGATAACAAAACCATCTTCATCCACGTCTAATCCCAAACTTTCCATAACAGCATTGTGAGGAGCCACAATTGACAGCTTAGCTAATGTCTTGCTACTGTCTAAATACTTTTTGCTTTCACTCACATGTTGAAAAATAGCAATGAAGTAAGATAAAACCTCTCTTGAAATATCAGTAAGTTTTGCAAAATAGCTTGGAGTTAATTCTTTATCAATTACAAAATTCAAATAGTTCATTGATCTTATCAAAAGATAGTGAAAATTTAATTGAATTTTAATTAACTGAGAAGCAGTATACCTGTCTGGTAAACCCCTTGTCAAGTAGCATTGTATTGCCTCTGGACTCAATATTGAAGGAATCTCTGTGGAACCGTTCTCATCATCATTATCATTCTCTTTCTTTGGAATGTTATGATACAAATTATTTTTGGTAATTCCAGATATCACTGGCAAATTCATTTGCATCTGTAGTGGTATGAGGTTTAATTCCTTCTCCTTCAAAGATTCCCTCCAGCTGGTCAAATTCTTATCTATGGTTAAGAACTGATTGAAATTATAATTCAAATTACCATCACTACCATCTCCATCATCATCATTCAAAATCCAATCTAATCTGGCTTTCTTGGACTTGGGTGGATGGTGCTGACCTTGTTGTTGATGATCCTTTCCATCATTATCACCTTTCAAGTATTGATAATAATTTGGTGAAAAAGATGATGGGATAATAATGTTCACCAAGTTCAAGAATTCGATACTGGGCTTCAACAAAATCTTGAATAATTCATCATTCTCTCCTTCTTCTAATAAGGTCGATAATTTTGCAGGGGTCAACTCAAAATATCTATCTATGGTGACTGGATTTATGACAGTAGTGTTCAAACTTGGCTTGAACCCAAACTTCAAATTGAAGACTTTTAATAGAATCTTGAAACACCAAAAGATCTTCACTCTGGTCCTTCTTTGATTTGTAGTAAGAGTTAAATCATTGAAGAATAAATTCTTGCTGTTCAAGTTGATACCCAAAATACCGATGAAAGAGTTTATTAATGAAGATAAGACCAATGACTTTTCCTTGTTGTTAGTAATTAAAGAGTAGTGTAAAAATAACAAGTATGTTTGAAGTTGAGCCACTGAAACATGAAACACATTGAAATATGGTAAAAAATCATACAATGATCTCACCACTGATGAAGATCTCTTGTTATCATTGATATAATTGGGTTCAGAATGATTTAAAAGCAAGTTTAAATTGATAGTTGGATCATTCATCATTATCATTGCGTAGATTTGAACTACAACCATCAAGTACTCATTCACGACATGGTAATCATTGTTCAGAATATTGAACCCATTGATGGTGGCATCATCATAGGTAAACATAAAAGGATACATCGTGTGGAAAGCATCATAATTTTCCATAAACAGTTTGTAGTCAAATATGGGAATAAATATGTTATAATTCAAAAAGAAATGAATGATTTGATTATCCAACTCTTTCTTTGTACTGAAAATTTTCTTAAAGTTATTGATCAATTTTATAAAGAAATCATAAATGTCTATAGGTAATTGATTATTTGCCAAGGTAACCATTTCTCCCAACAAGTCATCGTGTTGACTGTTGTTGGCAGTCAAAGGATTATAGATAACATCCAAGTCTCGATTGTGGAATCGGTTGTACTTTGTATAAGAAGGATGATATAAATATGAATTAGGATCATTCAATAGGAAGTTATGGGAGTTGGTTATTTTAAGGAATGGTAAATTCAAATTGATCAACAAGTGATTGAATTGCGATTCGAAGTTTAAGTTATCATTTCCGATAATGATCCCCTTCCCGTCCAAGTTAAAGATCTGGTCAATGGGGTTATTGATTTGTACATTTGTTGAATTCGTGAGAGTCACCTTGTCATGCCTATTAGCTTCAACTCGCGGAGTTGGCGGCTGCTGTACCAGATCATTATGATGATGCTGTACAATCTGGTTTTCCGCATTGGCTTTAACACCGGGTACCTTTGCTTCTCCATTTTCATCTTCATACTTTTCTTTCAATATTCGGTTTTCCTCTTCTAATTCCTTCAATTTCTTCTCCAAGTTTTCAGTGTATCCCTTAGGGAATGCTCTTCTGGTTAACTTATCACTTGTCTTACATTCAAAATCAATTTTAGCACAGTTGTGACATGGGGTTAGTCCATCGCACTTGATCTTTTTAATTCTACATCTATCACAAGCTTGCGACACTCTTACGGTACCACCAGTCGTTCGTATAAGTTTAAAATTGGCAGGATCCAGTTTCTCGTCAGTCATTCTTTACAGTGCTTGAATCAGCTATATTATTTTCTAATGATTTACAGTGAAATTTCTGCTTCCGTCCCTTCTAAGATAGCTTCGGTTTCAGTTTCTAAGTACCTATTTTCCAATTTCTACCTGGTTTGCAGATTCAACTAAACAAAAATTACCCAGTGTTGTTCTTTTTAAATTTTCTTCTATCTTCCTGCTCCTCCAGAATCTAAACTATGAAGAAACCGTTATATAATTTCGCACTTTGGCAAGAGAACTGGTTGCTTATATGACTGGAAACTTGTTTTTCTGTTTGTTCCTATACCTCTTGGGCAGAACCGGACTGAGGGAAAGTCACGTTTCGCATGTTTTACCCCAGACCCGGACAAAAGGAAGTCGATGGTGATTCATTGCATATTTCACCATTGGCAAAAATCGACTTAAAAATAGCAGAGCTGTTTACATTGTGAAAAGAAATACGAAGGTACAGGAATGAATGGGGAGAGCATGAATTGCCAATAAAACGCTACTCTTTGTATAAGGCTCTCAATGGTGGATTATAGTAGAGTTGGGAGATCACGGTTGGACTACTCGATAAATTTCAAAGTTCTTTGCTTTGGCTTTAAATCCGCTCGGCCCAAATAGGAACGAATCCAAGGGCATATGATTTTTTACAGTAATTCTCCAGCAGCTAAGCTTACATGTTGTGGTAGACAGACCAGTACATTTCCATAGTTATGAGAAAGGCGTGAAGTGTTTAGGGTGACTACGGGAAAAAAAAAAACGAATGAAATGTAATGGAATGCTATAGTGGAATAAGATTTGGTTTTATGTTAAAGCCTATTCAAAGCATGTGGAGATAATACTGTACAGCTGACTTCCTAAGTTGGAGCTAAAAATCGTACGATTCGAAGTAATTGACTTGCCTTGAGGCAACGCTTGCATTCAGCCAAGTTTCTCCTCTGCTTCACTGACTGATAGATGTATATGATGGGTCTTCTGGTATACGATGTTCCTGCATAAAATATTCACTATCAAGGTTGATCGAGTCAGAATTTCGTGCTACCCCACTAGCATTTTTCCTGAGTATTCCTCTTTTATACGAAATTAGCGCAGATTGCATCTGAAGTGAATGGAGATGGGATGGAGATACCAATTAATGAGCCAAAAAGTGTGAACTTTTTTGCTCCGTTCGAGTTCCTTTATATTTCCCATGTAAAATTTTTGCAAACTCGGTCGAGCTGCTAATTTTGGAAAGCAATCCTTTTTTAAGTATAAGTGCATAGATACGTAGGAGAGAATACTCTAATGTCAGCCTTACACGAACTAACCTCTCTGCAAACCTTTCTGCATTTACACATTATCTACAAACATTACTACGTGCCAATTTCAACTTTACCTTATTTGGATGAAATTGAAGGCAATACTATCTAGCTACACAAATGCATAATTGTATGTACGACTCCACTGTGCTCATTTGCGTTGCCAGTCTTTCATCTTTACCAGTGAAAAATTAGTTAACAGTGTCGCATAATTCGATCTGACTCAGTACTGTGTATTTTTTTTTTTCTTTTTTTTTTTTTTTTTTTTTGCAATAAATTATGACACATTGAGCCAGTGCTAGTGAATGCCTTATAAGATAAAAGCTTGGTAAGACATTTTATCTTCTGGTTAAAAACAATATTGAACACTTGAGTTTAACAGTTAATCACCACTTCACTTATCTCTATATACGTATCGAATATGGGTAAGTCAGAACGTGATGTTTCAGGTGAATCATCACCAGATGAGATCGCAGTGGAATCTGAGTCAATTCACTCTTTCCTGTTCTTTGGTCAACTTGCAAACATCTCTAAAAAGTTGGACTCTTTAGGTGTAGAAAGTAGAGGTATTTCCAGAGTCCCTGCTTATGAGCGTTCTACTAATAAAACGAAGCAGCTTATTTCTGTAATTGGGTTATGGTTATCTGCATGTGGTGGGTTGTCTTCCATGTCATCGTTCTTCTTGGGTCCCTTGTTGTTTGGGTTAGGGTTGAAAAAGTCTTTGATTTCTGGACTAATTGGTAGTACTTTGGGCTGTTTTATTGCTGCCTATTGCTCCCTTATGGGTCCTAGATCTGGCTGTAGGCAAATGGTATCCGCTAGGTTCCTTTTTGGCTGGTGGACTGTCAAGTTGGTGTCCTTTGTTAGTGTGTTGGGGGTAACTGGGTGGTCTATCGTAAACTCCGTTGTAGGTGGTCAAATTTTGGCGAGTATGAGCAATGGTAAGGTACCTTTATACGCTGGAATCATTATCATTGCTGGGCTTTCGTTCTTTGTAGCCACTTTTGGAATTAAGCAGTTATTGAGAGTGGAGGCATTTTTGGCTATTCCAGTGAACTTGGCCTTCTTACTTCTTTACGTTGCTGCAGCCGGTAAATACAAATACTTGAGCAATGAAGACCTTGCAGGTTTAGATAGTGCTACATTAAGAGGAAATTGGCTATCCTTTTTTTCATTGGCTTACTCGGTAACTTCTACGTGGGGTTCCATCGCCTCTGATTATTACATCTTGTTCCCAGAGACATCTCCTGATGTGCAGATTTTCACCATTACCTTGTTAGGAATCTTTATCCCTACTACTTTCGTTGCCGTATTAGGGACATTACTTGGTAATATTGCCCTTAGCTATGAACCATGGTATGCTGTCTGGGAAGAATATGGAATGGGAGGTTTACTTGTTGAAGCATACTCGCCCTGGGGTGGGGGTGGAAAGTTCTTGGTTATCCTTCTCTTCATGTCATTGATTTCCAATAACATTCTTAATACTTATTCTTCTGCTTTTGGGGCTCAGTTAGCAGGTGTTGTATTCGCTAAGATCCCCAGGTGGTTCTGGGCCATTGTTGCTACTGTGGTATACTTGGTTTGTGCCCTTGTTGGAAGAAACAAGTTTTCTACCATTTTAGGTAATTTCTTGCCAATGATTGGATATTGGATTTCCATGTACTTCATCCTTTTATTAGAAGAAAATGTTATTTTCAGAACTGACAGATTTATTCATTTGTATACTAAGGAATTCCCTCGAGAGGGAGAAACGTCTGAAGCAGGAAAGTCGATCTATGATGCCAAATACGCTTCAAGACATAACAAGCACTACAACTTTGAAATTTGGAACGATTACGGAAAGTTAACTAACGGGTACGCTGCCACTGTTGCGTTTATTGTTGGTGCTACTGGTGCTGCTGTGGGAATGTCCCAAGCCTATTGGATAGGACCAGTAGCTGTATTAGTTGGTGGTGACTATGGTGGAGATATTGCCATGTGGTTATGTATGGGATTCAGTGGGATCACCTTCCCGGTCCTTAGATACTTTGAACTTAAGAGATTTGGTAGATAGAGTATAGAATACAGAATATAGATTTAGCTTATAATAATATGTGTCATACAGTTTAAAGTACAAAGGTACTACAACTTGGTTCGTAGAGTCAAATTTTCAGAAAGCTCATTAGAGCCGTCTGCCAGTCTTAAAAATGTAATTCAGAAAATAAATTCAACTACGAGAGTATATGTCATACATTTGAAAGTCGAGTCAAAGACATTGCTCGGTACCTTGAGTCACATTTCCCACAACATATTTAGAGCCATTGGCTAACCTACAGTGACCCAAAGTTTGCGAAAATTTGAAAAAAAGAAACGCTTTCTGCTAAGAACATACTGAGGTGGCAGAGCAGGCTGCTCTTGGTAGGTTTCAATCTGCTCTACTTTACCGAGAAGAATGAGGAAAGAGGGTAACCAGCTTAACCAACCTCAACTACCTTCGTCTGTGGGTTTACTTACCTAATTGAGACCTTGCAGCTATTTATCCTGCACAATGCACAGCTCATGCGCCATGAGTAGTCTCCACCTCTACCGTGCAGCAGATAGAACAGCGTAGAAGTTCAAAAAACCGTTGGCTGTGTTCAGCTTATGACACATTAATTGAATGTAGAGTTACACACCAGTAGAATATCGGGTGAATACGTTTACACTTTGTTTTTAAACAGTTTAAGCTTCAAGTTACTGTTTATATTTTAATCTTTTTTTTAGATTCTCATCAAGTAGCTTAGCGTGCCCGCTGACATCACAAAATTTCCCCATTTTTTGCTCCTGAGCTGCTCTTGAATTCTGGACAGCTCTCTGTTTGGAAGGATGAGTAATGACACGGCTGTACTTCTCTAAAATAGATTCTTATCAACAAAATAAAGTATAAATTGCACCATTTCTACTTCTTCATGAACCAGTCAACCTACGGCTCCACACTATAATTGTATTTATAAGCACACCTTCCCTTAACGGTTCCATCAATTGTCAGCCTCACCAAACTTTATTCCCTTGCCGAAGCGCATTTTTTTGCCCTCAATATAAACTTCCACAGATCGCTCCTAGTAACCATTAGGGTGAGGTACCAAGCTTTTCTTCTAGTTAGTCTTATCTCTTGTTTTAATTGGTGTAACAATTTGTAGGCAGAACCCGCCCATTCCTCTACATTTTCCTGAGGTAAATTTCCGTCCCCGAATTCCGTCCACTTCTATGGCTCAAAGGGCTCGCCTGCTCTTCAATTCATTTTCTCGTATTTGAAAAACTTCTTGAAAAATATTTTCTCCATAAACCGAAAGTTTTCAACTTCTGGGACATCAGTAGGCGTTCGTTTGAAATCCCATACTTGTCCTTATCTTGAACTTAAACTTTTCCAAGCTTTCCAATAATAGTAGTACAATTGCACCCCAATTTCTCTATTCTACATTTCCCGCTTATTAATGTGATCATCGTAATATTAAATTAAGCTTTCCGTGATTTTTCAGATTAGCGCTTCTCTTGAGTCATTCCCTAAGAAAATAAAAAATAAAATCAAGAAAAATAAAAAAAAAATAAAAAATATCGTAAAGCCTCACGGGTACATGTTAAGAGTCATGAAGGTAATGTAATTAATATAAATAGTTCAGGGAATCTATTAAAAAGCATAATTGTATAGCTCTGTATATTTTATTTATCCCTGTCTATCTATTCATTTATAATACCATGATTTCTGACTCTGACTCCACTGGATCCAGAACTTCTACCGAGTCTGAAGTACCTGGATTGCTGCAAACCGATGAATCTCAAATGCACAAGCCCAAGATTGACCTTAGCAAAGAAATTGCAACTCCTCAACCTGGTGCTATTCCTAGAACAATAGGAATGCCACCATTGGAATCATTGAACTTACTGTTGAACCAACCTCGTGCTAACATGCCCCCAAACCTGCCAGACTACACTGAAGAAGACTTCTTTGCTAAATTTTCGGCCGAAAAGGCAAAGTCAATTCTGCCTACTGATAAACATACTTCTTCTTCTTCTATTAGTGGAAGCGGAAATACCGTCCCGGTCTGGAGTATTCTTCCTCTGTATCACATGTACACATCCACCATTAGCAAAAGTTTAGATCTTAATGACGACAACAATGTATTTGAACCGCCAACTTATGATGATATTTCAACTATAAGTTCTTCGCATACCCTTTCTAACCCAAATAATTCCTCAGATAGCAGACAAAACTCCACTTCAAATATCAATTCAAGAAGCAGCGTATCTTCAGAAAGCTCGGACTTCATTGTTGCAGACGAAAGCACTGGACAATGGCAAGAAACTATACTAGATAATGTTCATAAATTGAAAAGGTTGACTGACTGTGAAGATAATTCATACGCTAAGAACTTGAAGATTGAAATGTTTTTCACTGAAGATGTCGGACGAGTAGGTGTGAAACCAAACTTCGTCGATGTCCTGAAATATGAATATAAGCAAGGGGATTTAATCAATGGATATGTCATGGTTGAGAATCTCTCTGACAAACCAATCCCATTTGATATGTTCTATGTCTTGTTTGAAGGCAATTTCTCAGTGCAATCTAACTTTCAGTTGGGTTCAATTGGTGAACCGAAAGTTGTTTCTAAAAAATTCCTTGAAATGTTCGACTTCAGTGCATCTTGGAATTATGCTCATATAAACAGATTGGTGACAGAGTTCACTAACCCGCACACGTGTCCAGATGGTATCGACCACTTGGATAATACAAGACAGGCCTTTGGATCAGAAAGGTTGATTCAACCTAATAGGAAATACAAGAGATTCTTTACATTTCAAATTCCCAACAACTTGTTGGATTCAACTTGTGATCATAGCTTATCTATGCACACTGCACTCCCGCCTACCATAGGTACACCAAGGAGTGTAAGTGCCAACCTGAAGTCTAAAGTGAACCAAAGCTCTAAAGTGAAGGATTTTTCATTTATTGATACAAACATTAGCTACAGTGTTGATGCAAGATTTATCGGAAAAGCTTCAATGTACGGAGAGAATAAAGTAAACCTCCTGAAGAGATCAAATTCAAAGATCATCAACACTAGCGGAGATGAATTCTTAATACTTAAGGACACTCAACGCCTAGTGAGAATTGTTCAAGAAAATGAGAAGATTGGCATTAATGAGAGAATTGATAAGTTTAGATATGATAAATTATTATTGGATAACTTCATGGCAAGGGTTGATGAACGTCTTGAGTATGCGGAAGAGATGCTAGCAGCACTTTCTGATTCAGGAACTAATAGTACCGTTAGCCCAATACCTTCAAATAATTCATCTACATTTCTCAGCACAATTATGTCTCCTGGAAGTGTACATTCGAGTACTAGCAGTGCCTTATCATTATCTGCTCATTTTAATTCAGGATCAATAAGTCTGATGTCACACAGTAATTCTATATCACAAACAATTGCAGATGAGCTTACTAAGTGTCGTCAGCTTTACAAACCAAAGGGCAGTAGCTGTTCGAAGAGGATTGGTAAAGATGGTGTATTGTATGAAGAGTTGGACTTTTACAAGATGTATTTTCCATTCCAGAAGAAATCGATTACTGGTGCATCAAAATTTTTGGGAACTGTGATCTTAAATACTCCTAGAATCCCATACGTTGTTAAGTATATTCAACCTCTTGAATTCTGCCAGTCAGAGGTGGATAGCAGCCTGTTGAAATTTCAAGTTCCGATCAATCTAGAATATGTGCTCCTGGAATCTAATCCTGACATGAAGAATAAAGTGCCAGAGATAAAGAAAGTGTCAGTAGAATTGATTGCAGAAACTATCAAGTCCGATGAATTCCCATTACCATTTGAGATCAATCACGATATGTTGTTTGAAAACAACAAATTGTATACCAAGACCCATAAGCTGGCTTATGAGTATGATACTGATTACTTCGATCAAATGGTAGTTAAGCCAACAAAAAGAAAGGTTAGTAGATTGAAAACTCTAGCAAAGGAACTTGGACCAGACGTATTCCGCATGGAAGCTAAATTAGCATCAGACATTAAAAGTATATGTAACTTAAAGACTAAGAGGATTATCATGACAATTGAACAGGTCACATGTGACAATGGAGCTTCTCTCGATCTGGTTTGCAAGCAGCCCTGGGCCATTGAAGAAAAGGCAAAGAATATCACTCCTACAACTTATACCAAGAGGTTGAACTTAGACATTGACTTATCTCAAGCAAAAATGAAGACCGGCGATAGCCAACACGGTCATCCTTATGATAACTTTTGCTTGATTCCAAGTTTCCAAATGTGTTACATGGCAAGAGTTTACTACTTGAAGATAGTTATTACACTCCTGAAAGGTGAATCCCTTCTTGTGCATATACCAGTTGAAGTTACGAAATAGAGAACACGGGTTAGCAATCGAACAAATATACAAAAATCATAAACAAAAGCGCATCGGACATGGAAACCTATATAGACTAAATTGCTTTTTTTTTTGATATTTATATGGTATTTAATAAATTAATGACATAATACAGAATTTACTTGTACCGTTGGCAATTTTGCTACACTATCTTCTGTGGAGTCATTCATTTCATGACGTCTTGAAATTCTACTGTATACTGAACAGGATGCTCTATAGCAGTGTGGAGTGTGGTTGCAGAGAATAGCAATAGAAGCTTACAGAACGACCCCCTTGCATGTCATGTGCAGGACAAATTATCTAATGCTGCAGCAAATGAGGAGCAGCAAAAGCTTCTTTGGTTTGCAGCCATTGAGTTTTAAGCATTTTAAACTGCTAATTAGTGAACTGTGGGTCAAGAGAGAGCAATGTTCCTTGGTCAAAGATTGTGTATTTAAAGGACAAGATTTGGATAGGAAACAACGGGATCCAAGCTGTTATGTATCAACTATAAAGTTAAAATCAATTATAATAATAAATACAGAATGGGATTAACAGATAAAATTCAAAGTAAGCTCGGAGGAAATAAGGATGTAAGTGACCTTGACAAGCAGGGAGGTTCCTTAATTGGAAAAGAAAACATTTCAGGCGAGATTAGACAACAATACAAAGATGGAAATATTTCTAAAGAACAAGCTCAAAGATATGCCGACAATTTAGACAAGCAAGGTGGTAAGTACGCTGGTAGAGAAGGTAACCTTTCAGGAACTGATTCTGGTATCGGAACTAAGTACTTAGGTGGAAAGTCAGGTACCACCGCTACAGACGGCTCTGCAACCCACGGTACTGGTGTCGCAGGTACTCAAGGGGCTGGTACTACTGGAACTACTGGTACTACCGGTACTACTGGTACTACCGGTACTACTGGTACTACTGGTACCCACGGTACTAGCTCTTCTGGTACTCACTCTGGCGCAGGCGCTGCTGGTGCTGCTGGTGTTGCTGGTGTTGCCGGAGGTGCTGCTTATGGATCTAATCACAGTTCTGGTAACCATGGCACCTCATCTGACACATATGGTGCTCAAACAGGCTCAGGTTCGGGATACGGTACTTCAGGTTACGATGCTACTGCTAAGGGAACTTCTTATGATTCTACCGGCCAAGGTGCTCATAATCCTACTGGAACTCATGGAACATCTGGTACCCATGGATCAACTGGTGCTTATGGAACATCTGGTACCCATGGATCAACTGGTGCTTATGGAACCTCTGGTACTCATGGAACCTCTGGTACTCACGGAACCACAGGTACCCATGGATCAACTGGTGCTTATGAATCTGGAACTCGTGGAACCACTGGTACTCATGGAAGTAGCTCAGGTTATGGTTCCCATGGTACTTCAGATCATTCCAAGAGTCACTCTGGCTCAGCTGCTCTTGGTTCTGGTGCTGCTGCAGGTACAGCATACGAAGGATTGCATGGTGACTCTCATACAGACAAGTCACATGGCTCCAATTACACAACCTCTTCGGGATCTAACTATAACTCCGCCTCAGGACACAAAGGATTTACTACAGGAAACACTACTTTAGATTCTAAGATCTCTTCATTAGATCCTCATGTTCAAGAGCAGGCTAAAGAAGCATTTCATAAAGGTTATAAGGATGCTCAATCAGCATTCAAGACATAAGTGTATGAACTACAATGGAAGTGATTAAAAAAAATTTGAGCTTTAAAATTACTATGTTTTAGTAGCACCACTAAATTTTAAATATATGTTTCTCTTTTTGAATAAAAATGTAGTTCTGTCAATGGTTTTTAACTAGAACAACTGCATTGTAACATTGAGCGGTCTTCTCCTATATCACCTTGTAATAACCATTTTTGCTCTATTTCCTTCAACTCTTCACCCCATTTTTCGCTATCGTATGGATACAAGCACATATTTTGTAACTTCTCAAGGTACAGCAAGTCTTCACCATTCAGCTCTTCTACTTTTTCGATAACTTGATCCAAAATCCAGTTCCTTGGCAAGAAAAGAGGATTGTATTGGGAAGAAATATCATTCCTCAGTCCTTTACTCTTATTCAAGTAGCTCTGGTACACTTTGAGCCAGTTGGATACTTCTTCATACAATTCTTTGTCCAGCACATCAGATTCGTTGTAAACATCGGGCAATAAAATCGATTTTGTCAAGCTTATTCCATTCAAGGATGCATCCTTTTGCAAGATTAAGAAAAACTTATTGTAATCACACTGTGCTTTTTGCAATATGTCAAGGAGCGGAGCAATCAACTCACTGTTATGAATTTCAGGATTCTTAATGTCAATAATGTCCTGTGACAATCCCAACCTATTAAAAATCGTCTCGACATACTTCTTTGTAAAGGCATATTTGTAGATTTCGCCTCCAACTTCAATTGCTTTAGTGGCTCTCGTAATGATTCTATCTTCCCATTCCTTTTTCAATACACCTTCATTCTTAAATTTTGGTTCATCTATCAATTCAGATCCTGCTCCGATCAACTCGGCCAAGTTTTCACCCAATCTAGTCAAATTCCACCAGATTGATGTGGGAGTATTTTTGTAGCCATACCTTTGCTCGTGATCTTCAGAGTTTGGAGTATAGTTAGGGTTGAACTTATCCATTATCAGAAAAGGTCCAAAGTCCATTGAAAGACCCAAAACAGAAGTATTATCAGTGTTTAAAACTCCGTTAAGAAAACCATAAACTTGCCACATTGCAGTAGTTTGAGCATTTCTTACAATAATCTCATAGTACATTTTATCGTAAATAGTAAGTTCACTTCCCAATGTAACCTTTGAAGAATCGAAGAAATCATCCTTCAGTTGTAAGAGGTCATTAAACTGAGCAAATTGTTGTGGTTTGGATGACCCTGTTGTAAATAAGTTCTTGATAACATAATCAGAAAGGTTCCTTATACCAAGCCTATCACCTCTCCATCTGTACAAATCGAAAGTTCCCAATCTTATCCACAGCTCAGCAAACCTTGCTACAATGGCGCATCTTTCTGCTCTATGTCTTTGGGCCAATGTCTTTGGCAAATATGTTAGTGAGAGAGCACGTGTTGTTGGAATTCCAATAGCGTTAAGGTGTTCTGAAATTAGATACTCCCTAATTGACGATCTGATTACCGCTTTACCATCTGCAAATCTGGAGTAAGGGGTCTTCCCTGACCCTTTGAGTTGGATTTCATAGAGCCTACGATCTCTGCTCGAAACATTACTGTCGGGCTTGGGTACTTCAAATAAATTGGTTACTCTACCATCACCCAATTGGCCTGCAAATTGTCCAAACTGCCATCCAGCATAAGCTTGCGCATAAGGGAAAGGGTATGGAAAATCATCACTAACTAATTTATCCTCGTTCTCTAAGTAAAATTCACCACTAACTATTTTTTGAAATTCTGGATTCTGGGGTTCCAGCAGAGCCAATCCTAAATCCTTCAAGGCAACTTCACTTGCTATAAGGAACTTGTACTCAGGCCTCTTTTCTGGCAAAGTCCATGAAAATGCACCCTCCTGTAATACTCTGGGTTTGTTTATAATTCCATTTTCATTCTTCAATGCTTCCTCTTTGCTAAGTATTTTATTGTCTGGGGGTAATGCGTTTGCGAAAGATGAAGATTTGGGCAACTCTGTCAATTTCTTGGTCATTTTAGATAATAATAGTCTTTTGAATGTCGAGTAATCTTTGACTAGCATTAGCAAGAAGGTTAAATGATACAATTATACCAGTATTTATATTAACCAACAATTATAACTAAGAAATAATAGGAATGTTACAGATCAAATAGGTCGTACTGCATTCAACTTGAGAACAACGCTTACTTTCTAATCAAGATCTAGAGCCGCTAATTGTGTAACTGTGAGGTCTTGATCTAATCAAACTGATTTTTTAGGTCCAAGTACTTCAGCATATGAGGAGAATTAGTAATTGTGCATTTTTGAGATACTTTTATATATCTCGAAGTATTGTCCCTATATCCGAAACGAAACAGAGCAACTATATTTTCTTTTCTCTTACTACAAGAAATTGTCTTTTCTTTTTCTCGTGGTTCTTAAATGCACTTTGTATGAACCTCACTATACTGTGTTTGAATTATTATTATTCATATTATTAGTATTATTTTTATTATTAGTACTACTATTACTATTATTATTATTATTATTATTATTATTATTATATTCCAGCTTATTTAGTTCTAGCGTATTTTATTCTAACCTATTTTATCCGAACTTTCTTAATTTAACTAATTTGCTCATAAACGTACTTTCTGGCCGATTCTAATGGTAACTCTTCCAAAGCATATCCAGTCCAAAGTACCTGCTGTGCAAATGCCTGGTACACCATCGCTTCTATTCCAGAAATCACTTGCCATTTACTACTTTCGAACTCTTTACATAACTTTGTGTCAGGTTTTGGGTGGTAACACATTTCCAATACTGCACCCTTTTTATCTTGGTGCATGAAGACATCAAGTGTAGCCTTTGCCCTAAGTTCGTCTTCCGTACTTGGAGCAAAATCCGGTATAGTACAGACTATGAGCTCAGGTTTCTCTAGCGAAGCGGCTTGTTCAGGGGTTGCAACGTAGATTACCTCTCCTTTGAAGCCACCAGCTTCCATAGACTCCTTCAAGGAAAGTATTTCCAGCTCAAACCTATTCACTACATAAATCTTCAGACTGTGTAAATATTTAGATAACGCATAAACAGCCGATCTGCATGCACCGCCACCACCGTAGACCAAACCAGGTTTTCCCTTGGCCCTGTGTACTAATTCGGGGGCATTATAGACAAATGCGTCCCTGATACCAATAGTATCAGTGTTAGTGCCGATTCTTACTTGTTTTCCCTCGGAATCCAACCTGGAGTAAATAGTGTTGATGGCTCCTACGGCTTTCCCACCGTCGTCTACATGATCTACGTGATCCACCATTACTATCTTATTAGGCATGGTGACAGCAGCTGCATAGAATGCTCCATGTTCTTCTTCGTAAGCGAAAGTACTTTTGAAAGAACCAATGTCCTTACTATCAAAGAGTATATACTTCCATGGTAAGCCTAATTTTTCAAAGAGGTAATTATGGATCAATGGAGCGCGAGAGTGTTGAATACCAACACCAAATAATGGGATAACATAGTTCTGTTTCCTTGTTTTCTCGAAATTAATCGAAAGTTGATCGGTATCAGCTGCAGCTATGGTCATACTCGGAAGATTTCGATGCAATCACTAAAACAAAACAGTAGCTACACCGTTGTTCGAAACTGTATTCCTCTCTATTCGCATGTGTCCATCGCATTCTTTTTTTTATTTTTTTCCGCTGTAGCTTAATCTCAACCCTATGCATAAAAAATATCGATCGCACACTGCAGTTGCACATTCCGATAGCCCAATTAGATCTGCCTATGAACCGTTATTGATGGTGTATAATTGTCCATTTTATAGTTAGCAGGCATTTAGTTGAGCCTGCTTGTTGATAAAGACAGCGTATCTTAACTGCAGGAGCGGAATCGGCTCTATATATGCCAAAATTGCTTTCTTTTCTGATTTCTTTCTTTGTGGTGGGCACTGTGGATAAATCCCGAGAAAGCCTTGCTAGCGCGCCCCAGAAAGACAAAAATCAGGCACAGTCATCGCTGGAGCTGAGTAGTTCATTTGTTTGCCTATACCAATAGCTTCAGCCTTTCGAGCGACCTCTCTTTCTTCTGCTTGGTATATCAAGATGCTACCCCCCAAGAAGCGGTTTGTCAGAGCAGTAGCGTTGCTATTAGCAGTAGCTGCTGTGAACATTGTCATCGTTGTATGGTACCTAGGACGCGAGAGACCCTTGCTGAGCATATTCAACTACGAGAATTTATTTCGTTTATCAATGGGCCATGGCAGCACCAAAGATTACTCGATTTTTTTCAAGGGACTAGAGGACTACAATCCGGAAATTTCAAAGTTAACTAGCAACTACAATAACAAAAAAGCTCAAGAGATTAAAACTGAAAATGATGAGTTTCTCATGTCAAAGGAATACTTGGAAAGTATAATTGATTTACCCCAAGCTGCAGTCGCTAAGTTGGAAGAATCTCACTCGAATTACATTGAGGTACACATGAAAACCTTGATTGAAAAGCATGGTATCAAAACATTTGGAGCTATTCAGCCACACCACGCTGAATGGGCATCGGAATATGAGGGCTCTCGTGGTATTGTCATGGTGGGTGGTGATAAATATAGCTGGTTGGCATTGCTTGTTATAAAACAGGTGAGAGCACTAGGAATGAAGTACCCCATAGAATTATTTATTCCAGGGAAGAATGAATATGAAGCTCACTTCTGTGAGGTGATATTACCTGCCTTGAATGCTAGATGCAATTTGCCGGAAGAATCATTCTTAGAAGGGATTAAATCTAAGTTCAATTTACATCGGTACCAGTTCAAGTTAGTTGCATTTTTGACGTCACAATTCGAAAATATTCTCTATTTGGATGCAGATGGATTCCCATTGGTCAACTTGGACTATATCTTTGAGTCGGAATTGTACAAGGAAAAGAATATGCTATTGTGGCCCGATGCATGGGCAAGAACCACCAACCCAGCCTTCTACGACATATCAGGCTTGACGGTTAATGAATCCAAGAAAACTGTACTTAATGCATATGATAAAAAGCAGGCAGCCGACAAAGCAGCAGGAACTACCGAAGAAACCCCACAATCAGGCTATAGCTTTAAAAACGCTTACTTCCATACGTTTGAAGGTGCATTGCCTGACCCTACTACTGAAGCCGGTATCATGTTCATCAACAAAACTTCGCATTTGAAGACTCTTTTGTTGTGCTTGTACTACAACATATATGGGCCTGATACATACTATGCTTTGCTCACCCAGGGTGCAGCTGGTGAGGGAGATAAGGAAACTTTTATAGCTGCAGCTACGGTTATGGGAGAACCTTATTACCAAACCGGAAAGGGCTTAAAATTCTGTGGCTACACGAACAAGGTAACTTCAGAGTTCAACTCCAAGTCCTTAGGACATTATGATCCTATCGAGACTTACAAGTCAAACGATCCAGCAAATGACGATCAGTTGAAGTTTATCTTCATGCACCTTTCATATCCTAAGTACTATCCTGATTGGCTAGTAAACAACAGGGAATTGAAATATGACGATGGGGAAGACAAAAGGATCTACGAAGAGGCCTACGAATCTGCAGGCTATGACTTTGATTTAAGAGTTTTCCAAATATTTGTTGAATCATTATGTTCATCGTACTACGATGAAGAAACTGGGAAACCGGTGGATGGGCTGCTGGCTTTGAAAGACACAGATTATGTAGGGGACCACTTGAAGTATTTAAGGCAACATGTCCAGTTCAACGAGAATCTGTGCAAGAATGTATTCTTGTCACACCTTCAGTATTTGAAGGAGTCGACCCCGGAGAAGTACAGTGACAAAATATATAGAAAGAATGTATAATAGATCAGAAAGTAATACAATTGAGTATAGAGAGTGGGCATCATGCTTGTAGATGAGAAATGTAGGCACCTACACTGCTCAAAGGCGTAACACATTCGAAGTTAACGATGAAGAAAAGGGACCATTGGTTTGAAGGAAAAGTACCGTTAGCCTGTAAGGAAAAAGACTGCTAGTCTGTCCTACAACTGGAGATCTGCAACCCCACTAATATCAGCACCGTCCGCATATTAAGCTTCGGTCTGAGTGTTGCAGCTCGAAGAAAAAAGCTTAATCCAGCCGTATAGACGTGCAGCACACGGCCAAAATAGGAAATGATAATCTTAGATAAGTGCTAATTTGATCTACCCCTGGATATTTATTCAAGAAAGACAACGCTCACTAACTTGACTTGCAAGCAGCGGCTAATTGAGAAGAGCAAGCAACCAGCTCGAAAGGGCTCTGGTGGTTCTATTATTTACCGGTGCATTCCCCATTGGGCTCAGCGTACATGAGCATGCGGGTTGCTGAAGCGCGAGTACCTGAAGCGCGACTGCCTAGCAAAATGGGGCATAGTGGGAGAGCAAGAAGTATCGCAAGCACTCAAGCACCAGCGTCTCAGAATTAAGGTTAGGTTTGGGCTTGCTAGTACACAATCAGATGTTCCGAGTTCCAGATTTCAGACTGAATCAGCGTAGCGAGCTAGAGGATATTTTTTATTTTACTACTATTTATTCTTGCACGCTCAGAATAATAGGGGTATCGTATTCTCCAGTAAATGGGGAATGTCAAAAAAATAAGCTGCAGCGTACACTGGCAGAGTTTAGTGGCCCGGGGACCACTGCAAGATCGTGAAAGAGAAAGGGAAACAGCTTGAGAATTCCATGAGCACCAGAGTCAAGTATCCGCTACAATCCTCGATCCCCACCCGCTGTCTACCCACTACCCAATTCCAGTCCACCCACTATTCAGCTGCATCGTGTATGCGTGCCATGCTAATGTCACACAGCGACCTGCCTTTTTACTGACCCACACTGTATGCTCCGCTTCTGCTTCTCCAGGCTCTTCACCAGGCGCGTAAAATCTTCAGCCCGTTGAGATTTTTTTTTTTTTCTTTTTTTTTTTTTGATTTTGGCGTGTAGAAATTTTTCTTGGAACGGTGCTGTTCCAGGGGCGTATTGGTTAACTTATCGGACACTGGTGCTTCTTTCTGTGTGTATCTGCTCAACTTTATACTTGTAGTTCAATATCTGAAGATGGCTAGCAGGAGTAGACCGAAGATCAAGGTTTTAGTAGCGTTCGTCGTGTTCCTTGGACTTTATGCTTACTACCACAGCCCTGGTAGACAAAATGAGACACAGATAGCTGATTTGAAGTCAAACGTAGGGTCAACACCTCAGGTTCCCCTTTCTGACCACCAAGAGGAAGAATTGACCCACACGTTACAACAGGCTCAAGAAATCAAGAAATATTCTATTTTCTTCAAAGATTTGGAGAACTACGATCCGCAGATCCCATCCTTGAAGGACAGCTACCACCTGGAACGTGCCAAAGAGAAGTTCCATCTGGATAGCGATGTTTTTATGTCCAAAGAGTACTTATCAAGTGTCATGGACTTGCCAGAGTCATCCATCAAGGCCCTCACGGACTCACATGCATCATATCTTGATGTGCATGTCAACAAGTTGATCGAAAACTTGGGAATCAAAACGTTTGGGAACATTCTCCCACTGGATCCTGAATGGAGCTCGTACGAGGGATCTTCTGGGTACGTTATCATTGGAGGTGGTGAATACTCATGGATGGCGTACCTTGTCGTGCAACAGATCCGTAAGGTTGGGTCAAAGTTACCCATAGAAATCTTTATCCCTAGACAAGACGAGTATGAAAAGGAATTCTGTGAGGAAGTTCTCCCCAAATATAATGCCAGATGTAATGTTTTTGATGACGAGTTAGCGGCAGATTTAAAGACCAGATTTGAGATCGGTGGATACCAGTATAAATTGCTTGCCCTTCTTAGTTCCAAGTTTGAAAATATTTTGTATTTTGACTCAGATGGTTTCCCAGTAACCAATTTGGATCACTTCTTCACTTCTGACTTGTATAAGGAGAAAAACATGATCTTATGGCCAGATGCCTGGGCAAGAACTACCAATCCTGCCTTCTACGACATCTCCAAATTGAAAGTTAACGAAAACAAGAAACTTTTCTTCAATGATTACGATAAAAAGATAGCCAAGGAAGAAAACGAAGGAAACTTGTATGACAAACTGCACTACAATTTCAAGAATAGTTGGTTTCATACCTTTGAAGGTTCTCTTCCTGATCCGACTTCGGAAACCGGAATCTTAATGATAAACAAGACTACTCATTTGAAAACTTTATTATTGTTTTTGTATTATAACGTGTTTGGCCCCAAGTTCTATTACCCATTGCTTACCCAAGGTGCAGCTGGTGAAGGTGATAAGGAGACATTTATTGCAGCAGCTACTGTGATGAACGAGCCTTACTATCAAACTGAAAAGGGTTTCAGATGGGTCGGATACTTTCGTGAAGAGTCTGGAGCCTTTTCGTCGAAGGCTTTGGGTCATTTTGATCCGTTGGAAACATATAAGACGCCAAATGGCGATGACATAAATATCATTTTCATGCATCTTTCGTACCCTAAGCTTTACCCTGGCTGGTTGACCAATAACTACGAATTGGTGTACAAAGACACAGGAAATCACATCAGGATGTATAAAGATGCTTATAAGTCAGCAGGATACGATTTTGATTTGAGAATCATCCAAATATTTGTACAAGGATTATGTTCAGAGTATTATGACCCGACTACAGGATTGGCAATTGACGGAGAAAAAGGTGTCACTAAGGAGGAGAACTTTTTGGGTAAGAAGTTAGAGTACTTGAAACAAAATGCTGATGCGGACAAAGAGAGATGTACGCTGGTATTTATACCACATTTGAAGTGGTTGAAAGAAACTTCTGAATTTAAGAAAGATGTTGACAAGAAGGAGGAAGTTAAAGAAAAAGAAGAAGAAGAAGAAGACGTAAAAGAAGAAGATGTAAAAGAAGAAAAGAAAGAAGAAAAGGCTTCGAAGTAAGTCTAGATGAAAGTAGCTGCCAAGCGGATTGTATTTATATAATACCCTGTGAATAGAAATATCAGTGAATAGAATCGAACAACTAATATAGAAGTGCAAGTGTGTAGGAGTGGCTAACAAGAAGCCAACAGCCATAGTTAGTAGCCCGCCAGTTTACCAGTCAACCGAGAGTATCTAATTTTTGGAGTTTTTGCTCCCAGCTTACAAGTGTAACTGTAAACCTATTCTTGCTCTCACACAAGTGTACTGCTGCTCCCTTGGCCAGGTAGACATCGTCGCTGTAGCGTGAGTGTCCATGGTCTACCTTCCGCTGTCGGGCTCTTTATCTAAAAAGCCGCTTATGCGCCGGGCTCGCAACCATATGACAAATCTCAAATTCCGCTCGCTTTGGGAAACTGTGGACTTGAAGAGAGGGAGAGTAATTTCTAATTAATAGTGCTGTTCTTTTCTATCATTGAGCATAATCTGTTATTACTCGTCGATATGTCCACTGTATTGAAGTCCCCATTGGCCAAGTCCTTAAAAATTGCCCTTATTCAGATCAAAGCTGGAGCCGATAAGGCTGCAAACTTGCAAAAGGTTTCGCAGTTTATTGATAAGGCAATTGAAACTTCGACCATAGGCAAATTAGACCTTGTGATGCTCCCGGAATGTTTCAATTCCCCATATGCTGTAGACCAGTTCCGTAATTATGCAGAATTGATCCCCTCAGGAGAAAGTACCAGCTTGTTGAGCTCGTTGGCCAAGAAGCACGGCATTTTCATCGTTGGTGGATCCATCCCTGAGTTGGATCCCCAAGACGGTGACAAGGTCTTCAACACCTCGCTCACATTCTCTCCAGAAGGTGAAATAATAGCTAAGCATAGAAAAGCACACTTGTTTGACATTGAAATCCCGGGACAAATCACCTTCAAGGAGCTGATTACTCTCAGTGCTGGTGACAAGGCTACTGTATTCAAGTTGGGAGAATTTGGTAACGTTGGGTTAGGGATTTGTTATGATATCAGATTCCCTGAATTGGCTGCTGTTGCTGCTAGAGATCCTAACAATGCCTTTGCTATGTTCTATCCTGGTGCATTTAACACAACTACCGGTCCATTACACTGGCACTTGTTGGCCAGATCAAGAGCCGTTGATAGTCAGTTCTTCACTGTCTTGTGTCTGCCAGCCAGAGATGTTGGGGGCAGTGGATATCAGGCGTTCGGCCACTCGTTGGTTTCAGACCCCAGTGGTAAGATCATCGCCGAGGCAGGTGAGGGTGAAGAGATTGTATTTGCAGAGTTGGACCATACCTTACTTCCTAAGGCAAGAGAGGGTATCCCGGTTAACTATCAAAGAAGGTTTGATATCTACGATGATGTTACCAAGACTGCCAAAATCCTGGACAAATAGGTGCTTGGTAAAATAGAGATATTTAGTTCTGTATACGAATACATATAGGAATAGAAAATAGTGTGGTAATTCAAGAAGTTCTATATAATGGTTTCTTCTTGCAATGCTGTTGTTGATGTACTTTCTCTGCCTTGTTCTACTTCTTCTGGAGCCAGTCTTCACTATCGTCTTCCTCCTTTCTCTCTATAAACTCAGTCAACACGTCCATAAACTCGTCTGGCTTCTCGCTGATGACCCAGTGACCACTTTTGATATCTCTAACTTCAAAGTCTGGGAAGAACTTTCCAATTTCTGGTATCACATCGTCTGGCACGTACGTTGACTCTGTTCCTCTGATAAATAAGGCAGGGCCCTCAGACCACCTGGAAATGTTCAGGTCGTAGGGCCAGCTAGCTACATTTCCCGCATCTATCGCTTTTCCAATGGTTTCTAGTGGAATTTTGGATGTTACTGGCTCCTCCTTCTTACCTCTGTTGAAGTTAGTCAAAAGGAACTGCCTTATCACCACGTTCGGCTCCACCTCGGCCAACTTAGCATCAACATCCTTGATATTCTTGTACTTGAACTGCTCTGTAGCAATGCGTAATTGACGTATGTATCTGGAGAACACAGACCCTGAGCTGTAGGTAGTGTTAACGGGAGCATTGTCGACCGAGACAATCATGCTAGGAAGGTCGGGGCGACGAAGTGCCACTGCCATCACAGTCTTGGCTCCGAGAGAATGCCCACACAATATGGGTTTGTGAGCAAACTTCTGCTTGAGAACAAAGTTCTCAACATCCGCTGCTAGTGCTGGGTAGTCCAATCTTTCAGAATGAGGAGAGGAGCCGAAGTTTCTTAAATCAAGGCAGTATACGTCTCGGCTCAATCTATCAGCAAGCTGCTTTGAGACTGTTCTTGTGTTAGATTTAGACCCAAATAACCCGTGGATTATAATGAGAGGCAGTGCATTGCTTCCACTGCTGTTCTGAGGTGAATGCTTATCGAACTGGAGGTCTACAGTCGCCAACTTCAACGATAAGGCATCTGCAAGGTCCGTCTTGGAATGATGTGCAATGGACTTTGCAGTTCCCTCGTAGTGGGTGGAAAAGTGAGCCAATGTTCCCAAATTTGTCAAGGGTTTGAAGTTGCGGGATCTTATCAACTGTATCATGATACGGGGTGGAAATTATAGCTGCAGGGATTCTAGTTGTCTCTGTAATGGAAGCAGAGACTCCAGCTTCTTGAACCTGCCGTCGTTTTTTCACTTGGTTGTGTGTTTCCTGCATACAGTCTACAATTATAGAGAGGGTCCTTGGTCTAGCGGGAGTGGCTAGCTGTGGTTACACTTGATCTGGGCTATCTGTAGTCGTTGGTTGTAGTTGCGCTTGGTCTGGTACCTGGGATGTCTGGTTAGGTAACGGTCTACATAGGTCGTCAATAAAAACGTATATTATACATAAAAAAAATTCCTTACAACTTTAAACTAAAAATTCGTCACCATTCTGTCAGATTCACATAATGATTCACATAATGATTACACTACCAAGTCTTCTTCAATATTCACCTATTGTTCTCTCTAGATTCGAGGTTAAGCTAGTATGCTGAGTTCAAAAACCAGACTCGCTTTAATCACATTAAGACCTTTTAAACTTTGTCGTCAAGTATTATCTTGATCTTAATACTTATTCCAAGCTCTCGGACTATATTCACATTTTTTTTTTGCTCTTATCAGAAGCACTTAATCTAAAAGCTTGACGTAATTCGAGGGACAAATACCAACTTGTCCATTTGTTCTCCTGGCTTGCCACCACTTTCCGTCTATATCATCGACCTCCAATATCTCATCTTTAACAAAAGAAATTTCATTAATATCGTCTGGATTAGCCTCATAGCTATACAATGCCTTGGCCTTATAGCGGAATGTGATCCCTGGTATGTCTGTTTGGGATTGGGCGTCGTTGTAAATCGTATGCCTGTTTCCGTTACCGGTGCTATGAGAGTTTGCGTTGGCAGCGACTTCACCACCTCTGGTCTTGTGTACGTCAGAAGTTGAGAAGTTTTCCAATCCGTTCAATTGGCTTGATGATACGTACGGAGTGGTGGAAGATTTTTGGGTGGTCGTTAATTGAGATTGTCTCAATTGAGCCTGGTTGTCAAGATGCTGGCCAGCAGCAGTGGTGTTAGCACCGCTTGGTAAGTTAACTGGCGAGATGTACTTGTATTCGTCATCTCCACCATCAAGAGTAGTACCGGCGTGACGTGAAGACACACGATGGTTCAGACTACGTGGGTTATTCTCCGAGGAAGGCAAGTGACCATGATTGTGCAGATGCGATTTCAAGGAGAAGGAGTCAATAAACTGGTTAGTTGGGGATTCCGGGTGACCACCAAAGTACAAGATCCAAATAAAGTTAAGAATGGATAACATTATACAGCCAGCGGCACAACACAAGTATGCTGAGTCGGACAGGTACACAAGCTGGCTCACAGAATTTGATGTGTACAAAAAGGCGCATGAGAGCAACCCGACCAAGGTGAACTTGTAAAGCTCTATGGTGTTATTCAAGTATAGCAAGAAGATTGCTATAATTATCAATGCCTCATAGACAAGTCCCCACCATGTAAACCTTGGAAAATTGGACTGGGGGCCAGCTGCTGCTCCAGCTATGGCCACAATCCATGAGATCACGCCGAAGGTAACCGTTGATATAGCAAACGGATCACCAAAGAAGTTTGAAAGCTCGAACGCCATGCTGCTGTCTAGTATGTGTAGAGAGAGGAGATTCGAGTTCTAAGTGCCCTGTTGTTGTTGTATGTAAACAAGACGGGCAATCAAAGCAAAGCAAAGCAAAGCCAAATACAATAAAAAATTAGGGGAAAGACGGAGAGGTTCTGGTCTGGAGCCAAAAACTATCGAATTTGCTGGGTATTACGTTTATATTATCTTTCTTCAAGCAGGGGAGGTAGGAATATGGATGGTTCCTTCTTTTCGCCTAGCCGATTTGTTGATGATTTCTGCCTGGGTCTAATATCACACTTGATCCCCTTTGTTAACAATCTTTTTTCACGTTTTCTCTTTTTTTCTTTTGCTCGTCCCCTTTTCGGTTTTCTACTTAAGCAGTTTGTCTGTGCGCAGTAAAAACTATCACTAGGTAATTTCGGGGTAAGTTTGTTCTAAACAATGGGAGTAGAATCAGAATGAACAATACAAATGAGTATTAAATGTTTATCAAAAAAACTTCCTTGAGGATGTTTTGATACGTTTAAAAAGAAAGTTTGCAGGTTTCCTGTTCTTTGTTGATGTTGCTGGAAAAGAACAAATGTATAAAAAATACAAAACTTGGATAAAAGTTAATAATATACAAAAAAAATATCCAATAGCCTAAAAAAACATATACGTAGCTTATGCTTTAGGTGAAAATATTTTTAGTGATTGGGAATTCACGAGTGGGTAGTTAATCGATCTGGCACTGGAGGAGGTTAACGAGAAAAACAATTGAGCTAAAAAAAAAAAGAAAAAAAAAAAGAGAAAAAAAAAAAAAGAAACAAAATTTAATTATCCGCCAAGTGGGAGGTATCCAAAAGGGCGAAGTAGAATAGAGGTCATAGTGTAGTTTAATTCTAGTTAAGTGCGACGAAATGGAAAACTTCTGGAAGTCATGCTTTTTTGATTTTACCTTTTCCCTTTTTTCTTTTTTTTTTGTCCTCTCGCAATTTCCCTTCAGTGGTGGAGGAAGTGCTTTGATTTTGTGTTGCAATAGACATGACGCGACGCGATTTGTGTCAAGTCTAGAACTGGAATTGGAATTATAGTGTAGCGAGAGAGTCCAGCATGTGAATGAAATCGGGTGCTTGAGCAGGTGAAGCTGACCGGTCTTCTGTAGCCTGCAGTGCTGCGTACATATATATATATATATATATATATATGTATGTATATACGTACATACATACATTTATCTGTATCTGTATATTCATCCTTGTTTGCACTCTCCATTGATTCACAATATTTTTTCCTTTCTTTTCTTTTCCTGCTTTGTTCTGTCTACTTCCCGCTCCCCAAGACAAAACAACATTGTTTCAGCTTAGAATCTCAAACACAAGATGCAGAGAAAGTCTCTGAATCTAAAACATTAAGCGTAAAGAAGCTAACAAGCGTGAAGAAAAATAAAATAAACGAGATTCGATGAATGTAGGCGATTTGTTGTCATTACGATTAGGTGTTATAACCCCTGATTATGTTTCCACGATTTCTGCTAAGCTGTGCTTTTGCTGTGAGTTCCAACTCCGCTGAGCGCCCTTGTGGAAAATTTTGAGAAATAATAATATGATGCAAAATGTCGCCTAACGAATGTAGTGTAAATCGTGTTTAGCTAATAATTATTGCGAGTTGGACCTCTACAGCCTCTGCTATGTTTCTATGTACGTTTGGTCGCCTAGCGAGCATGCAGTGTGGATCGTGTTTAACTAAAATCCTCTTGGTGTTTGGGTCCACTGCCGCTCTGCTAGGCTCAATCTCACACCGGGTGCTGGTTTGAGATTCCTGGACCGTCTACCTGAAACACCCACAAAGCCGTCGCTACTTGATATGGCCTCGTCTCCGTTACGTCATCGTCTCTTTTATCTTGTATCTTGTATCTTGTTACATGTGCAGTAGTGTGTTTTCTCTGGTTTGGATTTCTGATACTCAGACTTTTGGGTGCAAATGATCACCACCAAAATTCAAGTCACGCCTAAAATTCGAATTAGTACCGATTTAGCATGGCAGAGATGCAATTGACGCCAGATGTAAAAAAAAGCATGAAATGAAGAAGGCAGCGTGCTGGGAGTGAAGAAGTGCACTGATAGTCAAGCCTATTTTGTCGCTATAATGTCATTGTACCGAGGTGGCATCTTAGCTTTGAAGTAGCCTAATACACCATACATACAATTTGGGCCATTTATACAAAAAAAAAAATTGAAGAAGGGAGGACAAAGTGAAAATGATGTAAAGATGGGTGCTACTAATGAAGAATTCCACTGATAACCATGTTGACTTCTCTTGCATCGTACCACAATGGCATTTCCGTAGCTTCCTGAAGCCTTTCCCTGAAGCCAAGTGAATCTAGCATGAGCATCTTTTTATTTTATCTTACCCGTAGCTAAATATGCTCATTGAGCAAATAAAATGTATCTAATCTTTGCAACCAGAACACAGTCTCTATACCACTTTTAGCTTATTATTAAGCAATTATGTCACACCTGGCCAATCACTGCTAGTCTGTTCTGCTTAGCTTTCCTTTATCTCCCGTTGGTCCTAAATCCGCGAACCAGATCTATTTTTCATTCTCTGCACTGTAGGCTTGCTCTTTTTTTCACTCAGCAGCAAGACCACGTCTATGAAGTATTTAGACTCCTAACACCAGTCACTTCGCATGGTTCTCATGGCTTTTCTTGTCAATCTGCACTCACTATACAAAATGTAACATCCTTCAATATAAAAACATCAATTGGTCATACGGGGAAATAAGACTCTCAGATCCTGCGGAATAAAAAGTCCGCTCCGTGTTTTTCCTTTGGAGGGTCAGCTACAACAGAATTCATGCGTTAATACGAGAATTATTGCTGCATCTTCTAGTTTCAATAACCTAGCCGTGTACGTTGCTAGAGTGTGAACACCTTCAGTAAAGGTGACATATATCTATAGGACACAGCACTAGAATCACCTTCATATACCCCCATCAATTGAAAACTCATTTGTACCTATCTGGACAACATTTCATCCCAATGTTGCCGAAATCTGGGGTAAGATGAGCGGAAAAAATAGAATTCTGAGGCCCCTAATGCACCCTTATTTTTAGCAATTTCCGTTGGTGTGCCTCACTAATTCACAGGCTGGAGCCCCTAACTTTTCTTTTTTTGTTATTTTCTTGCTTGAGAGTGCCGTTCACTTCACAGTGCAGAAGTCATACCAAGTCAATTTGGTAGTCATTGTTTATTAGTAACACAGTCCGTGGAAAATAACCTTCTTTTCGTATAAATAACCATACCTATCTATAGAGTTTTTTTTAGTTAATTTCAGAAATCTCTTAACTACTACTATATTAGTCTTGCTACTAGATAACCAGTATATTTCAAGATTACTATGCTCTCAATTAAAAACCCTCTATTTATTAAAAGAACACTTTGTTCATCGTTACATTTGCAGCCAATTCGTCGGGTGTCCATCAAGACGACTATCATTTCTGATAAGGATGCTGAAAAGAGTAATGACGTCGAATTCATAACCCATCCTCTCTTCCCCCATCCTGTGTTCGATCAAAAGGATTGTGAAAGTATTGAAGTTACTCATCGTGAACCAAGAACAATTGGTGATAAGATTGCTCACAATGGTATTTTATTTTTCAGATCTTCCTTTGATTTGGTTACTGGGTATAAGAAGCCCCATACTCCAGAACAATTGGCTCATGGTTTCAAAGGTACAAGGTACGAGATGACAGCTGGTAAGTGGCTCACCAGATGTATTTTCTTGGAAAGTGTTGCTGGTGTTCCCGGGATGGTTGCTGCATTCCTCCGTCATTTGCATCTGATTAGACTCCTCAAAAGAGACAAGGCATGGATTGAAACTTTATTGGATGAAGCCTACAATGAAAGAATGCATTTATTAACTTTTATGAAGATTGGTAAGCCTTCTTGGTTTACTAGGTTTATCATTTATGTGGGACAAGGTGTATTCTGTAACATATTCTTTTTGGTTTACTTGATGAACCCTCGTTATTGTCATAGGTTTGTTGGATATTTAGAAGAGGAAGCCGTGGAAACTTATACACACATGATACATGACCTTGACGCCAATAAATTCCCTGAATTGAACAAATTAAACGTGCCAGAGATTGCTATTCAATATTGGCCCAAATTAACCAAAGAATCTACAATGAGAGATTTGATATTAAGAATAAGAGCTGACGAATCGAAGCACAGAGAAGTCAACCATACCTTAGCAAACTTGGACCAGAAAAGCGATAGAAATCCTTTTGCCTTGCAAGTGGAAACAGATAAGCCACAACCTGAAAATGGATTGAAGGTGACTAGACCTGAAGGGTGGGAAAGAAGTGACATTGTATTAAGCAATGAAAAATAGGTTTAGAATGTTTTATGTACTAATGTGGTTATGTATATGTTTATTATGATAATGAATGCTTGTTATTTATAAATTAAGAAAACTTAAGAAAGTCATTGTGGTATAAATACAGACGAATCCATATCTACGTTGGGAAATGTGGTAATTTCAGGCATATTTTGAGCCAACCACTAATGTTTTAAGGAGGGGTCAACTCATGTTAATGGGTTGCACCAAGGAAAATGGTAGCACTCAAACAAACCACCATAACTATCACACCCCATATGGCTAACGCAAGTCCTCCATACTTGCAAAACTTCTCCTTAGTCGACAACACATCTCCCCCATCCAATGGTTTGATTAATAAGTACCCGAACAAACCTGGTAAGATAAAAGAGATCGAAGTGGAACCAGTGGAGCCAACAAATGCCAACACATGTTCCAACGAGGTAACAGTAACCGCAACGAGGTAGGATAATAATACTATGCAAGTGGTTATAATATAAAATCTTCTAGAAGTCAAGGGAACGATGATTGGACCGTGACCATCAGTGTCTTGGGCTCCTTCAACTGGAGTGGTAGATACAAATGATTCGTCGGCACCAATTGAACTATTATCGGCTACGGATTCGATATCGGCAGTCAATCCAAGCGTTTCACCATCATTAGAATAGCGGTGACCTGCTGAATTCAAAACTGATGGATGGTTCCTCAACTTTGGTGTTTCTTCCTTGGAGAAACCCTTCGTTAAGTAATAATATACATGGTTCACAGATCCTCTACATGGGTGACATTGCAAGGGATACGATAAACTTACCATAATGACAATACTCAATCTACCGATCAACGACAGTATCGAGTTCTTTGGATACATGGTAATGATATTCCCGTTAACCAAATCCCCGAATGTCAAATACCCAATGATCCCTACAACCAAATACGAAGCACAAGCTGTGGCAATGGCGTTCCTGATGATAATGTTCGACTGTCTGGTCTTTGAGCCTGCTTCACCCTCTCCCAATCTAGGTTTCAACTCGTTGATGATAGCAAACATGTTCTGGTGACAGGTGTAGGCAAACACAAAAATCGGGAAGGACGACAATGTAGACTTGAGCGAAACTGGTCCAATCCAGGTGATTTGCTTGGGCTCTTCAAGAGGAATGTCACTAACCGAATAGTGGAACACCACAAGACAGATCAAGTACACCACCGAGAAAAGTGCTACAATTGAAGTATACCTCAAAGAATCCAATTTCTTCAAGTAGGACAACGGAACCACTATCAATGCCATGAAAATGGTTATCCAGAAATTTCTGTGCATCAATATACTTCCCGAGGCCACATCAAGAGATTCCATGATCTTGGGCATTAAATCCCCGATGATCACCAAGTAGCTGACACCAACCCCGAAGCATTTAATGGCAATTGCACTGTCGAAGAGGATCAGAAACTGCGGGTACGTCAACTGAGCCAAACTGAAATACGAAACAGCTTCTGTCTGCGCCGTATATTTGGCGACTTTACTCTGAAGGTAGAGTCCCATGGACGACGTGAGCGAGGACCAAACAATAAGCAAGCATCCAAACACAAGACCATTCGACTTGAGACCATATGGCATGGCCAAGATCCCAGCCCCGATAATGGTATTCAACAAATTGATGGTACCTGACCTAATAGTAGCGGCTTTCCCCATGATGGCTGTATAAAGAAGTGTACACTAAGAAGCTCTGGTTCGTAATTGACTTTTTTTTTTTTGTTTGCTTTTTTTTTTTTCGTGCGCTTGTTTGGAGGGGGCCATAGGCCCTAGAGTTTGAGGGAGTTAGGGGCTGGGGGAAGTCTTGGGGAGCCTTGGCGCGCATATTTAGGGGCCATAGGCCCTAAAGTTTGAGGGAAGTTTGAGGTACTTAAAGTGCTTGGGGGAGTCCTAGGGAGCCTCGGCGCGCCTATGTATTCTGAATGGTGCGCATCCTGTGCCGAAGCATATCGAATATGCAACCGAATGTAGGGCTATCAAACATCCCATAACTTACCAGCTTGCCAGCTTGCCAGCTTAGCAGGTTACCAGAGCACTTTGGTGTGGGTTCAGCTGGCTAAGTATTTAGTTAGGTTCTTTCTTATACTCTTTATACCTTTTTACCTACCCGCTTGCTATTCGCTTACTACTTGCCTACTATTAGCTTACTACTTGCCTACTACTCGCTTACTTACTTACTTACTTACTTACTTACTTACTTACTTACTTACTTACTTACTTACTTACTTACTTACTTACTTACTTAC